CCTCAGAATACTAGTATCAAGGTCAGCAACTGCATACAAAGACAAGAGCGGTAGTACTCACCATCAGGATGCGGGTGTTGACGTGCGATGGCGGGGACTGAAGTCAGGATGTCGGTGTCTAGGAGCTGATACCCAATCCAGCGGCTGGGAACGACAATGCCAACTAGAGAGCAGAGCCCGACATTAGGAAACCTGGCTCAAAAGTGAGTCTGACTAAAAGTGAGTGTAAATATGCTTACATAGACAGCGCAACTTCGGTATTTGGTTTTGGTCATGGTGGTGGCCGGCCCAACGGCGCCGCAGGCTCCGGCAAGAACAGGTGGTGTGGGCCATGCGAGGGGACCTGTTGCTGACGGAATTTGACTGGTAATCATTCAATCTGAGCGACGAATAAGCATCCCAGCGCATAGAAGAGGACAAAACATGTTGAGTAGGGTTTAGGGCCCCGAAGTGGTTGATTCACACGGCCTAACCGCGCCACAGAGGTTGGCACTTGGTCCGCTGGCTTGCATTTGTTGAGCGTGAGTTCAGGGGAGGGATGCCGGCCAGAGTAACCACTCGCGCAAAAGGGATGACACCCAGGCGACCACACTTAGGCAGCGCCATCGGCAAGATGGTACCGAGCTGACTGGCTATATCTGTAAACAAGAGTCAGACAATCAATGTATCAACGAAGGGGACACAAACCTAGTTTAGCGCCAACACCAAACATCCCGCAAAACACAAGTCAGCGGGAGAGCGAGAACTTGCGCAAAAAGCGTGAGTAAACGTGAAGCGGTTGCTGGTGGCGCCGCCACCCAGCGACATGATGCGCGCAGCACTACCGGAAGCGGAAGGTCTGCAGGGGAAGACTTTAGTGCAATATCAAAGACCAATGAGGCAGGACATACCGAGGCAAAACACAAGGTGTAGACACAAAAGGACTGACGACAGATGACGAGCTCTGTACAAGCCGAGTATAGCGCCACAGGCGGGCTCCAGCGAAAAAACTTGGCTTTCCGGAAAGCGCAGAGCTTGAGCGTGCTGTCTGGGCACATACACCCACTCAAAGCACACACACAAGTCTGAAAGTTGTGAGTGAGCAGATACAATTGGTCAAAGGAAGACCTACGAAGCCATTAGGATTAGGTGGAGAGGGCATGGTGGGCGCCTCAGAGAAGTCGTGGCTCATGTGTCTGTTGGGCACTGAGACGACGAGGGAAGTGTTGCCCCTGCAAGCGCTGGCTACGCGGTCGTGTAGTTCGCGAGCGGGGGGCGACGACTGGGCAGAAAGTGGAAAAAAGAGGATGGAGGTGATAGTTTTGAGCAAACTTCAGATGAGGCGTGACTGATGTCAGAAAGAAAAGCACACGTGTCGCAACACGGTTGTTGACGCGTTGCTGGGTTGCCCATGACGGTGGGAATAAAAGGGTGACACGGCGTGACAACGCCGATGGCCCAGCAGAAATAACGAGAAAATAATGGCGCCATGTCGGCGGAGAGCGCAAAAGGTTCCCGAGTCAGCCCAAGCGGTTCCCCGAGTCAGGTTGTAAGCGAGGTTCCTGTGTTGACATGATTCGAATATCGGCAACCAAATACGGCACAGGGGTGATAGGACAAATGATGCCGCCTACCTTGACCGTCGTGGAATCTTTGTTCGGCTGGCTTTTGGCCCTATGCCGTTGGCTACCTTTTGTTCGAGTGTGTCATTTTTTGCCGCCCCCGCCTGGTTTTTTCCCGAGCATTACATCTTGTCACAGACATCTTGTCACAGGTAATCTGCCTCTAACCTGGCCCTCCATAATTTTTAACTGCCTTGCGCGACGCCATGCAGATAGTAGCATCCCCAAAAGGTAATAGGCACAACAATTGCTTGTTTTATGGTGTTCTCCCCTTGATCGGTGAACCCGAAGCGTGGGAAACAATGTTGAATGTATCTAAATGCTATCTACCACTTCATCCCCGCTATCCAGCATCTCAAACCCTCTGCTTTTCCTCCATCCCTTTTCACCCTGATAGGACTGTCCCAACCCATCGCCGTTCCCGATTGTGCCGGGCGTGTGTGAACCTTATGTCACCATTACCCCCTGGCATTTACCCGCGAGGATCGGACGGGAAGCGCATCTCCGCGTGCACCGTTTGCTTCGAACTGCGAAATACGCGAAATCGCGTATTTCACCCTGAGCAGCCGCCGCTCCCGCCGTAGCATCCCCCAGCGGATGGATATCACCCTGGGAAGCGTTTCAGCCGAGCTCAACTGCCATGTGCGCCGAGTATAAAAGCTGGCCAACATCAATTTGCGCGCAAAGTCTGCTTCTTTCCCCCTTCACCTTCAAGTTTCCCTCCACATCGTCGTCAATATATTCACTTCTTGTACATCCAAACAGTACTTAATGTCCATTCTCCAATCTCCCACTTTCCTCGTCAACTCGTTCACCTCCATTCCCACATGCCTCCCCGCCTCCTCGTTTGATCATGCTCGTAGCCCGCAAACAAAGCTGAAGGCATGTCAGCCCCAAACTCATTGACTTGGACTCATCCGGCTTACCTTGTTCTTAGCGACAGCTGGCTGATTAGCACCAGGCCACAAGCGAACTTTGCTGCCAAACACTATCGATTCAGGTGAGTAGTGTGCTCATAGACAAACTTACCTCGATGATTTAGCTTGCTATCCAGTCCTCCTTCGCCGCTGACTGTGATGAACGACCTCTAAAAAACAGGTGAGTCCTGAAACTGAGTTTGCGTTAGCGCGAGTCCAGACACCGTTGCAGGCCGACTTCGTTGTTGGCGCTGGTTTGAGTTGAATTGTATAATGTGAGCCCGCTCTGTTACTGTCGACAATTTGACCACTAACCTTCTAGTTTTTGCAGTGTTTGCGGATATCGTCTTGAGTGTCAGCGACAGTAGTCCAGGCGGCGTCGCGCACTTGATGCTGATGTGCCAACTGCTCAGTTTGCAGGTGAGTTTGACATACAGCAGCTACAAGCCAGCTTACCTTGATTTGCAGCAGGTCAATTTCCGCATGCAGCGACGGCGGCAAGCTGAAACAACAGCGTTGATGGATTTAGTTTGGGCTTTGGCACGGGTTTCATGTCGGGAGTCGTTGGCGACACTACTCCTCGGCGTCGTTGACTTGGTTTGAAGCGTGTAAACGGTCAGGCGGCCGCCATGTGATGGATATCTGGGTGAGTTTGCCGCCCAAAGCACTGAAAGCGACGACTGACCTTCTGTATGTCATTTCCAAAGTCCCGGCAGCGGCTACCGAACCTCGCGCCGTAGAGACTCGAGACATGTAAGCTCGAGATTCTTTAGTTGAAATCGTGCTCAGCTTGACATCGAATCAAGAACTCGTCTACGTGGGGTCAAGGTCGGCCTTAAGAAAACAAATTGAGATGAACTCACTTTGTCGTTTCAACTCGTACCCCGATTTGGGCTTAACTCGCGCAGACTCGCACTCAATGTTGCCAAGTTTCGTTTGCGATGCCCAACATCAAATCGGGCGAGGAACACCTCGCAGACATGTCTGTGCGAAAAAGTAAGTCATATGCGAGACGACTTTGACCTTGTCTTTCAACTTCTCGCTAGACCAAACACGAGACCAACTATTCAGCCTTGGAGCCAAGTTGGCCTTGCTGATTTCCCGGTGAGTTTGGTTCTGCGGCGAGATAGATGTGGGCTTGTTTACAGCTCGCAGCGTCGTATGCGGATAGCGCGCCTTCCGAGCAGCGAGGGACGACACGACCGCGTCGCTTGAAGTTGATTGATGGTAAGTTTCAATACTATACACAATATATTTTGCTCACTTTCGCAGTTAAATAATTCGTTGCCCCGTCTCCATGCTCAAAGCAGCCCCGGCAGGCTGCCAAACTTCGCGCCGCCATTGGTCAGCTTACTTGTGGGAAAGCACGCGTTAGCCTCATCTTTGCCGCCAAACCAGTCCCATCTTGTCTGCGATGTGTTGCTTCGGGATATCGCGGGCCGGGGCTTGCGGCGGAGGTGCCATCCGAGCTGAGTAAGTCGGTCGCGAGTTGCGCGCGGGGAGGAAGGCAAAGCCGGCCGGCCAGCCGTGACCCGTGGCTGCTCTTTTAGCGGGGTCGTTTGCAAGGCTGGGTTTGGCCGTCCCCGCTGATCAATGGTGAGTTTCCTTGTAAAACTCGAAAAATGACCACATAACATACTTTTAAAGGCTTGTTTCCATCCACAAAAGGCCTTGTTCGTTGCCGAACTACTTGCGCCGCAGATTCGGGATCGTCCTAGTAGCCAGTATGTAGTCGTGAGTTGCGCGTGTTGAAGGGCCGGCTGTGCCGTGAGTTTTCGCTGGCCTGGGATTAGGCGGTGGTTGCGGGAGAAGAGAGTTGCCGCGTTGCCGACAGAGAGTGTGAGCGGGCCAATCGCGCGGGTTTCCATGCGCGAGATTCTCTCGGGAGGCGTGCCGGTTAAGGCCAGAGCCCATAGACGCGCTCTCTTCAGGTGCCGCCCAGCGGGTCGCCGAAAGAGTGTCAGTGCGGAGGCCCATGTGATCCGGAACAGAGCCCGTGGCCTCCCCTTGCGAACTCCGCCATCGAAGTTGAAGTTGTCGCCGTCATGGTGGTCGTCGCGGAAAGAGTGTCGGTCCCGCGTCCCGGCCGCGGCGCCGGGCGTCACAGCACTGCCAAACGTGACTTGAAGGTCAAGGTCCGTTTTTTTCCTTGCGAACAGCACCGTAAACTAACCGACCGTCCAGCTGGTACTCATTTGAACCCTCCTATCACTGGGGACAAGGTCAGTTTTTTTTTTCCCGCTGTCACCATTTGCATGGCTCATCTTCATTGCAGAACACTTTGTTGACTAAATTTCAAAACTTCCACCCACGACTGACGCGCGCAGATTATGCCGCCGGAGGGATAAGTAACGCCTCGGGCTTGAACGCGGCGTTGAATGAAAGGGAGCGGGTGTGCGCACATCTTGGACGTTCGATCGTATATATCGCGGTATGTGCTCTTTCTTCTCTTGGCTTATTGACTACTGCTTACAACCGAATTATGGCAGGTCAAAGTGCATGGAATGTAGTGCGTCTGCTTCGCAAGCTGGCAGATCAAGGCCAGGCAATTCTTTGCACCATCCATCAACCCAGTGCTCTGTGAGAATTACCCGCAAGCATCAACCCTTCCCTCATCTTTTTTTTTTTCAGGCTCTTCGAATCATTCGACCGACTACTTCTGGTGAGTCTTCGATGTTTTACGTCGATAATTCAATGATTTGTGCAGCTCGAGCGGGGCGGAGAGACCGTGTATTTTGGCGACATCGGCAAAGACTCGCACGTCATCCGCAACTACTTTGCTGCCAACGGCGCATTCTGCCCGGCGAACGTCAACCCGGCCGAATACATGCTTGAGGCCATTGGTGCTGGTACAACTCCGCGAGTTGGCGACCGCGACTGGAAAGACATCTGGCTCGACTCACCGGAATGCGAAAGCCTGCGATCCAAAATCGCACAGATCAACAATGAGGCGTTGACCAGGCCTGTGGCAGAGAAGACCAAGCTGAGCACCTGTGCGATCGTTCTTTATTCCCATAAACCTTTGCTAATTTGAGGAAAGATGCGACCCCCTTCATGTACCAACTGCGTACCGTCACTGCTCGCAATTACCTTGCGCTCTGGCGATCGCCAGACTACCTCTTCTCGCGGTTGTTTGTCTGCAGCTTCATTTCGTTCTTCGTGTCGCTGTCGTTCTTGCAACTGGGCATCAGTCTCCGGGATCTCCAGTTCCGCGTGTTCTCGCTGTTCTGGGTCACTATTCTTCCCGTAAGGACCGCTGGTGTTGCTTTGTAACATATGCTCACCGTTGGGTCAGGCTATCATCATGGCTCAAATTGAACCTATGTTCATCTCCAATCGCCGGACTTTCATCCGAGAGGCGTCAAGTCGCATCTACTCCCCTTACGTGTTGTGCGTTGTTTCTTGGCCGTGATATACCCGTCTAACTTTGCTCAGTGCTATTGCTCAAACATTGAGTGAGATCCCTGGCTCCATTGGTAACATCTTTCTTTAAGATCACTTCCCTTCTAACACTGTACAGTTTGCGCTATCGTATACTGGGTCCTCATGGTCTACCCAATGCACTTTGGGCAAGGCGCTGCCGGGCTCAACGGCACCGGCTTCCAGCTGCTGATGACGCTGACGATGATGATTTTCGGTGTTACCCTGGGCCAGCTAATCGGCGCCATCAGCCCTAGCGTCCAAGTCGCGGCGCTGTACAATCCTTTCCTGACTCTGGTCCTCGGAACATTCTGTATGCCGCGTTATCGGTGATTATCTTATCTGACCCCCTATCTCTAGGTGGTGTTACGCTCCCGCATGTGAACAACGGGTTCTGGTGGACATGGCTGTACCAGCTTGTGCCGTACACGCGGACCATCGCCGCGATGGTGTCCACGGAGCTTTTGTATGTCGCTTATATATTTCGAGCGTCACTGACTCTGCCTTCAGCGGCCTGAAAGTGCGGTGCAAGAGCGTGGCTGCTCTTTTAGCGGGGTCGTTTGCAAGGCTGGGTTTGGCCGCCCCCGCTGATCAATGGTGAGTTTCCTTGTAAAACTCGAAAAATGACCACATAACATACTTTTAAAGGCTTGTTTCCATCCACAAAAGGCCTTTTTCGTTGCCGAACTACTTGCGCCGCAGATTCGGGATCGTCCTAGTAGCCAGTATGTAGTCGTGAGTTGCGCGTGTTGAAGGGCCGGCCGTGCCGTGAGTTTTCGCTGGCCTGGGATTAGGCGGTGGTTGCGGGAGAAGAGAGTTGCCGCGTTGCCGACAGAGAGTGTGAGCGGGCCAATCGCGCGGGTTTCCATGCGCGAGATTCTCTCGGGAGGCGTGCCGGTTAAGGCCAGAGCCCATAGACGCTCTCTCTTCAGGTGCCGCCCAGCGGGTCGCCGAAAGAGTGCCAGTGCGGAGGCCCATGTGATCCGGAACAGAGCCCGTGGCCTCCCCTTGCGAACTCCGCCATCGAAGTTGAAGTTGTCGCCGTCATGGTGGTCGTCGCGGAAAGAGTGTCGGTCCCGCGTCCCGGCCGCGGCGCCGGGCGTCACAGCACTGCCAAACGTGACTGGAAGGTCAAGGTCCGTTTTTTTCCTTGCGAACAGCACCGTAAACTAACCGACCGTCCAGCTGGTACTCATTTGAACCCTCCTATCACTGGGGACAAGGTCAGTTTTTTTTTCCCGCTGTCACCATTTGCATGGCTCATCTTCATTGCAGAACACTTTGTTGACTAAATTTCAAAACTTCCACCCACGACTGACGCGCGCAGATTTTGCCGCCGGAGGGATAAGTAACGCCTCGGGCTTGAACGCGGCGTTGAATGAAAGGGAGCGGGTGTGCGCACATCTTGGACGTTCGATCGTATATATCGCGGTATGTGCTCTTTCTTCTCTTGGCTTATTGACTACTGCTTACAACCGAATTATGGCAGGTCAAAGTGCATGGAATGTAGTGCGTCTGCTTCGCAAGCTGGCAGATCAAGGCCAGGCAATTCTTTGCACCATCCATCAACCCAGTGCTCTGTGAGAATTACCCGCAAGCATCAACCCTTCCCTCATCTTTTTTTTCAGGCTCTTCGAATCATTCGACCGACTACTTCTGGTGAGTCTTCGATGTTTTACGTCGATAATTCAATGATTTGTGCAGCTCGAGCGAGGCGGAGAGACCGTGTATTTCGGCGACATCGGCAAAGACTCGCACGTCATCCGCAACTACTTTGCTGCCAACGGCGCATTCTGCCCAGCCAACGTCAACCCGGCCGAATACATGCTTGAGGCCATTGGTGCTGGTACAACTCCGCGAGTTGGCGACCGCGACTGGAAAGACATCTGGCTCGACTCACCGGAATGTGAAAGCCTGCGATCCAAAATCGCACAGATCAACAATGAGGCGTTGACCAGGCCTGTGGCAGAGAAGACCAAGCTGAGCACCTGTGCGATCGTTCTTTATTCCCATAAACCTTTGCTAATTTGAGGAAAGATGCGACCCCCTTCATGTACCAACTGCGTACCGTCACTGCTCGCAATTACCTTGCACTCTGGCGATCGCCAGACTACCTCTTCTCGCGGTTGTTTGTCTGCAGCTTCATTTCGTTCTTTGTGTCGCTGTCGTTTTTGCAACTGGGCATCAGTCTCCGGGATCTCCAGTTCCGCGTGTTCTCGCTGTTTTGGGTCACTATTCTTCCCGTAAGGACCGCTGGTGTTGCTTTGTAACATATGCTCACCGTTGGGTCAGGCTATCATCATGGCTCAAATTGAACCTATGTTCATCTCCAATCGCCGGACTTTCATCCGAGAGGCGTCAAGTCGCATCTACTCCCCCTACGTCTTGTGTGTTGTTTCTTGGTCGTGTTATGCGGGCCTAACTTTGCTCAGTGCTATCGCTCAAACATTGAGTGAGATCCCTGGCTCCATTGGTAACATCTTTCTTTAAGATCACTTCCCTTCTAACACTGTACAGTTTGCGCTATCGTATACTGGGTCCTCATGGTCTACCCAATGCACTTTGGGCAAGGCGCTGCCGGGCTCAACGGCACCGGCTTCCAGCTGCTGATGACTCTGACGATGATGATTTTCGGTGTTACCCTGGGCCAGCTAATCGGCGCCATCAGCCCTAGCGTCCAAGTCGCGGCGCTGTACAATCCTTTCTTGACTCTGGTCCTCGGAACATTCTGTATGCCGCGTTATCGGTGATTATCTTATCTGACCCTATCTCTAGGTGGTGTTACGCTCCCGCATGTGAACAACGGGTTCTGGTGGACATGGCTGTACCAGCTTGTGCCGTACACGCGGACCATCGCGGCGATGGTGTCCACGGAGCTTTTGTATGTCGCCTCCAACCTCACCGCCGCCAACTGACTCTGCCTCCAGCGGCCTGAAAGTGCGGTGCAAGAGCGACGAGTTTGCGACGTTCAACCCCCCGACCAACATGACCTGCGGCCAGTGGGGCCAGGCCTTTGTCAACATAACGGGCGGGTACATCGACAACCTGGACGCGACGTCCAACTGCAAGTACTGCTCGTACGCGGTCGGGGACGAGTTCTACACCCCGCTGGGCATCAGCTTCTCTGAGCGCTGGCGCGACTTTGGGATCTTCCTTGCTTATATTGGTTTGTCCCAGGTTGTCTTCTCGCTCCTGCTCTGACGTTGCACAGCTTTCAACATGGCTGCGACAGTCATTGCATCGAGATATCTCCGCTACGCCAAACGCTGACCCATAGACTATAGACCTATCATCATCATACAACTATACAATACTATTACACGCAATAAGCATTTCAGATTGTATTTTCTACGACGACGGCGCGTTGATACCGCCAATACACTCCGCAGTCCACGCATCGCCATACCCTCCCGCAGCCACCTCAACGCTTTACTCACCCATCGCAAAGGCTCGCAGCTCTAAGGCTCGCAGCGAGCGCTCTTATTTTATGCACACATAGACAAAAAATTTTACAAGCTACCCGACGCGTACACAACTCTACAGGCACTAAGTCTACCCTGCCAAGTGTGCATTACGGTAATTCAACTCGCGTCTCTCCCCCATTTAGCCGCGCGTGCGAGAGCAAAGTCTTAGGGACATGTGCTGTCCGGAAAACGAAGGATGCATCCGGTGACGTTGCAGGGCTTGTTACTCCCACAGACAAGTCGAGTGCCTTGACGCGATTGCGCGCAAGGCAAGTTCACCGATCACAAGTTATGGGCTTGGAGATTTGCCCTCGCAAGGCTAGTCGCAAGCAAGCTGCAGCCGCAAGGGCTCGAAGACGAGTCTTGGGTTTAACAGTGGAGGTTGTTGATTGTGTGCGAGCAAGTTTGAGCCGACAAGGAGTTGGTAAACACGGTCGCAGACGTGTCATTTCACTTGTGCAGGAGGAGAAACTGAGTGAGTTCACCCAGTTCGGGCGCGTCCTGCCGGCTGAAGGCTCGCCAGCTGTAGTTTCTGATGGTGTTCGCAGGCTCCTTTTGTGCGAACTCCACCAAAAAAATGGCTGTTATGGAGCGCGGAGACGGCCTCGGTAGGGCTGGCTTAGAAACCAGCGCAAGTGGTTGTGATGGAGAACGGCTCCCACAGCGCCGCAGGCGAGCTCCCGCAAAAAATGCGTGTTGAAGGGTGGGATTTTAAAAGGGAAGAAAAAAGCAACACGCTCTACGCAAACATGGGTTGACGAAGATTTGCCCCGCCAACAGCGCCGCAGGCGAGCTCCAGCAAAAAATGGGTGTTATGGAGGGCGGAGATGGCCTCCGGATGTAGGGCACATGGGGATGGCGACGCGCAAGTTGTAATAGCGCACATGATGGCGATGGCGCCGCAGGCAAGCTCCCGCGAGAAATTAGTGTTGCAGCAGCAGGATTTGAAGCCAATCAAAGCAAGTCGGGGTTTCGAAAAGTCATGCCGATGTCTGTGTTGGAGAGGCGCCGCAGGCAAACTCTGGCGAAAAAATGCCTGTTACAGGGCGGGATTTTCCAAGGGGAAGCAGGCTCTACGCAAACGTGGGTTGACGAAGATTTGTCCCGCCAACAGCGCCGCAGGCGAGCACCAGCAAAAAATGGGTGTTATGGAGGGCGGAGATGGCCTCCGGATGTAGGGCACATGGGGATGGCGACGCGCGAGTTGTTGGAAGGTAATAGCACTGGCTCAGAGACCAGCAAAAGTGATGGTGATGGCGCCGCAGGCGAGCTCCCGCGAAAAATCGGTGTTGCGGGCAGTAATCGAGATTGTACATGGGCTTCGGAAAGTCATGCACATGTCTGTGCTGGGGACAAACACTGGCCCCGTGGCGCCGCAGGCGAACTCCAGCAAAAGATGCCTGTCGGAAGAGGGGAATTTTCAAAGGGGAAGGGAGTAGGTGCGAATGTGGGCTGACAGCATTTTCCCCCAACAGTGCTGCAGGTGAGCTCTAGCAAAAAATCACCATTACGTGTGCAAGTTTTCACATTGTCAACGCTGCTGGCTGTGGGCCACGCGCGGTAGGCCAGCTGCGCGTGGGCTCTGTGTTGGGGACAGAGATTGACCACGTGGCGCCGCAGGCGAGCTCCAGCGAAAAATGAGTGTTGTGAGAAGTGATGTTCGCGTCATGATCATGGCGGCTGCGCAGGGGTATGGGTTGGTACGCAACACCTTGGTCCAGGACGGCAAAGGGGGAGGAGATCGACAGTAACACTACAATAGTTCAAGCCAAACCACAAAAGACAAATTCAAAACTTACGGAAATGGCAGCGCACTGCTGCCAACGCTTACGTTGCAAGTCCTCCCGTTTGGTCGCCTCCGGCGGCAAAACCCTGGAAAAAATGGAGCCTTGAATCCCATTTTTTGGCGTCCAGATAGCGCCTCAAAAACATCGGATAATTGATTGATCGCATCATTGATAGGCTTGATGGGCGCAATTTGCAGCAGAATGAGCCTCAGAATACTAGTATCAAGGTCAGCAACTGCATACAAAGACAAGAGCGGTAGTACTCACCATCAGGATGCGGGTGTTGACGTGCGATGGCGGGGACTGAAGTCAGGATGTCGGTGTCTAGGAGCTGATACCCAATCCAGCGGCTGGGAACGACAATGCCAACTAGAGAGCAGAGCCCGACATTAGGAAACCTGGCTCAAAAGTGAGTCTGACTAAAAGTGAGTGTAAATATGCTTACATAGACAGCGCAACTTCGGTATTTGGTTTTGGTCATGGTGGTGGCCGGCCCAACGGCGCCGCAGGCTCCGGCAAGAACAGGTGGTGTGGGCCATGCGAGGGGACCTGTTGCTGACGGAATTTGACTGGTAATCATTCAATCTGAGCGACGAATAAGCATCCCAGCGCATAGAAGAGGACAAAACATGTTGAGTAGGGTTTAGGGCCCCGAAGTGGTTGATTCACACGGCCTAACCGCGCCACAGAGGTTGGCACTTGGTCCGCTGGCTTGCATTTGTTGAGCGTGAGTTCAGGGGAGGGATGCCGGCCAGAGTAACCACTCGCGCAAAAGGGATGACACCCAGGCGACCACACTTAGGCAGCGCCATCGGCAAGATGGTACCGAGCTGACTGGCTATATCTGTAAACAAGAGTCAGACAATCAATGTATCAACGAAGGGGACACAAACCTAGTTTAGCGCCAACACCAAACATCCCGCAAAACACAAGTCAGCGGGAGAGCGAGAACTTGCGCAAAAAGCGTGAGTAAACGTGAAGCGGTTGCTGGTGGCGCCGCCACCCAGCGACATGATGCGCGCAGCACTACCGGAAGCGGAAGGTCTGCAGGGGAAGACTTTAGTGCAATATCAAAGACCAATGAGGCAGGACATACCGAGGCAAAACACAAGGTGTAGACACAAAAGGACTGACGACAGATGACGAGCTCTGTACAAGCCGAGTATAGCGCCACAGGCGGGCTCCAGCGAAAAAACTTGGCTTTCCGGAAAGCGCAGAGCTTGAGCGTGCTGTCTGGGCACATACACCCACTCAAAGCACACACACAAGTCTGAAAGTTGTGAGTGAGCAGATACAATTGGTCAAAGGAAGACCTACGAAGCCATTAGGATTAGGTGGAGAGGGCATGGTGGGCGCCTCAGAGAAGTCGTGGCTCATGTGTCTGTTGGGCACTGAGACGACGAGGGAAGTGTTGCCCCTGCAAGCGCTGGCTACGCGGTCGTGTAGTTCGCGAGCGGGGGGCGACGACTGGGCAGAAAGTGGAAAAAAGAGGATGGAGGTGATAGTTTTGAGCAAACTTCAGATGAGGCGTGACTGATGTCAGAAAGAAAAGCACACGTGTCGCAACACGGTTGTTGACGCGTTGCTGGGTTGCCCATGACGGTGGGAATAAAAGGGTGACACGGCGTGACAACGCCGATGGCCCAGCAGAAATAACGAGAAAATAATGGCGCCATGTCGGCGGAGAGCGCAAAAGGTTCCCGAGTCAGCCCAAGCGGTTCCCCGAGTCAGGTTGTAAGCGAGGTTCCTGTGTTGACATGATTCGAATATCGGCAACCAAATACGGCACAGGGGTGATAGGACAAATGATGCCGCCTACCTTGACCGTCGTGGAATCTTTGTTCGGCTGGCTTTTGGCCCTATGCCGTTGGCTACCTTTTGTTCGAGTGTGTCATTTTTTGCCGCCCCCGCCTGGTTTTTTCCCGAGCATTACATCTTGTCACAGACATCTTGTCACAGGTAATCTGCCTCTAACCTGGCCCTCCATAATTTTTAACTGCCTTGCGCGACGCCATGCAGATAGTAGCATCCCCAAAAGGTAATAGGCACAACAATTGCTTGTTTTATGGTGTTCTCCCCTTGATCGGTGAACCCGAAGCGTGGGAAACAATGTTGAATGTATCTAAATGCTATCTACCACTTCATCCCCGCTATCCAGCATCTCAAACCCTCTGCTTTTCCTCCATCCCTTTTCACCCTGATAGGACTGTCCCAACCCATCGCCGTTCCCGATTGTGCCGGGCGTGTGTGAACCTTATGTCACCATTACCCCCTGGCATTTACCCGCGAGGATCGGACGGGAAGCGCATCTCCGCGTGCACCGTTTGCTTCGAACTGCGAAATACGCGAAATCGCGTATTTCACCCTGAGCAGCCGCCGCTCCCGCCGTAGCATCCCCCAGCGGATGGATATCACCCTGGGAAGCGTTTCAGCCGAGCTCAACTGCCATGTGCGCCGAGTATAAAAGCTGGCCAACATCAATTTGCGCGCAAAGTCTGCTTCTTTCCCCCCTTCACCTTCAAGTTTCCCTCCACATCGTCGTCAATATATTCACTTCTTGTACATCCAAACAGTACTTAATGTCCATTCTCCAATCTCCCACTTTCCTCGTCAACTCGTTCACCTCCATTCCCACATGCCTCCCCGCCTCCTCGTTTGATCATGCTCGTAGCCCGCAAACAAAGCTGAAGGCATGTCAGCCCCAAACTCATTGACTTGGACTCATCCGGCTTACCTTGTTCTTAGCGACAGCTGGCTGATTAGCACCAGGCCACAAGCGAACTTTGCTGCCAAACACTATCGATTCAGGTGAGTAGTGTGCTCATAGACAAACTTACCTCGATGATTTAGCTTGCTATCCAGTCCTCCTTCGCCGCTGACTGTGATGAACGACCTCTAAAAAACAGGTGAGTCCTGAAACTGAGTTTGCGTTAGCGCGAGTCCAGACACCGTTGCAGGCCGACTTCGTTGTTGGCGCTGGTTTGAGTTGAATTGTATAATGTGAGCCCGCTCTGTTACTGTCGACAATTTGACCACTAACCTTCTAGTTTTTGCAGTGTTTGCGGATATCGTCTTGAGTGTCAGCGACAGTAGTCCAGGCGGCGTCGCGCACTTGATGCTGATGTGCCAACTGCTCAGTTTGCAGGTGAGTTTGACATACAGCAGCTACAAGCCAGCTTACCTTGATTTGCAGCAGGTCAATTTCCGCATGCAGCGACGGCGGCAAGCTGAAACAACAGCGTTGATGGATTTAGTTTGGGCTTTGGCACGGGTTTCATGTCGGGAGTCGTTGGCGACACTACTCCTCGGCGTCGTTGACTTGGTTTGAAGCGTGTAAACGGTCAGGCGGCCGCCATGTGATGGATATCTGGGTGAGTTTGCCGCCCAAAGCACTGAAAGCGACGACTGACCTTCTGTATGTCATTTCCAAAGTCCCGGCAGCGGCTACCGAACCTCGCGCCGTAGAGACTCGAGACATGTAAGCTCGAGATTCTTTAGTTGAAATCGTGCTCAGCTTGACATCGAATCAAGAACTCGTCTACGTGGGGTCAAGGTCGGCCTTAAGAAAACAAATTGAGATGAACTCACTTTGTCGTTTCAACTCGTACCCCGATTTGGGCTTAACTCGCGCAGACTCGCACTCAATGTTGCCAAGTTTCGTTTGCGATGCCCAACATCAAATCGGGCGAGGAACACCTCGCAGACATGTCTGTGCGAAAAAGTAAGTCATATGCGAGACGACTTTGACCTTGTCTTTCAACTTCTCGCTAGACCAAACACGAGACCAACTATTCAGCCTTGGAGCCAAGTTGGCCTTGCTGATTTCCCGGTGAGTTTGGTTCTGCGGCGAGATAGATGTGGGCTTGTTTACAGCTCGCAGCGTCGTATGCGGATAGCGCGCCTTCCGAGCAGCGAGGGACGACACGACCGCGTCGCTTGAAGTTGATTGATGGTAAGTTTCAATACTATACACAATATATTTTGCTCACTTTCGCAGTTAAATAATTCGTTGCCCCGTCTCCATGCTCAAAGCAGCCCCGGCAGGCTGCCAAACTTCGCGCCGCCATTGGTCAGCTTACTTGTGGGAAAGCACGCGTTAGCCTCATCTTTGCCGCCAAACCAGTCCCATCTTGTCTGCGATGTGTTGCTTCGGGATATCGCGGGCCGGGGCTTGCGGCGGAGGTGCCATCCGAGCTGAGTAAGTCGGTCGCGAGTTGCGCGCGGGGAGGAAGGCAAAGCCGGCCGGCCAGCCGTGACCCGTGGCTGCTCTTTTAGCGGGGTCGTTTGCAAGGCTGGGTTTGGCCGTCCCCGCTGATCAATGGTGAGTTTCCTTGTAAAACTCGAAAAATGACCACATAACATACTTTTAAAGGCTTGTTTCCATCCACAAAAGGCCTTGTTCGTTGCCGAACTACTTGCGCCGCAGATTCGGGATCGTCCTAGTAGCCAGTATGTAGTCGTGAGTTGCGCGTGTTGAAGGGCCGGCTGTGCCGTGAGTTTTCGCTGGCCTGGGATTAGGCGGTGGTTGCGGGAGAAGAGAGTTGCCGCGTTGCCGACAGAGAGTGTGAGCGGGCCAATCGCGCGGGTTTCCATGCGCGAGATTCTCTCGGGAGGCGTGCCGGTTAAGGCCAGAGCCCATAGACGCTCTCTCTTCAGGTGCCGCCCAGCGGGTCGCCGAAAGAGTGTCAGTGCGGAGGCCCATGTGATCCGGAACAGAGCCCGTGGCCTCCCCTTGCGAACTCCGCCATCGAAGTTGAAGTTGTCGCCGTCATGGTGGTCGTCGCGGAAAGAGTGTCGGTCCCGCGTCCCGGCCGCGGCGCCGGGCGTCACAGCACTGCCAAACGTGACTTGAAGGTCAAGGTCCGTTTTTTTCCTTGCGAACAGCACCGTAAACTAACCGACCGTCCAGCTGGTACTCATTTGAACCCTCCTATCACTGGGGACAAGGTCAGTTTTTTTTTTCCCGCTGTCACCATTTGCATGGCTCATCTTCATTGCAGAACACTTTGTTGACTAAATTTCAAAACTTCCACCCACGACTGACGCGCGCAGATTATGCCGCCGGAGGGATAAGTAACGCCTCGGGCTTGAACGCGGCGTTGAATGAAAGGGAGCGGGTGTGCGCACATCTTGGACGTTCGATCGTATATATCGCGGTATGTGCTCTTTCTTCTCTTGGCTTATTGACTACTGCTTACAACCGAATTATGGCAGGTCAAAGTGCATGGAATGTAGTGCGTCTGCTTCGCAAGCTGGCAGATCAAGGCCAGGCAATTCTTTGCACCATCCATCAACCCAGTGCTCTGTGAGAATTACCCGCAAGCATCAACCCTTCCCTCATCTTTTTTTTTTTCAGGCTCTTCGAATCATTCGACCGACTACTTCTGGTGAGTCTTCGATGTTTTACGTCGATAATTCAATGATTTGTGCAGCTCGAGCGGGGCGGAGAGACCGTGTATTTTGGCGACATCGGCAAAGACTCGCACGTCATCCGCAACTACTTTGCTGCCAACGGCGCATTCTGCCCGGCGAACGTCAACCCGGCCGAATACATGCTTGAGGCCATTGGTGCTGGTACAACTCCGCGAGTTGGCGACCGCGACTGGAAAGACATCTGGCTCGACTCACCGGAATGCGAAAGCCTGCGATCCAAAATCGCACAGATCAACAATGAGGCGTTGACCAGGCCTGTGGCAGAGAAGACCAAGCTGAGCACCTGTGCGATCGTTCTTTATTCCCATAAACCTTTGCTAATTTGAGGAAAGATGCGACCCCCTTCATGTACCAACTGCGTACCGTCACTGCTCGCAATTACCTTGCGCTCTGGCGATCGCCAGACTACCTCTTCTCGCGGTTGTTTGTCTGCAGCTTCATTTCGTTCTTCGTGTCGCTGTCGTTCTTGCAACTGGGCATCAGTCTCCGGGATCTCCAGTTCCGCGTGTTCTCGCTGTTCTGGGTCACTATTCTTCCCGTAAGGACCGCTGGTGTTGCTTTGTAACATATGCTCACCGTTGGGTCAGGCTATCATCATGGCTCAAATTGAACCTATGTTCATCTCCAATCGCCGGACTTTCATCCGAGAGGCGTCAAGTCGCATCTACTCCCCTTACGTGTTGTGCGTTGTTTCTTGGCCGTGATATACCCGTCTAACTTTGCTCAGTGCTATTGCTCAAACATTGAGTGAGATCCCTGGCTCCATTGGTAACATCTTTCTTTAAGATCACTTCCCTTCTAACACTGTACAGTTTGCGCTATCGTATACTGGGTCCTCATGGTCTACCCAATGCACTTTGGGCAAGGCGCTGCCGGGCTCAACGGCACCGGCTTCCAGCTGCTGATGACGCTGACGATGATGATTTTCGGTGTTACCCTGGGCCAGCTAATCGGCGCCATCAGCCCTAGCGTCCAAGTCGCGGCGCTGTACAATCCTTTCCTGACTCTGGTCCTCGGAACATTCTGTATGCCGCGTTATCGGTGATTATCTTATCTGACCCCCTATCTCTAGGTGGTGTTACGCTCCCGCATGTGAACAACGGGTTCTGGTGGACATGGCTGTACCAGCTTGTGCCGTACACGCGGACCATCGCCGCGATGGTGTCCACGGAGCTTTTGTATGTCGCTTATATATTTCGAGCGTCACTGACTCTGCCTTCAGCGGCCTGAAAGTGCGGTGCAAGAGCGACGAGTTTGCGACGTTCAACCCCCGACCAACATGACCTGCGGCCAGTGGGGCCAGGCCTTTGTCAACATCACGGGCGGGTACATCGACAACCTGGACGCGACGTCCAACTGCAAGTACTGCTCGTACGCGGTCGGGGACGAGTTCTACACCCCGCTGGGCATCAGCTTCTCTGGCGCTGGCGCGACTTTGGGATCTTCCTTGCTTATATTGGTTTGTCCCAGGTTGTCTTCTCGCTCCTGCTCTGACGTTGCACAGCTTTCAACATGGCTGCGACAGTCATTGCATCGAGATATCTCCGCTACGCCAAACGCTGACCCATAGACTATAGACCTATCATCATCATACAACTATACAATACTATTACACGCAATAAGCATTTCAGATTGTATTTTTCTACGACGACGGCGCGTTGATACCGCCAATACACTCCCGCAGTCCACGCATCGCCATACCCTCCCGCAGCCACCTCAACGCTTTACTCACCCATCGCAAAGGCTCGCAGCTCGCTAAGGCTCGCAGCGAGCGCTCTTATTTTATGCACACATAGACAAAAAATTTTACAAGCTACCCGACGCGTACACAACTCTACAGGCACTAAGTCTACCCTGCCAAGTGTGCATTACGGTAATTCAACTCGCGTCTCTCCCCCATTTAGCCGCGTGCGAGAGCAAAGTCTTAGGGACATGTGCTGTCCGGAAAACGAAGGATGCATCCGGTGACGTTGCAGGGCTTGTTACTCCCACAGACAAGTCGAGTGCCTTGACGCGATTGCGCGCAAGGCAAGTTCACCGATCACAAGTTATGGGCTTGGAGATTTGCCCTCGCAAGGCTAGTCGCAAGCAAGCTGCAGCCGCAAGGGCTCAAGACGAGTCTTGGGTTTAACAGTGGAGGTTGTTGATTGTGTGCGAGCAAGTTTGAGCCGACAAGGAGTTGGTAAACACGGTCGCAGACGTGTCATTTCACTTGTGCAGGAGGAGAAACTGAGTGAGTTCACCCAGTTCGGGCGCGTCCTGCCGGCTGAAGGCTCGCCAGCTGTAGTTTCTGATGGTGTTCGCAGGCTCCTTTTGTGCGAACTCCACCAAAAAAATGGCTGTTATGGAGCGCGGAGACGGCCTCGGTAGGGCTGGCTTAGAAACCAGCGCAAGTGGTTGTGATGGAGAACGGCTCCCACAGCGCCGCAGGCGAGCTCCCGCAAAAAATGCGTGTTGAAGGGTGGGATTTTAAAAGGGAAGAAAAAAGCAACACGCTCTACGCAAACATGGGTTGACGAAGATTTGCCCCGCCAACAGCGCCGCAGGCGAGCTCCAGCAAAAAATGGGTGTTATGGAGGGCGGAGATGGCCTCCGGATGTAGGGCACATGGGGATGGCGACGCGAGTTGTTGGAAGGTAATAGCACTGGCTCAGAGACCAGCAAAAGTGATGGTGATGGCGCCGCAGGCGAGCTCCCCGGAAAAATCGGTGTTGCGGGCAGTAATCGAGATTGTACATGGGCTTCGGAAAGTCATGCACATGTCTGTGCTGGGGACAAACACTGGCCCCGTGGCGCCGCAGGCGAACTCCAGCAAAAGATGCCTGTCGGAAGAGGGGAATTTTCAAAGGGGAAGGGAGTAGGTGCGAATGTGGGCTGACAGCATTTTCCCCCAACAGTGCTGCAGGTGAGCTCTAGCAAAAAATCACCATTACGTGTGCAAGTTTTCACATTGTCAACGCTGCTGGCTGTGGGCCACGCGCGGTAGGCCAGCTGCGCGTGGGCTCTGTGTTGGGGACAGAGATTGACCACGTGGCGCCGCAGGCGAGCTCCAGCGAAAAATGAGTGTTGTGAGAAGTGATGTTCGCGTCATGATCATGGCGGCTGCGCGGGGTATGGGTTGGTACGCAACACCTTGGTCCAGGACGGCAAAGGGGGAGGAGATCGACAGTAACACTACAATAGTTCAAGCCAAACCACAAAAGACAAATTCAAAACTTACGGAAATGGCAGCGCACTGCTGCCAACGCTTACGTTGCAAGTCCTCCCGTTTGGTCGCCTCCGGCGGCAAAACCCTGGAAAAAATGGAGCCTTGAATCCCATTTTTTGGCGTCCAGATAGCGCCTCAAAAACATCGGATAATTGATTGATCGCATCATTGATAGGCTTGATGGGCGCAATTTGCAGCAGAATGAGCCTCAGAATACTAGTATCAAGGTCAGCAACTGCATACAAAGACAAGAGCGGTAGTACTCACCATCAGGATGCGGGTGTTGACGTGCGATGGCGGGGACTGAAGTCAGGATGTCGGTGTCTAGGAGCTGATACCCAATCCAGCGGCTGGGAACGACAATGCCAACTAGAGAGCAGAGCCCGACATTAGGAAACCTGGCTCAAAAGTGAGTCTGACTAAAAGTGAGTGTAAATATGCTTACATAGACAGCGCAACTTCGGTATTTGGTTTTGGTCATGGTGGTGGCCGGCCCAACGGCGCCGCAGGCTCCGGCAAGAACAGGTGGTGTGGGCCATGCGAGGGGACCTGTTGCTGACGGAATTTGACTGGTAATCATTCAATCTGAGCGACGAATAAGCATCCCAGCGCATAGAAGAGGACAAAACATGTTGAGTAGGGTTTAGGGCCCCGAAGTGGTTGATTCACACGGCCTAACCGCGCCACAGAGGTTGGCACTTGGTCCGCTGGCTTGCATTTGTTGAGCGTGAGTTCAGGGGAGGGATGCCGGCCAGAGTAACCACTCGCGCAAAAGGGATGACACCCAGGCGACCACACTTAGGCAGCGCCATCGGCAAGATGGTACCGAGCTGACTGGCTATATCTGTAAACAAGAGTCAGACAATCAATGTATCAACGAAGGGGACACAAACCTAGTTTAGCGCCAACACCAAACATCCCGCAAAACACAAGTCAGCGGGAGAGCGAGAACTTGCGCAAAAAGCGTGAGTAAACGTGAAGCGGTTGCTGGTGGCGCCGCCACCCAGCGACATGATGCGCGCAGCACTACCGGAAGCGGAAGGTCTGCAGGGGAAGACTTTAGTGCAATATCAAAGACCAATGAGGCAGGACATACCGAGGCAAAACACAAGGTGTAGACACAAAAGGACTGACGACAGATGACGAGCTCTGTACAAGCCGAGTATAGCGCCACAGGCGGGCTCCAGCGAAAAAACTTGGCTTTCCGGAAAGCGCAGAGCTTGAGCGTGCTGTCTGGGCACATACACCCACTCAAAGCACACACACAAGTCTGAAAGTTGTGAGTGAGCAGATACAATTGGTCAAAGGAAGACCTACGAAGCCATTAGGATTAGGTGGAGAGGGCATGGTGGGCGCCTCAGAGAAGTCGTGGCTCATGTGTCTGTTGGGCACTGAGACGACGAGGGAAGTGTTGCCCCTGCAAGCGCTGGCTACGCGGTCGTGTAGTTCGCGAGCGGGGGGGCGACGACTGGGCAGAAAGTGGAAAAAAGAGGATGGAGGTGATAGTTTTGAGCAAACTTCAGATGAGGCGTGACTGATGTCAGAAAGAAAAGCACACGTGTCGCAACACGGTTGTTGACGCGTTGCTGGGTTGCCCATGACGGTGGGAATAAAAGGGTGACACGGCGTGACAACGCCGATGGCCCAGCAGAAATAACGAGAAAATAATGGCGCCATGTCGGCGGAGAGCGCAAAAGGTTCCCGAGTCAGCCCAAGCGGTTCCCCGAGTCAGGTTGTAAGCGAGGTTCCTGTGTTGACATGATTCGAATATCGGCAACCAAATACGGCACAGGGGTGATAGGACAAATGATGCCGCCTACCTTGACCGTCGTGGAATCTTTGTTCGGCTGGCTTTTGGCCCTATGCCGTTGGCTACCTTTTGTTCGAGTGTGTCATTTTTTGCCGCCCCCGCCTGGTTTTTTCCCGAGCATTACATCTTGTCACAGACATCTTGTCACAGGTAATCTGCCTCTAACCTGGCCCTCCATAATTTTTAACTGCCTTGCGCGACGCCATGCAGATAGTAGCATCCCCAAAAGGTAATAGGCACAACAATTGCTTGTTTTATGGTGTTCTCCCCTTGATCGGTGAACCCGAAGCGTGGGAAACAATGTTGAATGTATCTAAATGCTATCTACCACTTCATCCCCGCTATCCAGCATCTCAAACCCTCTGCTTTTCCTCCATCCCTTTTCACCCTGATAGGACTGTCCCAACCCATCGCCGTTCCCGATTGTGCCGGGCGTGTGTGAACCTTATGTCACCATTACCCCCTGGCATTTACCCGCGAGGATCGGACGGGAAGCGCATCTCCGCGTGCACCGTTTGCTTCGAACTGCGAAATACGCGAAATCGCGTATTTCACCCTGAGCAGCCGCCGCTCCCGCCGTAGCATCCCCCAGCGGATGGATATCACCCTGGGAAGCGTTTCAGCCGAGCTCAACTGCCATGTGCGCCGAGTATAAAAGCTGGCCAACATCAATTTGCGCGCAAAGTCTGCTTCTTTCCCCCTTCACCTTCAAGTTTCCCTCCACATCGTCGTCAATATATTCACTTCTTGTACATCCAAACAGTACTTAATGTCCATTCTCCAATCTCCCACTTTCCTCGTCAACTCGTTCACCTCCATTCCCACATGCCTCCCCGCCTCCTCGTTTGATCATGCTCGTAGCCCGCAAACAAAGCTGAAGGCATGTCAGCCCCAAACTCATTGACTTGGACTCATCCGGCTTACCTTGTTCTTAGCGACAGCTGGCTGATTAGCACCAGGCCACAAGCGAACTTTGCTGCCAAACACTATCGATTCAGGTGAGTAGTGTGCTCATAGACAAACTTACCTCGATGATTTAGCTTGCTATCCAGTCCTCCTTCGCCGCTGACTGTGATGAACGACCTCTAAAAAACAGGTGAGTCCTGAAACTGAGTTTGCGTTAGCGCGAGTCCAGACACCGTTGCAGGCCGACTTCGTTGTTGGCGCTGGTTTGAGTTGAATTGTATAATGTGAGCCCGCTCTGTTACTGTCGACAATTTGACCACTAACCTTCTAGTTTTTGCAGTGTTTGCGGATATCGTCTTGAGTGTCAGCGACAGTAGTCCAGGCGGCGTCGCGCACTTGATGCTGATGTGCCAACTGCTCAGTTTGCAGGTGAGTTTGACATACAGCAGCTACAAGCCAGCTTACCTTGATTTGCAGCAGGTCAATTTCCGCATGCAGCGACGGCGGCAAGCTGAAACAACAGCGTTGATGGATTTAGTTTGGGCTTTGGCACGGGTTTCATGTCGGGAGTCGTTGGCGACACTACTCCTCGGCGTCGTTGACTTGGTTTGAAGCGTGTAAACGGTCAGGCGGCCGCCATGTGATGGATATCTGGGTGAGTTTGCCGCCCAAAGCACTGAAAGCGACGACTGACCTTCTGTATGTCATTTCCAAAGTCCCGGCAGCGGCTACCGAACCTCGCGCCGTAGAGACTCGAGACATGTAAGCTCGAGATTCTTTAGTTGAAATCGTGCTCAGCTTGACATCGAATCAAGAACTCGTCTACGTGGGGTCAAGGTCGGCCTTAAGAAAACAAATTGAGATGAACTCACTTTGTCGTTTCAACTCGTACCCCGATTTGGGCTTAACTCGCGCAGACTCGCACTCAATGTTGCCAAGTTTCGTTTGCGATGCCCAACATCAAATCGGGCGAGGAACACCTCGCAGACATGTCTGTGCGAAAAAGTAAGTCATATGCGAGACGACTTTGACCTTGTCTTTCAACTTCTCGCTAGACCAAACACGAGACCAACTATTCAGCCTTGGAGCCAAGTTGGCCTTGCTGATTTCCCGGTGAGTTTGGTTCTGCGGCGAGATAGATGTGGGCTTGTTTACAGCTCGCAGCGTCGTATGCGGATAGCGCGCCTTCCGAGCAGCGAGGGACGACACGACCGCGTCGCTTGAAGTTGATTGATGGTAAGTTTCAATACTATACACAATATATTTTGCTCACTTTCGCAGTTAAATAATTCGTTGCCCCGTCTCCATGCTCAAAGCAGCCCCGGCAGGCTGCCAAACTTCGCGCCGCCATTGGTCAGCTTACTTGTGGGAAAGCACGCGTTAGCCTCATCTTTGCCGCCAAACCAGTCCCATCTTGTCTGCGATGTGTTGCTTCGGGATATCGCGGGCCGGGGCTTGCGGCGGAGGTGCCATCCGAGCTGAGTAAGTCGGTCGCGAGTTGCGCGCGGGGAGGAAGGCAAAGCCGGCCGGCCAGCCGTGACCCGTGGCTGCTCTTTTAGCGGGGTCGTTTGCAAGGCTGGGTTTGGCCGTCCCCGCTGATCAATGGTGAGTTTCCTTGTAAAACTCGAAAAATGACCACATAACATACTTTTAAAGGCTTGTTTCCATCCACAAAAGGCCTTGTTCGTTGCCGAACTACTTGCGCCGCAGATTCGGGATCGTCCTAGTAGCCAGTATGTAGTCGTGAGTTGCGCGTGTTGAAGGGCCGGCTGTGCCGTGAGTTTTCGCTGGCCTGGGATTAGGCGGTGGTTGCGGGAGAAGAGAGTTGCCGCGTTGCCGACAGAGAGTGTGAGCGGGCCAATCGCGCGGGTTTCCATGCGCGAGATTCTCTCGGGAGGCGTGCCGGTTAAGGCCAGAGCCCATAGACGCTCTCTCTTCAGGTGCCGCCCAGCGGGTCGCCGAAAGAGTGTCAGTGCGGAGGCCCATGTGATCCGGAACAGAGCCCGTGGCCTCCCCTTGCGAACTCCGCCATCGAAGTTGAAGTTGTCGCCGTCATGGTGGTCGTCGCGGAAAGAGTGTCGGTCCCGCGTCCCGGCCGCGGCGCCGGGCGTCACAGCACTGCCAAACGTGACTTGAAGGTCAAGGTCCGTTTTTTTCCTTGCGAACAGCACCGTAAACTAACCGACCGTCCAGCTGGTACTCATTTGAACCCTCCTATCACTGGGGACAAGGTCAGTTTTTTTTTTCCCGCTGTCACCATTTGCATGGCTCATCTTCATTGCAGAACACTTTGTTGACTAAATTTCAAAACTTCCACCCACGACTGACGCGCGCAGATTATGCCGCCGGAGGGATAAGTAACGCCTCGGGCTTGAACGCGGCGTTGAATGAAAGGGAGCGGGTGTGCGCACATCTTGGACGTTCGATCGTATATATCGCGGTATGTGCTCTTTCTTCTCTTGGCTTATTGACTACTGCTTACAACCGAATTATGGCAGGTCAAAGTGCATGGAATGTAGTGCGTCTGCTTCGCAAGCTGGCAGATCAAGGCCAGGCAATTCTTTGCACCATCCATCAACCCAGTGCTCTGTGAGAATTACCCGCAAGCATCAACCCTTCCCTCATCTTTTTTTTTTTCAGGCTCTTCGAATCATTCGACCGACTACTTCTGGTGAGTCTTCGATGTTTTACGTCGATAATTCAATGATTTGTGCAGCTCGAGCGGGGCGGAGAGACCGTGTATTTTGGCGACATCGGCAAAGACTCGCACGTCATCCGCAACTACTTTGCTGCCAACGGCGCATTCTGCCCGGCGAACGTCAACCCGGCCGAATACATGCTTGAGGCCATTGGTGCTGGTACAACTCCGCGAGTTGGCGACCGCGACTGGAAAGACATCTGGCTCGACTCACCGGAATGCGAAAGCCTGCGATCCAAAATCGCACAGATCAACAATGAGGCGTTGACCAGGCCTGTGGCAGAGAAGACCAAGCTGAGCACCTGTGCGATCGTTCTTTATTCCCATAAACCTTTGCTAATTTGAGGAAAGATGCGACCCCCTTCATGTACCAACTGCGTACCGTCACTGCTCGCAATTACCTTGCGCTCTGGCGATCGCCAGACTACCTCTTCTCGCGGTTGTTTGTCTGCAGCTTCATTTCGTTCTTCGTGTCGCTGTCGTTCTTGCAACTGGGCATCAGTCTCCGGGATCTCCAGTTCCGCGTGTTCTCGCTGTTCTGGGTCACTATTCTTCCCGTAAGGACCGCTGGTGTTGCTTTGTAACATATGCTCACCGTTGGGTCAGGCTATCATCATGGCTCAAATTGAACCTATGTTCATCTCCAATCGCCGGACTTTCATCCGAGAGGCGTCAAGTCGCATCTACTCCCCTTACGTGTTGTGCGTTGTTTCTTGGCCGTGATATACCCGTCTAACTTTGCTCAGTGCTATTGCTCAAACATTGAGTGAGATCCCTGGCTCCATTGGTAACATCTTTCTTTAAGATCACTTCCCTTCTAACACTGTACAGTTTGCGCTATCGTATACTGGGTCCTCATGGTCTACCCAATGCACTTTGGGCAAGGCGCTGCCGGGCTCAACGGCACCGGCTTCCAGCTGCTGATGACGCTGACGATGATGATTTTCGGTGTTACCCTGGGCCAGCTAATCGGCGCCATCAGCCCTAGCGTCCAAGTCGCGGCGCTGTACAATCCTTTCCTGACTCTGGTCCTCGGAACATTCTGTATGCCGCGTTATCGGTGATTATCTTATCTGACCCCCTATCTCTAGGTGGTGTTACGCTCCCGCATGTGAACAACGGGTTCTGGTGGACATGGCTGTACCAGCTTGTGCCGTACACGCGGACCATCGCCGCGATGGTGTCCACGGAGCTTTTGTATGTCGCTTATATATTTCGAGCGTCACTGACTCTGCCTTCAGCGGCCTGAAAGTGCGGTGCAAGAGCGACGAGTTTGCGACGTTCAATCCCCCGACCAACATGACCTGCGGCCAGTGGGGCCAGGCCTTTGTCAACATCACGGGCGGGTACATCGACAACCTGGACGCGACGTCCAACTGCAAGTACTGCTCGTACGCGGTCGGGGACGAGTTCTACACCCCGCTGGGCATCAGCTTCTCTGAGCGCTGGCGCGACTTTGGGATCTTCCTTGCTTATATTGGTTTGTCCCAGGTTGTCTTCTCGCTCCTGCTCTGACGTTGCACAGCTTTCAACATGGCTGCGACAGTCATTGCATCGAGATATCTCCGCTACGCCAAACGCTGACCCATAATTGCCGCATAGACTATAGACCTATCATCATCATACAATTATACAATACAGTACTATTACACGCAATAAGCATTTCAGATTGTACTTTTTACCCTGCAGCAGTCGAGGTACAGAGGCCAGGTTACATCAGACGCGTTACTTCTGAAGAACAACTACTTTCTTCCCAAGTTCCCACGATCCCGCCTTTAGAGTCGCCATTTCACTCACGCGTCAACTATGCAGCCGGAGGCCTTTCTATTCCGTCACTTTCGCACGTGGCATTTGTTTTTTTTTTTTTTTTTTTTGAATCACATTTATATACCGCGTACAAGTATGCGTGTGCTACTAAGGCGCGGTGCTCGGAGAGCAAGGGCCGGGGTGGGTTGGGTGTCATTTACTGTTTTGTGGGGTTGATGTATGGGTTTCCGTGTGATTGGTTGAGCAGCGTCTGGTTCGCTGACGTCCCGTGAGTCGTTTTGGCGAGCATAAAGCATGGGGTCATAGGGGGCCATAATTGGGCGGGTTGGCAGTGAAGTTTTCGTGTAAGAGGGCTCTCCCGCCGCTCTTGGTCGTCTTCAGGTCTACCTTCCATCCGTCTAACCATGATCCTCGATGCCGCCCGCATCATCTTCATCGTCAGACAATTCCGCCTCCGGCTCGTCTTCCAGCGTGGGAAGGGTCGTTTCTTCGCGTGGTCTTCCGGTCTTCGTGAATGCCCCGGATTCCTCGAGGAATTTGGACAGGGCTGCTATTCCCGAAGGTGTGCCGAGGATTTCGGTCATCGCTATGTCTCTTGATGCCTTCTTTAGATGATGTCGATGTTGGTTGTAGCGCGGGCATTCGCGCAAGATGTGTGTGCGCGTCTGAAACTCTGCCCCACAAGGGCAGTGAACGCTCTCATCTGGGACGAAGCGGCTGTAGTACTCGCCTATGTATCCGTGTCCCGTACGGCATTGCACTAGTCGCCCGAAAACCTCCCGCTTTTTAGCGAGCGCCTTGAAGTGTTTTGTTGGCTTCAGTGCCGGCCTAATCCTGTCAGCGAGCGCGAATCCGCCCTCAACCTTCCTGTTCTGTTTCCACTCACTGCGCCAGTCTCTTTGTAGCTTCGCCTTTGACCTTCGGATGGCGTTGGCCCTGGTCCCCCGTAACTCTGTGCCGAGTTCCGTGCCTCCTTTGGCCAGCTCGTCCGCCCTCTCGTTGCCCTTAATATCTTCGTGGCCCGGTGACCACGCGATCTCCACTGTCCGATCTACATCGTTGTCGAGGAACTCCGTCACCATCGTGTGGAAGCGGTGGGCGACCAGCTGCCCAGGTCGTGGTTTGGGGTCAAAGATTGTTTTGATGGCTGATGTGTTGTCGGCGAAGAAGTGCAGGTGCTTAATTGAAGCATCTTGTTTCGCCATTGCTGTTGCCTTTGCAGCTCCAATAAGTAGAGCCGCCAACTCCCCGTCGTATACTTCCGCACGACCACCTAGACCTTGTGATCTCGCAAATACTTCCTCGTGTCCTCTGTAGATAACCGCTCCCGCGCCCACTCTTCGCATCCGGTGTATCTCCCTAAGTGAGCCATCTGAATAAATGAGTATGTGTGACGGTCGTAGTGCCAGGTCCGCCACTCGCTCGAGGTGAGCTTTTGCCGCTTCAGCCTTCTTTACTCCTTTCGTAGTTGTTACCGTCATTCTTCCTCCAAATGCTGACAAGTTGCGGCGCCATGGTGGTGTCAGGAAGGGGGAAATCCTCTCGTCATGCGGGCTTGTGTGGCGGGCCAGTCTTTCTAGCTGCGTCGTCTTCTGTTGGTCAGCTTTGTTTCTGTTGTTGGGTTTCATGGGCATTGGTGGGGGAGTCGCTGGAGCGTTCCCGCTGCGCCATTCATCAGGTAGACGTTGTATGACTGGGTTCTTGGTACTCAGCTTGTTAAACCGTATCCCCGCGCGTCGATTTGCCTGGTCCAGTGCTAGATGTATCGGGGGTACTGATGCTTCAATCTCGAGTGCGCGGACGGGGGTTGTGCGGAATGCGGCACAGATCAGCCTTAGAGCTCTCCGCTGTACCTTCTCGAGCTGCTTGACATGGTTTTTCTTGCCTGTCCACCATACACAGCTTGCATAAGTCATAACCGGGACGACACATGCCTGGTACAGTTGTCGCATGTGGCCTTGGGATAGGCCTTTGACTGTGTTAGCGAGCATCGTGATTCCGTTGACCGTGTTTGCTGCCCGGGCCGCCAGCGTCTTGACATGGTGGTTGAAAAGGAGTTTGCGATCAAGGAACACGCCGAGCCATCTCAATGAGGTTGAGACCACGACTGTCGTGTCGGTGCCGTCGGCGCTAGGCAGTTTGATTGCTGGGGACTTATCCTTTCGTCGACGTGTGTAGTGCATCAGTTCTCGCTTGGTAACATCGATGTCCAGTCCCGCTGCACGGAGCCAGTTGTGTACCCGTATGTATGCGAGTCGTAGCATCCTAACATTAGTATCAAGTGAAAATGATGATACGTACAGTTTGCCATCGTCTACATACATAATCAGAGACGTGTCTGAGGGGTCGTCCGGGAGTGGTATATGCCCAACGATCGATTTCTTGGGCTCGAATGCTTCCAGGAGCCCACTACTGTAGAATGCTGCCAGAATTGGTGAGACTGGCGAGCCCTGCGGAATCCCGTTCTCGACTGCCTTCATCTCCCCTCGGATCCCGTCGAGGCATACCGCGGCTTGGCGGTTTTCCAGGAATGTGGCTGTCCACTTGACATATTCGAGCGGGATGCCTTTGCGTCGCAGTTCGCAAAGTAGTCTCCTGTGATTTACGCAGTCAAAGTATCCTTTTATGTCAAAAGTTAGGGCAGACGTAACCTTGCCACTGTTCCATGCTGCCTGTACATCGTTTGTGAACGTGAGTAAGGCGTCTGTTGTTGACGTATTCGATACCCCTCCGAACTGCGTGCCTGGGACCAGGTCATGCCGCCCGGCCAGGTATGCTAGACGCCTTGCTACAATCTTCTCGAGAACCTTGCCTAGACACTCCAGAAGTTGAATTAGTCTGTACGCGCGCGGGTTTGAGTAGTCTGGCTTGTTTGGCTTCCGTAGCGCCACTGCTATCGCTTTCCGCCATTGTTGTGGGTGGTAGCCATTCTTGAGGCACTTCTGCATGAGTGTAGTAATCTCCCCTTGTGTCTCCGGGTCCACAGTCCAAGCCCACCGGAGGAGTTTGTAGGAGACCTGGCTCTCTCCAGGTGCCGAGGACGTGCTGGAGTCGAAGATGGCCTCTCGGACCTCTTCCGTGGTTACTTCCTCGTACTCAAGGTCACCAGCAAGCCTATCGCTCAGGTTGATGTCAGGTTCGTGTTCCAGCGGCGGCGGGGGTTGGAACAACTCATCTCGGATAGCATCACATTTTTCTCCGTGGGTTACTGCCGGGTCCTGCCCGCGGCGGGTTATTGCAGGGGTTGGGTAGTTGCGAGTTCCCTTGGACCAGTTGCGGAATCCCCAAATGTCCGCCGTCTCCGCTGATTGTACCTTCTCAATCGCCCATTTAGCTTTGGTCCGTTTCACAAGTCTCTTGAAAAAATTGCCAATGGTCTTCGCTTTCTTCCGTAGGTATGTTGACCATCGCCCACTCCTCGTCTCCTCTGTCTTGAGCTCTATTTGGGCTTGCTTGAGCTTATTGGCTGCTTCCTTCAGCTCGACTGTCCACCATGGTTTCGCTGCCTTGCTCGGTTTCTTCACCTTCCCCACGCTTGCTGTTGCTGCGTGCATTGCGTCCGTTAACGCTGTTGCTGCCAATTCCAGCTCGTCGTCCGTGGGGTTGGAGTCCCCCATGATTGGCGTGATGCTCGCGACCCTCTTTTCGTGTTCGTACCTAAACGCAGACTGCCAGTCTTTCGGTTCAACTAGAGATAGGCTGTACCTTTCACCCGTTATATTCTGGATTTCATGCCTTCCATGGTCTATAATGAATCTTATTCCATGGTGGTCTGATCCATATGACATGCCGCGGTCGACCGACCAATCTTTGATTGTTGCGTTTGTTGCTCCAATTGCGTTGGTCAGCGTAAGATCTATAACTGAACTTGACCCGCGTGAAGAATGTGGAGTGAATGTTATCTCAGCTTTTTCATTCATTAGCGTGAATGCCGCTCCCCCGTTGTCCCCGGATATCCACTCGACAAACTTCCTTGATCGCTCGTTCGAGTTCTTGTTCAGGCATGACCAGAGTTCGTGATGCAGGTTGAAGTCGCCGAGGATAACGACCGGGCGGTCCATTGGGAGGATGAGCTCGGCTAACTTCTCCACCGAGCTGTACGGTAACTCCGTGTCATTGTACAGGTTTATGACGAGCACTGTTGGCGCTCCTTGTTGTGTCACGTCCACTGCTTGCATGTCGAGGTCCTTCAGCAGGTCAGAGCGCAGCGTGACCTGGAAGTCGGGCCGCGTTTTGAAGTAAGTCATGACTCGGGGTTGTTTGTCCTTTGGTATGTTGTCCATCGGCAGCATTGGTGTCCATGCCTGTTGTGCCATTGGACCGCGTACATCGTTTCCATTTGTGTCCGACCCTATTCTTGACCAGCATGGTTCTTGAATAAATAGAATATCAAAGTCTCTCACCGCATCGTTCAGTAATCCAGCCAGGGATTCTGGTTTCTTGTTGACGTTCAGTTGTCCAAGACGAATTGGCCGCGTTCTAAGTGTTCGCCGGTCGTGTCCAGTCATTGCGTCTCGAATTGGTGTCGGTTGTTCGTGTAGGCTTCGGCAATGCTTTCCGGTGTTAGAGTTGTTCCTGCTGGTAGGGCGGCTCTTATATTGCGCACTGCTGTGTCTAGGGCTGTCAGCTGTTCAACAGACAGTGCGCTGAACTGGTTCTGGCCCTGTAGCTGGCTGATTGTGCCCTCCTCCCGTGTCTGAGCAGTTGGCGGGCCCGTTGGTCTCGTCTTGCGTGTCCTCTTTGCTGTCTGCCAGCCGTTTTCCTTGTCAGTCATGTTCGCGTTTGTGTTTGTGCCATTTTTGGCGGCGCTGTATCGGGCCAGTCGCTCCGGACATTGGCGAGAGTCCGCCATATGGTTCGCGTCCGTGTCAGGTTTTCCCTTGCAGTTTGCGCACTGTACGGTGTGTGCGCAAAGTGTATCCCCGTCTAACTCCATTCCTTCGGCCTCTGATTCAGCTCGGCATTTGTTGCATTCGACTGCTGGTACATTTCGGTGTTGTTCCTCCGTGTGTGTTTCCGCGCAGATTCGGCATCGCGGTTCGTTCTTGCATGCCGCCTGGAAGTGGCCGAATCCTTGGCACTTTTTGCATTGGATCACTGGCGGTTTGTCGGTGTATAGGGATATGCGGCAGTATCTACCGAAGAGGGCGAGGGCTTGGACTTGCCGGGTTAGTCGCCGAGTTTCTTCTGAGTCTTCTGCTGCAAAGACAATGGACGAGAACCGGGCCACTCCCATTTTCAGCTCTTGCTCCGTTCTCAGCCAGGATGGTTGCCTCAATATTTTCAGCTCGGCGTATTCTCTGTTGTTCTCTACCAGCTCCTGATGTAGCGTTTCCGAATTGTAAATCCCGGGGATGTCGTCCAGCATGCCTGTGCGCACCCCATCTACCTTGATCTTCACCCACTTGGTGTCTGGTAGCGCCAACGCTGGGTATGTTCGGGAGATCACGTCCAAGAACAGATGTTGGAACTGTAGCAGTTCTTTGGCGTTTTGGTCGCTTCGGAGTGTGATTACACAGTTGCCGTTGTCGTTGTATTTTACTGATACTACCCGCAGGTGTTTTGCGTCGTCATTGGCCGTCAGTCTTTCGTTTATCTCTTTGCACGCAATTGTGGGGTCCGGTCTTGATCCTGCTCCGTTCGAATCCTCCTTGATCTGGACAATGAGCCGGGCATCGTGGTGAGGCTTGCGTGGGTTGGAGGTCTGTTTTGAGTTCGTCCCTGGTGTATTTTTTCGTGTCGGGTTAATCGTCGGTCCCATCGCCGTCGTCGTGTTCGTGTTGTGGTTGCCGTTTGTTGATGTACTGGTAATGGGTGTAGTTGCTGCCTGTAGCTCCATTTGTCGCTCGAGTTTCTCCAGTTTGCCTACCAGCGTCGCTTCCAACGCCCTTGTCCGTCTTGCTAGGTCAGCGACCTGTTCTGCCGCCACTAAGCTCTCTCGTTTGGCCGCCTCGGCGTCGTGGGCTAGCGCTCGGAGGGTTTCCTCTACGTGGCATTTGTGGGTGCCTGCCTGCTTTTCAGGGGAGATGGCCCATTCTCGATGTCAATGGCCTCGCAAGGCCCTGTACCGAATCTAGACCTCCACACATATCGATGTTTTGTGCCTCCCCCTCAAATTCTGAGCAATTAGTCCTTCCTGGATGAACAAAATTCCGCGCAAGGGCTAGCCGAGGGCCGGCGTTCGCATCTCGCCATGGGTTATGCCGACGGGCCTCTGCGCTTACTCGCGGTTGAGCTAAGAGCAGCAGCGGATCGTCGATGAACAAGCATTGTCTTCCGCCGTGCGAAGTGGTCGACGTCGCCGTCAACCTATTTCTCCCCTCGGCGGTTTTTTTTGTGGAGGGCTCCTATATTTCATCGCCACGCTACAGTTCCTATCGACTCATGATTTACAGACGCCGATGCGTATATAAAAAGCGTATGAGGGTAGCGCGGACTCAGCCATGGCCTCCTCCACTGAAATTATCATCTATGTTATGGGTGGTTGGGTGAGTGACGAGTGTTGGCTCATTTCCCGAATCTCACAGAACAGGACTTGGGCATCTGCGGGGACCTCCTCCTGCAGGGCGTGATTTTCGCGCAAATAGCCCACTACTTCACTCTCTATCATTCCGACATATTCGCGCTTCGCTTGTTCGTCTTGGGTCTTTTGGTGCTCACAACACTCAAGTCAATGCAAATGATGTGCGTGGCGATTCTGTTCGAGAGGCGGACTGACGGGTTCTGCAGTGGCGTTATGTGGGTCCAGAATGTCGTTTACTTTGCGGACGTTCGCGGAGCGGCAGATTTATTCTTCACCCACTGGCTCGAACAAGTCAGCCTAGGTAACGCGCCAGCTCTCTCGTTGAGATGGTACTCATCGTTTCTAGCATTTGGCGCCTGTGTGTCGTTCTATGTGCAGATGTTTCTCTGCCATCGTCTCTGGGTAAGGGTTCCTCTCGAGGCTTGTCCCATCGGCACTCAACTTTCCCAGGTCCTCAGCAAAAACGTCTACATCTTCGTGGCCCTGGTGTTGATCTTCTTCTTCTCCTTGGTCGCCGCGTTTGTCTCAGTATGTGCCCGTTTTGCTGTCGCGCATTCATTTACCTCGCGCAGTTGGTCTTCACGCTGCATAACATTGCGTCCCCGCTGCGAAGCATTTGGAGTAAGCGTGCTTAGATTGCGTATGAGGTGGCTTAATCGACATCACAGTTTCTGTCCACGTCGGCGTCGTTTTTGGTGGCGACGTCCTTCTCTGTTTATCAACAGCACACTTTTTACTGGTGCGCGAAGACTTGTTTTTCTCCCGTTCGTCGCTGACCTCAGGTGCAGAAACACTCGAAACAAGTGCTGCCCCAAACCGCGGGAATGCTGAATGCGATCCTCAAGCTGACCTTCCAGACCGCCGCGCCGGGTGCGCTCTGTGCGATGATGAACCTGATTACCTCGCGGACGTCCGACAAGCCCGACCCGTACAACGTCTCGCTGATGCTCTCGGTCATCACGACCGACATGCTCCCGAAAATATACGCCTTCAGCGCGATGTGGACGCTGAACTCGCGGCGCTCGATCCGCCTGGGCGGGTCCTCGAACCAGGACACGAGCAGCAACGACGGGCCGAGTGGCGGGCGGAGAACCGGGCCGAGCGGCGGGCGTGGCGGTGTCGAGTTGGGGACGTTCGGAAAAGTGCAGCGCATCCAAGTCAGGACACAGGTGCAGACGATGCGTCATACGGATGAGGATGGGATGATGTTTGGGAAAGACGACGACGATGATGACAGGAAGGGTAGGGGGATGGAGGAGGCGAGTGTTGAGACGGATAGGAGATAATATAATTTGTTGTCAATTATTGGGGGTGCCCACTTCGAGTCCTTTCGCGGGATTTTCTTGAATGCCCTTGAGCTGATGAAGAGCATCCATATGATATAGCGTCGAAGAGGCACCGACGTTTTGGACGAACTTGCAAAAGTTCAACCAACAACAGAAGAGAAATTTGGATCACATGACTTGACGAATGTCTTCATCATCCTCCGAGTCAAAAACGCGTTGGATCCATTGTGCCAGTCATCCGGCTCGCCTTCAAGTCCCCACAAACTAATGTAAAGCGGCAAGAAGTACTCTTCTGCCGCATAACTGCCAGTGATCCCATTCCGCCTATTGAATCCCAGCGCCTATCTGTGCAAGTACTTAAACTCGACAATGGCGTCTTTACCTTGACCCTACTATGATGAAGCCGTCGTGGAGGCGTATCGCAGCCCTTTTCACGGTCGCATTGTTGACCCACCAGTGCTCCGCTACAACCAAAACGCTGTCGAGTAGCGGCTGCCGTGTCCAAGCCTGGGTGCGGGCGGAGGATCTTGCCCCCGACACAACGTCCCACGGTGAGTCCTATCCAAGGAGTGGACCGTGCAATTCTGATTTGGCGTGTTGTAGGAGACTTGCGAATCAAGGTCGCCCCGGCACACTGTGGGACCAAAGTCGCTTCCGTCGCGCTCCGCCTCAGCCTCGATGAGTTCGCCGAGGTGAAATACATGCGTCCTGGCGCAGAATTGCCCCCAATCGTCAAAGCAGACAACCAGACACGGCCGGATTCGCAGTTGGCTGGCGGGTGGATGGTCCGTTCTCAGGACAAGGATGAAATACTGTACAACTACACCGCCTACGACCGAGCGCTCAGCGACCCTGCACTCTGGGTTGTTAAGGCAGAAGAGCGCAAGACGTGGACCACGGAGGCGACGTTGTTTGGAGGCGATTTGGGTGATTCACCATCGACCCCGTTGCTTCAGTGGAGTACTTGCATGACCCAGAGGCTACAGCTGCCTGAACTCGTCAGCAAGGACTATGTGATCTACGCTCCTGTGGTAAGCTCTTTACCGCCCTTCAAACCTCTCCCTGCTCTGTAGAACAAACGCAAGTTCAATCGTTTCGCTGCGTTTCGCGAGGTGGATGTGATGTTTGTTATGCAAGGCCCGCCGACCGACATGGACAACTTTGTCGACGCCAGCATGTCGATTCCGATTGCGCCGCAAACGTGCAGCGTCGATGACCATGCGTCCAAGCGCGAGCCGGTCAAGATGGTCGGCAGCCCCTTTCCCTTCCCAGATTGTTACGTGTCTGCATTTGACAACGGGCGCCTGTGCACGGCGAACGTCCGCGTCGTGGACCCTGTCATGTGCAAGCTTGACAAAGAAGACCAATCACGTGTCACCCGTTTCACCAACGATGATCGCGAGCTTCACCAAACTCGTCTCCAGGAGCAAAAGGCAAAAGAGCCAGCGGCGGAGGCGGTGGACGGAGACAAGCGTGAAGCAGACGCCGCAGAGCACAAGGCCGAGAAAGATGGCGAGAGCAAAATGGGCAGTGGGGCCGAAGATGACGATGAAGACGAGTCTGTAGGGCAGATGATCATCGTCAAGTTTACGCACGACCTCTCGCGCGTCCACACAATTTACCATCCTCGCGAACTCCTGGAGGAGGCACAGAAAATTGAGAAGTACGTGAGAAATACTCCGAGCTGTTTCATTTTGCTCATGTGCAGCGCAGAATAGTTGAAGCTTCAGAGGCACGAAAGCAGGCAGCCAAGATCGCAGCCGCTGAGAAGGATGCAACGTCTTATGACGCAAAAACAGGTCGGTTTGCCCAGTAAATATGTCTCGTGAAGCTCACTGTGTTGCCTTGACAGCTCAACTCCTACAAGACCGTGATGTGCCGCGAGATAAAATCTCGTGTTCACCAGCCGCACCTTCCCGCCGTGGCTTCATAACACGCATAATAGCCCGTAGCCTGAGCATCTGTAAACCAGCATTCCGTCGTATACTTCACATATCCACGCAGAATAAGTATTAGTCGTCCATAAATACAAGTAGTCGCTCGTGAGGGAATGCGATCATGACAACTCTCAGATTCATGCTGATCACGTGCCGCCGACCTTGTTTTCTTCTGCTTTTGTTCATGTCAGACGTCCACTCACCCACAGAAACAAGGATGAATAACCAGCCCTTGTCCCTTGCTTTCATCGCATCTCGTGTCCCTCAACCATCTGCGCCGTCATGAATCCAGCAGCAACGGGAGTCATTACAAGTACCGACACATCCCAACTCAACTCCATGGCCTCCGTTGAAAAGACACCAGAGGCCGCATTCGCTCCTTTAGGAGGAACTTTTGCCGTGCTCACTATTGACCCTGTTGCATCGGTGGAATATTTGCATGACCCCGAGGCGACAACGGCAAGTGCCAAACTTGTTAGCAAGGACTACGTGGTGTCAATCCCTGCTGTAAGTGCGTTCTCGATCTGCTTCCATCCTCACCAACATCTTGCAGCTCCAGTGTATGTTCAATCCTGCGGCGCCTTTTCGCGAAGAAGACGTTTTATTCGTCCAGCAAGGCAGACCGCAAGATTTCCCTGCCCAATGTATTGACGCCAGCATGTCGATTCCGATTGTCCCTCAGAATTGCGGTGTCGACGAGCATCCGTCGAAACGCGAACCAGTTAGGATGGCGACCAACCCATTTCCTTTTGCGGACTGCTACTTGTCTGCGTTCGCGACCGCCAATGTGCGCACCGCAAATATCCTCGTTGTGGACCCTATCATCTGTGTTCTCCACAAAGAAGACCAATTGCGCGTCAGCAATTTGACGGAGGATGACTTCGAGCTTCGCCGCCTCAAGCGTCTACGAGAGCAGAAAGGGAAAGAAGAGCAGCGTCAAAATGTGATACCGCCAGCGAGAAGGATGACGGAAGCGATGTAGACGCCGATGAACCAATCGACGAGGCCAACGAAATGGTTGCCATCTTCCGCTGCTTGCTATCGAATGAGCCTTCCGAGCAGCTCCCCGCGGTCAAATTTACCTACGACCTCTCCCGCGTCAAAGAAATCAACGATCCCCGCGAGTACTGGAAAGAGATGGACCAAATTGCCGAGTAAGCACTTTCTCTTTTTTTGCCTCTTTTTGATTGAGGACTCGGAGTAGAATCATCAAAGCATCGATGGCACGCAAAAATTCCGCCAGAGCTGCTGCAGCAGAAGTCGATGCTGCATGCTATGATAATAAAACAGGTAGGTCGAGGCTAATGTTTATTTTTTTTTAATGCTCACCTCCGTTCCTTAGCCAAGTTATTACAAGGCCATCAAGCATCCCAACCACAAAATGCGAAAAAATCGCGTTCTTGGCTTTCGACAGCAGCGTTAGCAGAAAAATGTCGGCCAGTCCGCTTGACACGGATAGTTGCTCGAGGTGTTCACAGTTGCAAATCTCTCATTCATCGTATCTTATGCATGTCTTGCGAACATTAATATCGTCATGCATGACCCAGCATTATGATCACCTCGTCCGATCTGCTCATAACCTGGCTACATCAGGTCTGAATCAGCATCGGACTTGAAAGCTCAGGCTTTCTCTCGTTGACACTGTATCAGTTTTGTGCTGTTAAAAACGATAGTTCGCAGGTTTATGTAGAGCAGGTCTATGTCTCATGCGATACGGAAGATAAACAAAAAGCGTTCCGGAGGAGTGATTTTGTTGTGTCTAAAGCCCGGGAAATCCTTCGTGCTATTCGCTGCCGGAGAGATGGATGCCACTTTTCTTCGGGTGACGACAGAGGCTGTTGTGCGTCATTTCTCTGCTCTGGAATGTCGGAATCGCGTGGCAGAGCTTGGTATCCTTGTAACAATTCCGCTGAGGACAAGGTAAATACTCCATAAACGGTACAATCAAATATGGCCGTGCCTGTTCTATTATCGTACCGCGCAGCGTCATTCTGGAGTGCCGCAACTTTGACAGCCTCCTTTCGTGCCAGTGATGCTTTGACGATTCTGTTCTGTGCTCAGCACACAACACGGGAGGAAAAACATGAAAATAACTGACTCGTTGATTTGATCCACCTCCTCCCAGTATCCGCGGGGATTGTTAAACTCGCTGACTCTTGATAAGTCGAATGTGTAGGTTACGGTTGTAAGGTTCTCCGGGACTTCGTTTGACAGCAAAGTGCGGATGATGGCGGCAGTTTCTTCCGGACCAGTAAGTTCAAGTTCCTCTTCGTCATCTACATTTCCTGCATCAACTTCAACTTGGCCAGAAGGACCGCCCTCTTCCAATGATTCTGGCTGGATCACAGATTCGGTATCTTTCCGCCTCGCTTCCTCCCGCTCCTCCATGAGGTCGGTCTGACGCTCCTCGTCATCGCCTGTGAGTACTATGAAACGAAATTGTTCGTCGTCGTCCAGTTCGGCAGCAACAGGCTCTACACTCTTAACGTTCGCGCAACGCACAATCACAGATGCGAATGCCGTGAGATAACAGTCCGGCCAAGGGAAAGGCTTGTCGACCAGTTTCAGTGGTTCGCGACCAGATGGGTGCTCAGTGACACCAATGGACTGCGGGGCGATAGGGAGGGACATGCTGGCTTCGACACAGTTTTCGGCCAAGTCCTGTGGTTGTCCCTGGAGAACAAAATAAGATCGTTCTTCCCGAAATGGTGCATGAGGGTTGAAGACTTTGAGCCACTGTGCCGAAAGGTCAGAGATGCGCACATAAGTAGTTGCTGGGAGTCATACACCCGATGAATATATCACGTAGGGCTTAGTGTTAAGTTTGGAGCTTGCAACCGTCGCTTCTGGATCTTCGAGATACTCGACAGACGCTACAGGGTCAATCTTGAGCAATGCAAATGTGCCTCTGCGTGGAACGAAGTCGGGTTTAACGTTGTTGGCCATTGAGGACAGAGGTGAGGAGACGTCAGGTCAGTCCACCACACAAGTATGTAGATGGTCAAGGTCTGCCGACTACGTAAGCTCCCGTGACCACCTTTTATTTTCCAGCTACTTATGTACGTTTCCCATGGACACTCAAATCCAATTTTGACCTGCTTCAATCTACTTTTCCGAGTCGTGGGTAACAAGCTTGTTGGTTGTCTTACACTATACTTGAAGTTCTTTTGTCGCTGGCGCGCGACTATTGGGAGCTCTATTGTGAATACCTGGACCCACAAAGGTTATTGTTAATGGACAACGTCGCCACGGTGATGCAAGTGAGTACAACGGCTATTGTCAGCCTTGTTTATTTTCTTCTATAAAGTCGTGGAGGTGCGCTCGGATTCAGACCACTTCAAACTCATGGTTCAACCAAGCTTTCCTTGCGAATATTGCAATGACTCGGACTCCCGCCCCGTTCGAATTCACCGTTTGGATGGGAAAGGCCAAGAAACTGTGCGCAACGGGGCCGTCAGGACGGCTGAATATACATCTATCCGGGTCCCACTTCTTGGTCTTGTTGCTGATGGCGATGTTAAATCCTCCATCTTTAGTGGAGCTTCGTCGGTGGCCTCCGGTAAACCACGCCGCCCGTGCGTGGTGTACGACGCAAGATCTCAACTGGTCTGTCTAATGTGTAGCTTTGGCGGCTCGCCCCCACCAGCAATCTTCCAAAAATTCCTAGTTCCTGTCTTCCCCAACATGGTCAGCGGACAGGCACATATTCATTCTGTTCCAGAATGGGACCATCAATACGACCAATGGATTCTCGCCGTACCCTTTCAGCCCCGCGTTGACGACCTCGAATATCTTCCACAGTGGACCTCGACCTATATGACACAAGGGGCTCACTTCGACAGGAAAGCAATCGACGAACTGAAAAAGCGATCCCGTATGATAGCTGCAGACTGGATTGAGATGTCCGAAACAAATCCAGAATTTGTGCAACAAGTAAAGCAGTACCTTTCCGTGGGTTTCCCTCTGTTGATCTTCATATCTTGCGACTAATCACTGGTTTACTCAGACTTGGGAAGAAGGAATGACATTAGCGGGCAGCCAAAGCCGCCTCACGAAAGCCTCATATCGTTCTAACAGAACTTGTGAAACAGACACCCCCGGCATCGACAGTCAAATGACGCGTTTAATTATGGACAAACCAAATCTCGCTATTCCACTGGAACAAAGACCAGCATTGATCCAGGTTCAGTAAGTTGTGTACCTTGGTACTATTTTTCTGAACTGAGAGCCTGTCAGTTAAAATACTATTCGGATCGTAATTACCTGCGACTGGGGTATCACATCATTGTGAGCTTAAATGTAAAATTGATTCAGCCCGTAATGAAGATGGCTTTGTAGCGACTCAAATGAAGCTTTGAGACGGCAAGGCATTTGTGCACGTATCTCTTCATTTCTTCTTACGATGGAATCTTTCGGTTATGAACCAAGAGATGTTCGTGAACCAGCCAAATATGTACGTTCCTCGCGCTGGCGCCTCTGTGGTTCTCCGAATGAATTCTGTGGTTTCCGTTGCACACCTGGATGATCATGACGTCGACGCTGCTGTCGCCACTGGCAGGTCCTGTTTGGGAACTCAGCGATAGGCTGCAATAACAGCGTTTCGTGAGCGAGATGAATGTTAAGCACAAAATAATTTTATTGTGGCTTGCTGCCCGGTCCCACGACAACGTTAACATCGAAAGCATAGGACATGGAAAGGACAAATACTTTGGAATTGACGAACACGCATCTATAGATTGTTTGATGAAGAGGACACCGGTAAACAGAGAACACGACGAATGAGGCCCCTGTTGTGCGTGCAGCACAAGCAAAAAAAAACCCTCCGATATTCGGCGCCTGATGGAGATATGTGCTTTCTCTGTCGCTGTCGCCATAGGTAAAGGCCGGCTCTCTTCACTGTCAGCTGCTGGCGCCACAGCTAGTAGCATTCACCGATGGGAATGTTGTCGAGCAAAGCGCAGGACATACAAACTTTGCCCCGAATTTCGTCAAGCAAACCAGCCTGCCCTCCGTTATCACAGCGGTCTTTCGGGATGCGGCTAGGGCTCGGCACCGTACCGTAGTGGTACGGCAGTACGGCGCCGTAGTACGGCTACGGCGCCGTACCGTACCAGGGGTTGATGGTGGCTGGTACGGTACGGTACGGCTCCGGTGAGCCGCCGTACTGACCGTAGCCGTAGCGCCGTATCCGGCCGGGGTACGGTCGCCTACGGCGGTCGCTTCTGATGGGCCACGGGCCCGCAAATCGTGAGCCGAACGCCGCCTCACGAGGTCCAGAACACCGGCTTGTCAACATCCTCATTGTTGACCGGTGATGGACGCTCGCCAGCGCTGGCCCGATGCGTCGTCGCGGTGACATGATGTGACACCGGCGCGTCACATATGGTCCCGCAGGTGCGCAACCGGCGCTAACGATGAGAGCAGACCTTTGGAGTAATCAAGGTCAGTCTCGCAGCCATCAGACCGCCTAATAACCCACCGGCAGGGGTAGAATGCGTGCCATCAGACATTGATGGCAACTACGGCCGTATCACCGTATACGGCCGTACCGGAGCCGTACCGGAGCCGTAGTGAGGGTCGCCAAGTGGCAGTACGGTACGGCGACGGTCCGGGAGGCGCCGTATTGCGCCGTAAAAGTACGGCCGTAGCCGTATACGGTACGGCGCCGAGCCCTAGATGCGGCCAACGATCACGGTGACCCTGCGCCCCCTGATGTGCAACAATGGATAGAGAAGAGAGAACGATGCTTCCCCTCGCCCGAACAAACTGTCTACGTTGGGGAAGTAAGGCTGGAGGGTGGGAACACAGTGCAACGAGGTTTTGGTCTCCCATTTACAATTGGTGGTGCCTCGCTCATGCAGATCCAGGTGAGAAGATAACGGGTAGGGTCTCTATCAATGCGACCAGGGGCTCCACAACCATGTCGCGCATATTCCTCACACTTGGCATCACGCAGAACATGGACTGGGCCAAGCGGGAGGCGTCGGCTGGCGGGGACACAGAATTCTCGAACGACGATATTCGCCGCTACTCCGCACACTCAGACCTGATATCTCTCGCCCGCACCGAACATCTCTTCCATGAGAACTTGCATGAGCTCTCCTTTTTTGTGCCCTCTGAGAGCGCCGGCGGGGCCGTCAGTCACGACAAGCCCTATTTCGACTTCTCCCTCGAGGTCCCTGAATATATTGCGCCTGCGTTTACGGCCTACTATGGCTCCACTGGCGCAAACCTCGTCATAAACCTCCAAGCGGTCTACTCACGCGAAATCGCTCGCTGCCTCGATGGCAACCAAGACCAAGACATCTTCGATATGCCGCCAACTCGAAAAGCAGTGATTCAGACGATGCCATGCAAACGGAGGAGGGCTTGTGGGATTCGCACACGATGGTGGGGAAACCGCACGCGGTCGCGCCGAGCAGGATACAATACCTCCAAGCACGCATTCCGGTGGTGGTCGTTGGCAATACCGTGTCCACAGCGCCAATAAAGCACTATTTGTCTCCCGACGCATCGTCTCCAGTGCTGCTTTCGTCCCCCGCAGACGTCGTGTTTCCGCCACTGCGTCCCATCGTCACCGAAGAGCCTATTCAGAACACAACCAAAAGGCTGATGCCGACGGACAGATCGGCCGACCCGTTTCGGGCCAGGAGAGGCAGAGGAATCATAATGGGGCTGATCCCTGATGATTGGTCTTATGAGGCGCCGCCGGATCCAGCAGCGGGTTATAACGCAGGCAACTACGCAGGCCTGTTGTGGAAGAAGAAAATGGTGGCGATTGAGCGGGGCATTTTGGCCCCCGACTCGGAGCCCACTCCTCCCTCCGAAGAAGGACAGCAGCCGTTCTTGACCATTCCTTGAGTAGTTGGGCTATTAGTTCTTAGCTGTCCTGATACTAGTAGAAGAAAATACACGGCTTGCTCTGTTGGCGCTTATTAATGTCACGGTCACTGTGACACCAACTCAAGGTTGAGACCAACTCAAGGTTGTGCTGCAACTCCCACTACGAAGAACTACACCCTGCTCAAAATCTTGCCCTTTGCGTCATATACTTGCGCATGCCTCTCATGGCGCCATGAAATGGCCCAACACTATCGAAATTGGCTGTCCATCCCGCTCACACAACAACATGAAAGCAAATAACATTCATCAAGCTGCAAGCCACTACTGTACACCTCTCACACCTCGCAGTTCTGCCCTGAATATAGTACGCCGTGTCTGCCTGAACTTGAATGTCAATCGCTGGACCGAAACCGCGCTGACGACAGCACGGCCGCTATTTCCTCGACGCGTTCACAGTGACGCCCGCGTCTCTCGTCCTCGATACTTCTCTGGATGAATATTAGTTCAGACGAAACTAACTGGTTAATTTAAGGGCATACCAAGAGGCATAGCTGGATTGCCTTGGCCTGTCGTCGACATCTGCGCAGTTGGCGCGCGAGGTCGCTGAGTATGAAGAGGTATTCGCGTGCAGAGCAGCTGAGCCCGTGTTCGTCCAGCACCCGCGAGCGAAGGTACGACTGCTCCTCTTGTGCTCTGAATACTATGTCAGAATTTTTGGACAAGAATTTCTGAAAAGCATTATACCTGGATAGCCGCAGCTGTATGTCCAATCTCGGAACGCGATCGCGGAATAGATGCTCCTCCTGGGCTTTGTCAAAGATGTCTTTAGTCTCGCGAATAACGTGTTCGATGTCGTCCATGCAGAAGTGGGGGAGCAGCGGTTGAATAAGGAAGCGGAGGCCTGCGATGAGGGCGACCCCGGCTACGACAGTGTATTGGAGGATATCGTTGTTGTCGGTGTCTGCTATGAAAGGGAGGAGCCGTGCCATGTTTGCAGGTTCCTTCACACTTGAGCAGGCTTATAAGAGCAAGTTTGAGCGCCATCATCAAGTGGGGAACAGTCCGAACAGATTCTTCTGAAGGCTGTTTGGGTCAGAATATTTGATTGATAGCCGTATGCCCGTAATCTCCCACCTGCCAGACTCGACGCCACGCTCACGTGCACACAAAAAGGTGCAATGTACAATTCACACATACAGCATGCGCACACAACATCACACCCGGCTTCGACGCTGCCTAATGGGTCATGGACCGATTCCGCCCTGAAGAGAGCAGGTCCGTGATCTCCTCGACGCGTTCGCAGTGGAGATGGACCCTCTCGTCCTCCATCCTGCTCTGGAGTCATCTCAGCGTTGCCCCAGTTTAGAAAGGCAGCGCACCAAGATGAACAGCTGGATAGCGCTGGCCTCTCGCCGACATTTGCGGATGCGCAATGCAAGGTCGCCGAATATGTAAAGGCACTCCCACAACGAGCAGGTCAAGCCGTGTTCCTGGAGCACGCGGGCGCGGAGATGTGCGTGCTCTTTCTGTACCCTGACGAAACACTGAGACGCCTCCACAGAAAATCCAAACGAGTAGTCGTACCTCGCGAGACGCAGCTGGATGCCCAGCCACACGTCCCGCCGGCGCAGCAGCTGCTCTTCACGGGCGCCGTCAAAGATGCCCTCCGTCGCACGGATCACGTGGCCCAGGTCGTCGATGCACACGTGCGGGAGCAGCGGGCGCACCGCGAGGCGCAGGACGACGAGCAGCGCGACCACGACCAGCGCTGAGACATTGTTGCTGGTGTCCGATAGCAGCGGTGCAAAGCTAGCCATGTCGCGTTATCTATGGGGCTGCGAATGCGCGGGCTTTTATCCACAGCTCAGAAAAGTGGCCTCCCACGGCGCTTGCCCCTTGTGACGTCGCCGTCCGGAGGCCCGGTTCGTTCAAACATCCCTGTAACGCCATTTAATGTGCAATAGAGCAGTCGGCAGATCGAGCACGAACTTGAACGGGAGATCGAGAGTACTCACAGCCGTGATTCAAAAATGTTTAGGTGGGAAATGTTAGTGGGAATATATAAAATTTGCAATTAATTTTTTATTGTGTAAAAAACTTTGAGTTTTTCTGCCCAAAAAATGTTGACTTGGCTGGGGCAACAGGATTTTTAGGACCAAAATATTTAATGTTTTGCAATGAGTTTTTGGGCCAAGAAAAACTTTATATATTCCCACTAACGTTTCCCACCTAAACATTTTTGAATGGCGGCTGTGAGTAAAGTTCTTCTGTGGACCGTGACACCGTTGGGGCACCGCCACGATAGGTCAGCACGTGGCCGTGACTCAACAACGTTGAACGGACAAAACTTCGAAACGACTCAAGCTCAATATCTTGCTCTGCGTCGACTTGAAAGACCTCGCATCATCCCATGGCCTACTATCCAGTGGTAGACGGACTGGCCATTGAACACGGCAACAGTACCACGACTTTCGGCACAAAACCCACAATACTTACTTCTTGAGTACTTCCAAGCCAAGTCGCTGTCCTCAACGCAACACACCCGCCAACTCACGCTCGATGCGCCTTCAATAACCGGACCGAACCCGTTCGGATGAACGCACGGCTGCAAGTTCCTCGACGCGTTCGCCATGCCGGCCCCTCCGCTCGTATGACAGCAGTCGGTACGAACGAATATACCAAGATGAACAACTGGATCGTCTTGACCTCGTGCGGAGCCGACGCGCCCGAGCCGCTGCCGATGAAGAGGTGTTCGCGTGCAGAACAGTTGAGCCCGTGTTTGTCGAGCACCCGCGCCCTACCAAGAGGTTAACATTCTATAGATAGAATACATATAAAATACGCAACCTCGACAGTCGCAGTTGTATATCCAATCTAGTACCACGATCGCGGAATACATTATGTCCTTGGTTTCGCGAATGTGCTCTATGCATATATGGGGGAGCAGCGGTCGGATAAGGAAGCGGAGTCCAGCGATGAGGGTGGCCACGGCCAGGACTGTGTACTGGAGAATGTCGGTGTTGGTATCTGCTACGACTCACGAGATGGAGGAGCTTGGCCATGTTGGTGCGTCTCTTCATGCTTGATCGTTCTTTATACTGCTTCAAGTAAAATTAGACCGACTGAAGATCTCTGTCGCTTGCAGTTGGTTGTAGCCGGCTCGTGCACAGCATATGAACTCCGTACCGACCTTGGCAAAGAACGTAGGAATAGATCTAGTCCAAAAGGCGGGACCGCAACAAGTTAGTGTGTGCGTGAACCTTCGGCTTTATCTAATTCTATAAAAGCGAATCATAATCATATTTCGAGCCCGACGATGGCAATACATACATACACTTCGGGTGGGCGGAATGACGTTTCCAGACCCTTCATAGGGCGTGTGACCTTCAAGTTGTCCCCCTCGAGCTCCCACAATCAGACCAAGCCAAGTCCAGATCAAAAAACAATCCCGACGTCGACGCTGTGGAAATTTCTCACATTCCCGAGAACTTCTGGATGGGAGAATATAGGGAGTCTCTTCATGCTAAAAACAGCCTTATGGGTCAAGTTAGATTGGATGGACACGTGGGAAGAAAGACGACCCCAGAACAGAAATGCGTCGCCGCCGCCGTCGCGGGGGGTGCGGGCCAACGCAACTACCTCAGGCCGTCAGCATTCGTCTCCACAACAAGCCATGGCAGCTCTCTTCTCCGCCCGCTTCAACGTCCGAATCGTACATCAGCTACTGTCGCCCGTTGTGGTGCCTTTGGGATCAGATGCGGGTCCTAACAGAGGTTTTGTCCAAGTTAATTGTCCCAAATTTAATATTCCCTAGATCTACCTAGATATAGGTAGATCTAGCTTGATCAGGCAATCAGCCTGATAGGTTACTTACATTAGACGGAAAGGTCTAATCAGACTCTGACCAGCAACTGATCAGGACCATCAGCCTGACGGACCTGATAAGGCTAGACGGCCTTATTGGGCCTGACCAGGTTGGGCCAAATAAATATTTAAAATATTATCCTCTTTCCAACGGCCCACCTAGCCTCTTGTGGTACCATTGGACTGTGACTTATGAGTGACCCAAGTATTGTCACTTCGAGGAATTGAACAGGCAATTCCAGAAGGCAAAGTCCCAGGCCATCCGGCTGAGCCAAGCATGCATATAACTTGAGAAAGTTCAATCCGACTATATGCCATCTCGCAACTTTTTTTCCTCAACATCTAGAGGTATGATTCTTTTTATTATGAGGAGTACTACTGCTAGCTTATGTATTGCACCCAAAATTATAGTATTTGTGCATGTTCTCATGATACAATTAATTCTGCATTTTTTATTACTTTAGTATAATTACATAACTTGAGTAATATCAGGAATAGCACTATAGTGTGCAGAAATAATATACACCCCCCTCACTGTCCAATATCTTATGCATATATATGACTTGAAATATATTATACTTTTCTAGCAGGATCAGGCCTATCAAGCTGCTGCTGCTGGATCAGGCTCTGGTCAGTTGCAAATCAGGCTGCAGATCATGCACTGATCTGAGCCTGACTGGTCTTGACCCTGCCTAACATACCTGATATACTACTGATCAGACACTGATCAGGCCCAATCCAGTAGTCAGGCCTGATCAAGAAAAAATTAAATTTGTGACATTACATAAGAACTTGGGACATTCTGCGAAGAGCATCGAGCACGAATTGCCAAGCGGGTATCGAGCACGAGCACGAGTTGCCAAGCAGGTAGATCGTTCAGGCATGGATATTATATTCCATGCCGGCGATCATTTTTGTACGTATGTGCCTGGCTGGAATAGAAGGATTATCTTCCTCGGTTCCGTTGGATTTACTTGAATCCATTTCTCATGTTGGTCCTCAGGCCTCAGCGCTTTAAGATCTTGCATCCAAATGTGGGCTCGGACCAGCCCAACGAGCCATCAAGTTGGACACAATGGAAGATTCAGAGCCATGTCATATTTCCGCCAATGCATCATGCTATAGATAGAGAGAAGGAGGAGAAAGAAACAACTTATCGGGACTGCTGCCGCTGATCTACGCAACTACATACAAGTTGATACAACAAACCATGGCCCGGCAGCTCTCTTCTTTTTCCCCTCGTACTAGTGGATCAAGTATAAGCTGAAGTAATGATGCGCATCCGAGTCGCGGTCACGTCTTCGCACCAACTGATAGTTTACTTGCGAAGGTCGGCATCAGCTCTAGCAACTCACACACAGTTGGCGACATGTCACTCATGCTGATTCAATTCCTCCAGGTTGCCTGTTCCACAGCCAGGTTGAATAGCCCATGTGGGAATTCCGAATGGGCAACGTCAAACTCATCGTCCGAGTCCTTCGTCATCAGACAGCTTGCAATTGATTGAAGGCTCCTTTCTGCGCCGAGAGCTCATCTACTTGACCAACACCCACGAAGAGCATTGAGCACGGGCGGGCAGATCGCTGTGGGACTGGATATCTTCAATGCCGGCGAGCTGCCAAGGGCACCTCAATCATCTAAATGTTCATCTTTCTGCGCACATTGGCATCGCTACACGGGCGGCAAATGCCCCGGCAATTAGAACTTGGAAGTCCCAATTTGGGAGCCCTTTCGGCGTGAGAAGAATTGGGGGGAGGAAGGCTGTGCGGCGGGATAGCCGTATGCTATGTATGCCCAGCGAGAATCGTCAACTGAACCAATCTAATCTAATTTTATCCAGAGGAATATAAGGCCGTTTGAGCATGAAGAGATGTACCATCATGGCCCAGCTCCTCCATCTCGCAGCAGAGACCAACAGCAGCGTTCTCCAATATACACTCCTCGCCCTGGCCGCCCTCGTCGCAGCTCTCCGTCTCCTCATTCGTCCATTACTCCCCCACATCTGCATGGACGATCTCGAACGCGTTATTCGTGACACCAAGGACATCTTCGACAAAGCGCAGGAAGAGCATTTATTGCACCATCGCGCTACGAGGCTGGATATCCAGCTGCGGCTGTCGAGGTATCATATTCCGCTTGACAGCGTTATCAGCAATTCTGACATTCGCCAGAGCGCAGAAAGAGGAGTCGCACCTTCGCTCTCGAGTCCTCCACGAACATGGACTTAATTGCTCAACGCGTGAATACCTGTTCATATTCAGCAATCTCGCGTGTCAGCTCCGCAGGTGTAGACGAGAGGTCAAGACCATCCAGTTATTTATCTTGGTGCGCCGTTTCCGTCGACAAGTTCCTTGTTAACATGCCTCCAGAAACAAGTGGAAGACGCGAAACGCGGGCTCCATTGTGAACGCGTCGAGGAGCTTGCGGCCGTACTTTCATCGGAAAGGTTTCGGTCTGGTTGACATTAGGTTTAGGGGAATCGATTGTATCGCAATTTCAGGAATATTGGATAGTGCGATTTGCTTTCATGGCCTGAGGTTGTTTCAATGTTGATTCCACTGATGGACGACAAGGTAATGATACAGACAGCCAATAAGCTATCTGACGCGGCAGTTGAGTAGCAGTCCCAAGCCAATACGAGGGCACGTACAATATGTGGTCAAAGAGAACACGGGCCATGCGCGCGTTACCCTCCCGAGGCTTTTCTCTGCCCACCAGCGCCTCAAGGAGCGCTTGCTGTTCGTAACGCCCTTGGACTTGCAGTCATCGCAGAACCAGCTTCCGTCGGGGGTCGTGGTCATACCAATACAGGCCAGATGGCACTAAGAGAAAGAAAATCAACGCGGGCGAAGAGAAAAGAGCACCAGCACACACCCATTCCCATCGACAGTTCCGTCCGTCACACGCAATCATCTCTCTAAAGCTCTGGCGCTAGTAGACCTTGCCGTCGTCCCCGTCTGTCCCGTCGGGCGGCGCGTTGTTGTCGGGCGGTAGCGGTTGGTGGGAAATGGCCCGTGGCCTTTCGAGAGTTTGTGGATGTGGTAGATTCCAGTCCTGTACCGGAGCGGTCCCATTTCCATTCATCTGAGCATAGGAGCTGCTGTTCCCATTCTGGTAAGAGGCGAAAGAAGGATGGCCCGCAGTGGGACATTGAAGTCGCCGCGACGTGATCCACTGCCATTGACCTCAGGTCGCGCGGCTAATCTGCGTAGTACTTGGCTGGCTGATTACTTCCAATCCGGTTGGCGCTGGGCGCGACCACTTTCCGGCTCCATTGGGTGCGCGTGAAGCTGGAATGCGGCCGTTTGGTGGGAGATGGGAAGTGACACAAGCAAGAGACTCTCACGCCTAGGCTGTTGGTGATAGGACAGAAAACAATAGTGATGCATTGATGCCGCTTGTTCAAGTTCCACTCAACCAACAAGCCCGAGAGAAGTAGAACAAAAGTTATGGACACACTTTTGCGAGCCCCTCCCCGTGCTCGTCGGCGCCTGGCCTTTGTGACACAGTGACTCAGTTGGGATTCAGACGAACTGCATGGACGCTCTCAAGTCAGGCCCCTGCTTTGGCAGTGTTGTTACGAGCCTCGATGCTTGCGCGATTATTCAACAGGCTGTTGAACGGCGTGTGCCTCGCATCCTTCAGCGCCCTACCAAAAGACAGCTAAAGTCCTGGCTCAAGAGCGGGGCAATATTCGTTTTCTCTCCCGGCGAGAGTGGTATCAAGCGTTGGACTGGTATGCCATTGCTTACTTGCCATTTCTTACCACTCAAATTTAACCATGTCCTGTAGACGGCTTGGCATGGTCAGGCTCACGCGCTGTTGGCAACTTTCTGGTCTCTCTTGTTAGTAAACGATATCCAACATTGAACATGCTGTAGGTCTACCATGAACTCGAGGGCTATGACTCGAACAATCAAGGCCGGTATGTTGTGTTAGAAATAATCCGTTCCTTTGTCCATCTATACATACAGGCAGGCCGTTGGTAATGACGATCAATCCCCCAAGGAAAACTTGAAACTTGGTGGCCTCATTAAGAAGGTTTTTCGCTTCTATATTGCGATTCACAATTGTGGTCAACTTACCCAACGTGTACATAGGTCTTTGCAATAAATGTTGAAGAAGTGGAGTACCGAGTAGTCTCATACTACACTGTTTCAGACCGTCTGGGAGGGCCCTTGAGCGTTGAGTGTGTTTATTACCTTTGATTCTCAACTGAACTTGCATTGTCGTTTCTCCAGACACCTTACTATTCTACTATGAGCCATTCACTGGTTGACTCTATGGAGTTCCGTCTCTTTGACTTTGCACAGTTGCGTGCTAAGATAGCACTCGAAAACGGCAAACCCTCCCTCCGGCAAGCGTCCACGTCTCTTGCTTGCACATGGGCAATGACACAATTTTCTAGATCCAATTCTGAACTATTTGGGGTAGAATCGGGGCTCGACCCTTGGCATGGTACCCTCTGCGGCAGTCCATATATGATAAATGGGCAAGCGGAGCCTGCTGAGCCGGCGCCTCCGAGTCGGGGTACACAAGATCCAGTGCCAAGAACAGGGGATGTCAGCCTGAAGAACGACTGTCCTTTCGCTCACTTGAGGAAAAAGACATTTAAGAGGACCACTCATTCCGGTAACTGTTGTTGTATGCGCCGATGTTGTTGCCCTCCAGAAGAAGAAATAAATTCGGCCTTGTAATAGTCAGATACATACTTACATACTTACGACATAGATCATCCAATGTTCCTACTCAATACATAGAACACATAGGTCATCAACCAATTCCGTTATCTCCTCGACGCGTTCACACTGAATCACAGGGAGGAGAGTGGACGTGGGCACCGCCACAACGGATCAGCACGTGGCACTGTCGCAACGGTTGGACAAAACTTCCAACTTCAATGGATTCCAAGCCCGATATCTTGCTCTGCGTCAACTTGAAAGACCTCCCATCATCCCATGGCCTACTATCCAGTGGTAGACTGACTGACCATTGACTCGGCACACCATAGCATTAACAGACACGACAACAGGAACGACTTTCAGAACGAAACCCACAATACTGAGTGCTTAAGTACTTCCAAGCCAAGTCGCCATCCTCGGGGCCGCAACACAATGCAAAGCATCCCTTCGACTCATAGTCGATCTGCCTCACTAGCTGACCCGAAGCTTCTCTGACGACAGCACGGCCGCAAGTTCCTCGACGCGTTCGCAGTGAAGCCCGCGTCTCTCGTCCTCGACACTTCTCTAGACGAATCTTGGTTCAAGTAAAACTAATTAATGTGAAGGGCATACCAAGAGGCACAGCTGGATTGCCTTGGCCTCTCGTCGACCGTGACATCTGCGCAGTTGGCGCGCAAGGTCGCTGAATATGAAGAGGTATTCGCGCGCTGAACAGTTCAGACCGTGGTCCTGGAGCACCCGCGAGCGAAGGTACGACTGCTCCTTTTGTGTTCTGAACAGCGTCATAAATTTCCGACAGGAACTTGCGAAAAGCATCATACCTCGACAGCTGCCGTTGTATATCCAATCTCATAACGCGATCGCGGAATAGATGCTCCTCTTGGGCTTTGTCAAAGATGTCTTTTGTCTCGCGAATAACGTGTTCGATGCAGAAATGGGGGAGCAATGGTCGAATGAGGAAGCGGATTACATCTACAGGTGACAACTGCAACAATGATTAGGAGTGGGTATTCCCGATGTTAACAACCTCGTCTCCGTACGACACCTCAACTAGCAATGCTTCCACCGCTACTGGAACCTACCTAGGGCAGGTCAAGTCAACGGAATTGACGAAAGAATCCAGAAACATGCTGTCGAGATGTATGAATTGAACGTAAGATGACTAAGCATCCTAGCTCTCTTGTCTCGCCAATGCTCCCCTTTCTACCTCCAGAACTCCAGCTAGAAATATGCTTTCAGCTTGATTTAACTGACCTGATCTCACTGCAGATGGTGCGCGTGCATTCATTGCCAAGTAGAAACCTGACCCGACCTCTCTCCAGACATGCCACTCATTGCGGCAGCAAGGGAAGGCAAAATCACTCTGGTTGCATTTGCTCCGCGAAGCCCTGCTCGAGCTCCCAGGATATGTTCCTCCAGTGCTCTCTACTTACGTTGACTTCGACACCGCAAAGCTCCAGGCTCTGGTGTACCGGTTAACCAACCTCTCAAGACAGCGCCGCGCCAACAAAATACTTGCGCGGCAAGTTTGGCGGAAATCTCTTCCTCAACACATCTCTTGGGTCGGGCTGGCTTCTTCGAGATGGCTAATTGTCGCTTCGTCGGACAGGAATGTCAGTAAATTGTCCTGTTGGGATTTGACACTCGCCTTTGGTGGTAAATCACACGAGGCTGTGGCCGAAATCTACCTCCCCGCCCAGGTCAAGACGGCAAGGCTGGAGGCTCGGGGCTCGCAAATCATTATCGCGCTTGGGCTGATGAACCCGTATGTCACTATGTGGATATGCTTGCGTGCTTCTTGTTCTGACGTTTTGCGGAGGTCAAGGGCTGTATATGTGCTCTCCTTACAAAATCAAACAGATGGTGTTTTCTTTGCCAAACGATGTGTCGTCCCCAACTCGTCTCACGTCCTCATGCTCGCTGGGGATTTTGTCGGTTGTGCAATCCGAGGAGGAATGAATGTGCCCCATGTGATAAATTGGAGGACCGAAACAGTCATACCAGTCCAGCCGCCGCCCGGCGGGCTGGATATAGTCGGTCGTCGCGTAAGTTTCGCTCAAAATACTTATGCACCAGCTTGGTTGACGAAAACGCAGAGTGTTCCTCATCTCATGTTGCGCTGGAATGATGCCCTCGTTATTATTCGTGCCGATGCTATCGAACTTTATGCCATGGAGGGGGATTGCTTTCGCTTCTTCCGATCTTTAACCCCGCCAATGATATCTGAAGTTGTCGAAGCCTCGTCGTTGGACCCAACAAGCCTCACTCTGGTCATACTTACTTCAGAAGACCTGCAGAAGCTTGTCATACCGGGCTCCGTCTGGCTGGGCTCACGCAACAGTACGAGTGAATCGCCTTTTTCCGAGTCGACAGTGCTCTACACCCTTCCGCCAACTTATGGTACCCCTCCAAGGGGCTATCATCTCCAGATGAGTCAGACTCGAAAAAATGTCCTCTGGCTTTCGGCGCCTGCAAATAGACCTCCGTCATTGGCGATACTACCTTTGCAAACTGAGAAGCCAGCTTATGATCTACAGTCACGTGAGGGATTCTGCTCATGGATAGATGACCATCGCGACGCCCCTGCGCTATGGGCACTTGCCTCGATCGACTATGATGACCTCCTTGGTCTCACGGTGGTCGGAAATTATTTCGGCGAGCTTGGTGTATATGATCATGCTGGGAATTACGCGCACTTGGGCATGGGCAACTCGGATCCAGCGCCAGCCGAAGTCATGCGACGGATGTTGACGGTATTTATCTCAGTACCAGACGTTACCAAAGCCAATGATTTCAGGTCCCAATTCCCCTTCGACTCCCCGTACCGGTAAGGGATTGTCCCTTGCAACTGAGGGAAAGCGGATCGCTTGCGCAACTTGCGCTCTTTTCCCCCGCTCGCTGGGGTCAGGACGGCCTTCCCCTCGGCTCAAACCTATGGAGTCCGGTCCAGTTCACACCAGACGCGAGCCGCAATGCGGGTTCGCGGAACCGGGGCCGGCGCGAGTGTTTTCTCAACTTTTTCACCTGGGAAGGACTCCCCTACGACGAGGGGTGGATCCTGGCGGAAGCGTTCGGGTTTCCCGGCCAGGTCCTGCCGCAGGCATACATCGACGACCCGGCAGGCTACGAGGACCTGCTGCTGCTACGACTCTCCCCCAGGTCCGACGGAGCGCCGGTGTCTGACCCCAGCCAACACTTCGCGGCTCACAATGGGCGCTACATCCTCGCAAGCCGCAACGCCGCGTGGTCATGGAGGTACATCGCCGTCCCGCTCGACATGGATATCCTTCCCGGTTTCCACCCGCGTCAGCTGATTTATCACGACCCCGAGCCATGCACACGTCAGACCGCTTGGACGCAGCGGTCCAACTTTATTGCGGGGTTCCGCGCAGACCAGGCTAATAATCGCAGACGATGGGTTCATCTGGACGACGCGGAGAACCTTTTCGTTGGCTGCGAAGATTTGCGGTACTAGTAGCAACCGTCTTTCGGTCAACTAATCGGCGATATCTGTGAAGAGCTGAAAGGGTAATTTTTCATTACCATTGACGACTATGACATGACATCTATGCCATGGCCAACAGACTGGGACGCTCACACAACAAGGTACAATTCACATTCGATTCGATTGGGCAAAAACAGTACAAACAAGAGCGTACACTGAGCGTATGTGTCGAGTCAACTCCGAAAGTGTTTTGTTGGTGCCCCACGTCTATTATATAGTCTTCAACATCGTCGCGTCGTGCCCCGTCTACCAACCGCCGCCCTCCCGAAGCCCTCTCCAGCCATGCAGGCGGAGGACAACCAATGCGAGGATTCGGGAAAAAAGAACCAGGTCGAGTGGGGGGAGAGGTCATGTCATGAGGTGGAGTGGGGAAAGGAGCAAAGAGTGTGTGTAGGTACCGTAGCTAAAGCAAAGATAAACCGAGGAGAAACGTCACGGAATAAGGAAAAAGAAGCAGAAAGGAGGATTCGTGGATGGGGAGATGGGGATCTGGGAAATTAGAAAAGACACGGTCGCGCTACTAGTGGGATCATATTTGGATGGAGACGAGGCAAGGAATCAGGGCAGCTAGAGCACCCCTCCCCGAGGGTCGGGGTGGCTACAAGCTTGAAGAAAAAAGCGTCCGTGTGGATATATACATATGGCGCCTGGCGGGAATGGAGTTGGAGTGTAGTGTTGCCGGAGAAGCCATATATCGCGCTGCAGAGCAGGGCCTCGAGGGCTAGGTAGACAGCAATAATATGGCATGTTGATGTTTCCAAACCGCACGAACCAGAGCCAAAGCGACGACCGACATTGGAGTTTGGTCATGTTTGCGTCGGAGGGATAGAACGCTTCCCTTGTCGCTTCGCTCACTACATTCATCTCCTCCTCCTCCTCCCGCTCCCGACGTCTACACCGGGCCAGCGCCTGACTGAGCACAACAACCAATTCGCTTCCACTCACTACTGCTCAGCCACACTCGGGGCGTACCCGTACACCCACTCCGGAGACGATCATGACGAAATCATCTACCAGAGCTCGGCTTCACGGCCACGCGTTCCACGTTGCTGGCCGACGGCACCAGGCGTGCCTTGTTGAGCCTGACGAGTGTGAGAACGAAGCCTACGCAATATATCAACCAAACCAAGGTCGAAACAATGGACAAGTGAATACTCACATTCTGTCACTAGCACGGTGGTCTTCGTCTTCTTGTACAACCTTGCGACGGCCAGCTGTTGCCGACTTGTTCTGGCCAGAGCTACCGTCATCCTGGGCTCCACGTTGAACACTCCAATCGAAGACGTAGTCGTACTGGTAGCCTTCACGAACGAAAAGGTCACGGAAGAGCTTGCGCAGGTAGGAGTAGTCGGGCTTGTCGTCGAAACGAAGAGCACGAGTGTAGTTGAGGAAAATACCGAACTCGTTGGGGAAACCACGGCACAGAAGGTCCGTGGGAGTGGTCATCTTCTTCTCCATGATGCGGTCGTACTTCTGCTTCTTTGTTGCAGCTTTGAGACCCTGCCAGGGTAACGCCCCACGCAGGAAGTACATGAGGACATAGGCAAGAGATTCAAGGTCATCGCGGCGAGCCTGTTCCACTCCAAGATGGGTGTTGATGGAGGTATAACGGGCGGTACCAGTCAAGTTCTTGTTCTCGCGGTAGGGGATGTGAAGGTGGGTCTTTGGGTCACGGAACTTCTTCGCCAAACCAAAGTCGATGACATTGACCTGGTTGCCGCGCTTGCCGATACCCATGAGGAAGTTGTCCGGCTTGATATCGCGATGGATGAAGTTGCGAGAGTGAATATATTCAATTCGCGAGATCTGACAGGCCGGTGTCATTAAAAAACAACATGTTGATGCGTGACTCACCAGTTGGTCTGCGAGAAGCAGGACGGTCTTGAGGCTGAATTTGCGGTTGCAAAAGTTGAAAAGGTCCTCGAGAGAGGGACCTAGGAGGTCCAAAACCATGGCGTTGTAGTCGCACTCTGTACCGAACCATCGAACGAACGGTACACCGACACCACCTGCCAGGGTTTTGTAGACCTTGGACTCATACTCGAGCTGAGGGTGCTTTGCTTTGACTGACTCGAGCTTAATGGCGACCTCTTCACCGGAAATAATGTTGATTCCGAGATAAATATCACCTAGAGGGGTTCGCATGTCGAGTCAGTCCTCGAAAACGGCAAAAGCAGCCAAAGACGCACCAAAAGATCCTGAACCGATCTTTTTACCAAGTCTGTACTTGCCGCCAACTCGCAAGTCTAGTCTGTGTGAGGAACTGTCGGCCATTGAAGAAGTTTGAGCCTGTAAAGGGGAGAGACGAAATGGTCAGTGACGGTGGTGGAGGGGAGAGAAGAGTACGACAGAAGGATCCATGACGATGGCCTGCGGATAAAAGGGCTGTGAGGTAGACGCTGCGGCAGTGCGGGAAGCAAAGACCAGCTGATGAAACAATGAGCGTTGTCGCCCGCTCTGAAACCCCTCGTCTTCGTCGTTGGAGAGGAACTCCGGTGGTCATCGGTGGACTATGTTTGAGTTGGCTGACCAACAACGCATGCTCCACGTTTTCAACGAGGATGCCACACGACATGACGAAAAAAGCGGGAAAATGCAAGGCGAAGGAGGTTGGGGATGAAGGGGACGACTTACAAGATTAGAGACGGGAGGAGAGAGGGAAGAATAGGGCGTTGACAAAGGGGATGGGAGAAGAGAGGAACAAGAGCTGTCACGAGTAGTCACGCAACAGAAATCGATCCACCAGTTTGCCTGTCTGCACAGACGCTTAGAATCGATAAACAACGCCGCCGAGTCCCGACCAACCCCAGAGTACTTCTAATCAGGTCCGAAGTGGCTCATCGTTTGACGTATTCTTTGCCTTTGTCCGAGCGAGACGGCAGTACTTTGTCATCCTCTTGTTGTGTTCTGTTCCGACGAGACATAATTGTATTCGATTTATAACTGTGTGGGACCTGTAGTGTAGCTTCTGAAAATCGTTCAGGTAGACGGCTTGGATTGGCCTTTGCATATGTGAGTTGGCTGTGTTTGTGATGATGCCTTGTTGCTGCCCCACCCTAATCAGGCAATTCCAATTTCTTGCCTCCTCCCCCCACTCTGCTGTCTTCGGGTTGACCCCGCCCCTCTTTAAATCGTCATGGCGTACCGTCAAAACCACGATCCTTATTACCAGCAGCAACCCGCTCAGCAGCCTTATTACGACGCTCCTCAACGGCAAAACTCCCAGCCGTATCAACAACAACCTCAGCAACAACACTATCAGCAGGACTCTTACAACTCCCAGTCCGTGCTCCTTTCTTTTTCAGCCTCGTTTCACTGACCAACAGCAACAGACAACAACAACAACAGGGCTACTACGATAACGGCCAGAACTACAATGCTGGTTCCGACTACGGTCACGACCAGAACTGGGACGGAAAGAGCTACAATGATAGCTATGCAGGCTCACAAGTCCACCTCAACCCCAGCATGAGCCAAGTTAATGTCCCAGCCATGCCCTATGCCTCCAACTACCCACCACAACAACGACCCGGAATGCCCTACGCGCCAAGCAATTCCGGTTACAGCGCAGTACACGAAAAGATGATGTGAATTGTCAACCTTTCGCTCTTGGCTTGTGCTCAAGGAATTTTCTAGGAAGCGACGTAGCGTTCGACAAGTCGAGCTCGTTCAGGGCAATCTTGTTCTTGACATGCCCGTGCCCTCCCACATTATTCCTGCCGGCAAAGCTAACATCGAGGAGTTCTCCAAGATGCGCTACACTGCTGCTACATGTGACCCTGACGACTTCATGCGCAACAAATATTCTCTCCGTCCATACCTGTTGGGCCGCCAAACAGAGCTTTTCATCGTTATGACCATGTATAACGAAGATGAGGTTCTATTCGTCAAAACGATGAACGCTGTCATCAAGAACGTCGCTCATCTGTGTAGTCGCACAAAGTCCAAGACCTGGGGCCCAGAAGGCTGGAAGAAGGTTGTTGTTTGTGTCGTATCTGATGGTCGGAGTAAAGTCAACAAACGGACCCTCCAAGTTCTGAGTCTCATGGGAGCCTACCAAGATGGCATTGCGAAAGATACCGTCGGTGGAAAAGATGTGACTGCCCACATCTTCGAGGTTGTTTCATTTCCGTATCTCCGCATCATCATTCTAAAAATTGCCTCAGTACACATCAAGTGTTGTCGCAACTGCCTCCGGTGAGGTTTCCCAAGGATCGTGCCCGGTGCAGATCCTTTTCTGCCTCAAGGAGCAGAACAAGAAGAAACTCAACAGTCATCGTTGGTTCTTCAACGCTTTCGGTCCCCTTCTCAAGCCCAACGTCTGTATTCTTCTGGATGTTGGCACGAAACCAACCGGTACCTCAATCTACGAGCTATGGAAATGCTTTGACAAGCACCCTGGAGTTGGTGGTGCTTGTGGCGAGATTTGCGTCGACACTGGTCGTGGTTGCTCACTTCTCTTAACCTCCCCTCTGGCTGCGTCCCAGAACTTCGAGTACAAGATGTCCAACATCTTGGACAAGCCGCTGGAGAGTGTGTTTGGCTACATCTCCGTGTTGCCTGGCGCGTTCAGTGCCTACCGATATAAGGCGCTCCAGAACGGGCCCAATGGAAAGGGTCCTCTCGCCTCCTACTTCAAGGGTGAGACAATGCACTCTGGTGGACCGGGCGGCGCTGGATTATTCGGTAAGCAACGTTTTCTTCATTTTTTTCCGATCTAATCGACTGGTTCAGAACGCAACATGTATCTTGCCGAAGATCGTATCCTTTGCTTTGAAATTGTAACAAAGAAGAACGAAGCCTGGACGTGAGCGAGTTTATTTCAAACACCAACACGCACTAATATTTTGTAGTCTCAAATATGTCAAGAGCGCTAAAGCCTCTACCGATGTACCCACCACCGTTCCTGAGTTTATTTCTCAACGTCGGCGATGGCTTAATGGTTCCCTCTTCGCTTCCATCCACGCTACCGTCTTCTGGTTCCGTATCTGGTCATCTGGCCAAGGTTTCTTCCGTAAAATTGCCCTCCAACTCGAATTCATCTACAACGCCATTCAACTGATATTTACCTGGACATCCATCGCCAACTTCTACCTCGCTTTCTTCTTCCTTGTCTCTTCTGCTACCTCAAACAAGGAAACTGACGCCTTCAACTTCCTCAGCGTTGGCGCCGGTAAAGACGTGTTTGAAGTGTTCCTGAAGCTGTACATCGCCCTGCTGTTCGTCGTCACCGTCTGCTCCCTGGGTAACCGACCACAAGGAAGCAAATGGATCTATGTCACTGCCATCTTCCTTTTCGGGCTTTGCAACGTCATCACAATATGGTGCGCAGCCTTCACGGTGTACCTGTCCGTCTCCAAGGTCACTCTTCAGCAATGGGAACATATTGGCACCCTTCTCCAGACGAATGCAACGCTGCGTGACATTGTTATCTCGCTTCTGGCGACATATGGCTTGTACTTCATCAGCTCGTTCATGCACTTTGAACCCTGGCACATGTTCACGAGCTTCATCCAGTACATGTTCTTCCTTCCTTCTTGTGAGTGGTGTCAATGTTGGTAACCAATCAAATACTGACTAATCGTCCAGACGTCAACATTCTCAGTATGCCGTTTATCTAGCCAAGTCTTTGTTGCTGACGGCCTGTTTTTAGTGATGTATGCCATGTGCAACTTGCACGATGTTACCTGGGGTACCAAGGGCGACAACGGCGCTGCTAAGGATCTCGGTGGTGCCAAGAAGGTCAAGGGTGAGGATGGGAAAGAGATGATGGAGGTCGAGGTCATCACATCGAAGGAGGACGTCGACCAATTATGGAACGCATCACGCAACTCGCTCAGAGTGCCTCCTCCGCAAGAAAAGGAGCACCGTGACGCTGCGACCAAGCAAGCCGACCATGACCGTAATAGTCGGACCAACGTCGTGCTGGCTTGGGTCGGGACAAACATGCTTATGATTGTCGCGTTCACGTCAGCAGCGTTCACCAACTTCGTCGCCAGCTACATCAAAGCCAGCGGCGACTCGACGTTCAACCCATACCTCCAGTTCCTGTTCTTTGCCTTGTGAGTTCTTCAAGGACGTGTCTCGTTTCTTCTTGATCCTCATTTCTTTTTCAGAGCTGGTCTATCGGCAGTCCGCTTTGCAGGATCCTTCTTGTACCTCATCTTCCGACTATGCGGCTTCTGAGGAGGTTGCTTCTACCTTCCCGCGCGCTAATCTTGGAACCTTATTTATACGTCATGAGTTTTTTATATCTGCTTTTTTCGTCTACACCCGCTTTTTGATTTGGTGCATGCCGCATACGGATAGGACGGAGGGTAATGAACGATGTTTCGAGATACAGTTCGAAGTGTAGCTATGTGTACGAGCATATTGGCATACCCCCCTTTGGAAGTAATATCGGCCGATGAAGATCCCATCTAATCTGGTGGTCAGTCACTTCGAATTCGCGAATTCAGCATTGGCGACCCCAGCTCGAAGGGGCCTCCGGCGCTCGTAATTCATCATGCAGGACTGGAACGATTTTTTGGCCCGCGATTCAGATGCTGATATTCTGGGAATGGTCTTGCCATTGATCGTGGTAGAAATTTCCTTACCGGCCCGACTCCACCCGAGTGTCTCGATCGAGGTTTATAAACATGACTCTTCCGCGGTACTGCCACTGCAATCTTTCTTCTGAACCACCACCTGCCACACCGTTCATTCGTGCTGCTCACTGTCCCAACTTTCCAGCACGACGCTTTCGCAGCGATCTAGACGACCAACTGCGCTGTCAACTTACGCTTTCTGCTTGGGACTGTAAATGCGACTTTTTCACGTCATCGTATGTGGTCCTTCTGACGCCCTTTCTCAGACTCAGTCTTCCCAAGCTCTGTTTACGAGCGCCAGCTGCAGTCCTTTGCACGTCACGCATTCGCAGCGATTTGACATGGGCGACTGCTATTTGGGGTTTGCGAGTGGAGTGGCATGCTATTCTTCTTCTGAACGGTGCATGGGCCACCTGCTACTCTCAACTCTCCTCGTCTAGTTCGTTCACGCTGACTTTATGACGCTGTTCTCCCTGGGGGTGCGTGACCCACTTAGTTTTGACTTAATCCCACTTTGGTAATGCTGCAAGCTGGGAAAGGCGTTGTTTTCGATCCACCATCACGTTGCAACGCACCATACGACTGTCGATTTAGAAAGGTACCCGTTATTTCATGTCCTGCATCCTCTTTCTGATGTTTTATACCAGCCTTAGAATACGATGTAGCGTTAAGTACACTGAGGATCAACTCCACCCCAGTGCGGTCCCGATTGTCCCCGTGCCTTCGTATGCCCAAAATGAGCGAAATACCAGTCGGGGACCGCTGGATCGTTGCGCGGAGGCACAATTTTAAAGAGGGGAGCAACCTCGCAACACCTCGATCCTCCCTCGACTGGTCGCTCAACGCCGATCGTGATGACGCATTTGGCTCTGCGGAGACGCGCTCCAGTTGGGTAATGCCGCGAGTGGGTAGTGTTCTACGTGATCTGCAACTTGTAGTACTTGCTAGTATACAAATCTACGAGAGGCCATAATGTGATGTCAAGTACTTTTTTTTTCGGAACATCTGTGGGTCACTTTGGTGACACCTCCGGACCCACCGGGCACCACATCTCAACTTTGACTTTGATGCGGACGTCCTACTACGGCCCGTTGTGTCTGTAGCCCATCTCGAAGGCATTGGGAACTGGGACATGTGGTTTGGCGGGGCTTCGGCCACAACTCTGGAGTCTGAAGTAGCCGATTTCAGGCCGATTGTCCACCCTCCACTCCCAACGGCCAATCTTTTTGCTGTTTATATTTTCCCATTGCTAATCGTAGCAGCAGATTTCTGGCCTCCTACCTCGAATCTGAATCTTATTGGCGATCGTGAACTTGAAGAAGATCTGCTACTTCCGCGGTACTGCCACTGCTCTCTCTCTTTCTTCTTGACCACCACCACCTGCCTACGGTCAGTTGGGCTCGAGCGCTTTTCGCTCACTTTCTGCCAGTTGTGTGAATTGCGACTAGTAAACACCGCTTCGTTGTGGTTTGCATTATGCCTTCGACCGAGCCTTGGAAGTGGCCTGTTTCTCCGTCTTCTGGATCTTCTGGCTTCACCACCACTGTCGACTTGAATGCGGACGTTGACCTCTTGTACTTCAAGTCCGCCTCTTACTTAGACCGGGCAAGCATCCCACTCCGTTCAGGGTGATTGAGTTTCCTATGACTCGATTTTTCCATCGCTAACTGTCGCAGCAGACACGTTCGCTCCTTCCGCGGTACTACCACAAGAATCTCTCTTTTTTCTTGACCGCTTGCGCATGATTCAGTCGACCGGGTCCTCCGATGTTGTGCCTTTCATTGGTTTTTTTTCGTCGTGTGGACTGCGGCGTCGTTCTACCCGACTAGTGGCATATACAACTCCAAAAGGCCGTTGCCTCAAGGTCAATCTCTCTCTCCGTTTCGTCGACCTTCTGACATCATCAAGGTGGATTCACGAGTGCTCTTCGAGAGCTGGTGACGAACGACACCCCCCAGTCGCAGTCCTTTGAGTAACGCCCTCCGCAGAGATCTGACATGGGTGATGACCGGTTGGGGTGTTGCGAGTTGCATGGCGTGCCACGTTTTTATGAGTCGTGCATGGGCCACTGGCGCTCTCAACTCGCCTCAGGCTTGGTTCCCCCACGCTGACGTTCATGACGCTGTCGGCCCTGCGGTGGAGTAACCCACTTTGGTAATGCCGCGATTAAAAAATTCGATTTCGAAGCTGGGAATCGAATGGTGTTTTAGCTCTAATCCTACACTTGTTCTGCCTGCCAGTGACTGTATACGAGTACAAATGTAATATACATAACGATACAACACAATACCTCGATAACGTCGCCTTGCTGCCGATATCGTTGTAATATATAGTAAATTGTGAAATAACATATTTTACATGGATAATGATGTCAAGATCAGAGATTGTGAGATACTAGATATCTTTGCGATGTTTTTGATATACACCCAAAGATAGTTTTGACACGGAGCGAATATATTTGTCTGTATCTGACAGGACTTGCTCTTGCCCGTATCAGTTGTTTTCCTTGCTAAATTGGGTGCACGAAGAGTTGTTCTACGTAACATGACTGTACAGCACTGCACTTCAGCCCCGCCTACGCAAGCCCCACCGCCTTCCTCAGTTTGGCGTAGTTCGGCACGCCCAGGCCGGTGACGGGGTCCCAGCCGGCGGTCGCGTTGAAGCCGCTGCAGGCGCACAAGTCAGTTCCCCAAACCGCGATGGACAAGAGGATTGACTGACTATGTCCCGCATCCGGGGTTGTTGCCCACCGAAACGTCTTCGAGTGCTGCCCGCCCGGCCGGACTGTAGAGGAGCGGGTTGAGGAAGCCCAGCGGGGGCCGGCCGGCCGTGATGAGCTCGTCATTCAGGAACGCGATGACGGAGGCGAAGACTGGGGTCGACGCTGAAGTGCCGTCGACAAGGTGCCACCTGGCGGCTGGAAACGGGGTTCATGCGTCGCGCAAGAATGCAGGGGACAAGAGACTGACCAACAAGAGTTGGGAAGTTGACACCCTGAGCAGAGACATCCGGGATACTTCAAAATCAAAAATGTTAATAAGTCAGTGGGAATTGTACATCTGGAGCACTGACCCTCGTCCATTCTTGTTGTACAGCCCCTCATAACCGTTGACGGTCGCAACATACGCGCCGACGTCCGCCTTCTGGTATGTTGGCGCTTTGAAGTAGTTCGAGAAACCTGCCCAGAGGTAAGAAAGCTCGATCAAGTTCGGCCAAAAATCACTCACCCCCGGACGAAAAGGACGTCGCGATCTGAGAAAAGTTCTTGGTGAAGTTTTCGAGGACAGTCTGCGACGAGCCGACTGATGTGACCCAGGGGCAGGATGAAGGGGCGGTCGGGACGAAGGCATCACAGTAACTTGCATAGCCACCAACACCTCCATCGCCAGAAGAGGTGCTAAAGAAACGATGTCACTGAAAGTACTGGGGCAATCGATAGGAAAAAATACACAACAGAGGTTCCTAAAGCCCCGAGTTGCAAGTAGGCGTTACAAAGTCCGTCAGCAACAGGGAAGGTCAGATCTTGTTCATCGAAGCCATAAGATGTCGAGAGCACGGTGGGACGGGCGTCGTCCGCAATCAGGGTATTCACTTGATCCAAAAATCCACCCAGTTCATCGTTGTACATGGGACCGACAGAAATGAAACGAACAGGAATTCCGTTGGCAACGCCGACTGAGTACTGGATATCGAGACTCTGTTGAGCCAGTGAGTGAGGAAAAGAACCACGAGCGACGGGACCTACTGCTTCAAGGCCAGCAAAATCACGAATCCTGGTTGCTCGCAGTCAGAATATGCTTAACAACAGAAAATAACTTGCTGAGTGTTGGAGCCTTTGTCGATCAGCTGCACATCGAACTTGGTGGACGACGGCATCTCAGGACGGAATTTAGCGAGGAAGTCCTGGTCACAGCTGCTCAGAAATTCGAGGCCGCAGAAAATGATGCGGCACCTTGAGATCGTTGTAGTTGGCAAATTGGTTGGCGAAGCCTGTTATTCCGAGCACGTTCTCCTTCTGCGTCGCCGGCCCTTTAGGAAGACTCATCTCCTCCACCAAGCACGAAACAGTTGTGAGGTCAGCGCAGCTAGGGTCCATCTCCCGTTTGCGCTTGATATCGTATGGCTCGATCTTGGGTGCGGCGAACGGGTTGGTGAAGCTGGTCGTGGGGTGGACATAGGCGACATGCCCGGAGAGGTCGGCGGGGAGCGAATACTGCAGCGTTCGGATGGTAGTTTCATTGCGGCTAGGATGCGTGAAGCTTGCGAATTCCGCATTTAGAATGGAGCTGGCCTGCGAAACGGGGACGGTGAACTGGAGGGTGTCGCCTGCGGGGGGAGATAGTCTTTGCGGTGATCTTGTTCGCATCCAGCCATGAGTTCACAGCAGAAAGTGCCTCCGTGGTAGGCTTTACGTATTTGACGACCTGTTTAACGCGTTAGTGGGCCCACAAATCTGTAAGGACCGACATGCCTCGTCCAATGTCAAATGTTTGCCATAACGCGCGCTTTTGGGATCGGAAACGGCATATAGTTCCTCCTCAAGACCGGCAATGTTGTTGGGCTTTAGCGCGATGCGGAGAGTGAGCTGCTTGGACGGCGGGGCAGGGCCAACTTTGACAAAGCCTCGAGCAGGTGTGTCACGTTGTTCATGGATAACATAGGCGGGCCGCTCTGCTGGGGTGGCAGCTGCTAGGGCGACAAAGGCCGCAAGGAGCGAGGCGGGCACGAGAACCATTGCGGTGGAGGGGGTCTGAAGACAAAGCCACTCTTAGTGCTGTTTGGTACTGCGTGACTTGGGGCGGCCCAACTCTACCCGTCAGAAGAGGTGTTTTGAGGTAAGTTCCGGCCAGAGGTACTGCAGTGTTGTAAAGCTGAAAGCGAAACGAACCATGAATCTTTGATGACCTCAATCGTCGCATGCCTTGCATCCCAGAAGAAGCCTAGAGTCCACCGTAACTCCTGGTACCTTGGTCAGATGAGCAGCGTCGGCATGGACGATATTGTGGCCGCCGTAGGATAGATATTAAGAATCAGTACCGCGAGGAATGGGAAAGGAAGATTGATTTGAAGAGTTGTTGACTGTTGTTGAAGAGTGAAAACCAAGTGAAAACAACAACCGTGACACCCGACATGACTTGCTGACAAACCCATCCGTTATCTTATCGTATCAATTGACACACAGAATTCATTGATTCACATCGGTCCTTGAATTTACGTGCTACGTGCGCGAGAAGACCATTTCAACTTTGCCCTCTTTGGCGCCATCTACATCCACCTTGAACTCTACTTGGGTGGCGGGATCGAGGTTAGGTTGCCACGACATCTCAGGTGGACCATTCGTCATATTGACGTTGATGTGCTCAAAGACGAGCGCGCCGGCTGGATAATGACTGGGCTGGAAAACACCTTCCTCCTCCAACTGAAGTGTAACAAGGCTTGGGGTTATCTGCAAACCCATGTCTATGACGGCGATGTTGCTGAGACTAGGGAAACTCGTCTTGTACCAAAAATAGCCAGGAGTTTGTTTTTCTACTTCGTGGTTGCGGACGATAGTGCTGTCGAGTGTTTGGCCAACCTCAAGAGTGACGTTCTCAAATCCGACGAATTGGATGAGGGCTTGTTGAGCGAATTCCACCTGCAGTGCGTATGAGTAGAAGGATCCGCCTTGAATCCAACTGCCACCATACTGGAAATGCAAGTGAGATATCGACATTAGGCTTCAGTGCAACAGACCTGAAGGGTGGGCCGCACAGTGGCATAAGTGAGGCCAGTCGCTGGGTCAATGAAACGCATGTTGGCACTCATGAAGATAATCTGGCTGTCGAAAACTTCGGGCTCAGGGGGGACGACAAAGGTGCTCGTGAATGACTCCAGTGTGTTGGTGGCGGTCTCATTGAGCTGGCCGACGAGTTCGGTTACACTGAAGATCTGGCGCTTGGGTTGAGTCTCCCTTGGAACGACGTTTGCGAAGGTATGAAGGTGAGCGCCGTCTGGCGCAAAGAGCTCTATGTCGCGACCAGACTGTTGGAGACGAGAACCAATTGGCGCAGTGTAAACCTTCTGGCCCTTGGCGGTTTGGGCAACTGGCGCCAATGCATGGGTTGCTTGGGCCAAAAGGACAGAGGCAAGCACACGAAAGAGCAGCATCGTGACGGACACAAACTACATTGGGTTGAATGAGGTTTTAGATGAGGGTGAACCTTGAGAAGCCATCAATCTGATCACGACCATGTCGTTCTTGATGTCAACAACCACGACCATTCCAAGATACAAGCATGCCACCAATGCCCACCATTCTCGATGCGCATCGCGCACCTCGTGTCTAAAGCGTCATGCGCACTCCTCTCCTCCAGTGCTACTGAGTTGGCGTTGCTGATCCGATTCCTGAAACCTAAATGGGTAATTCAAGTCAGTCTCAACTGCAGTTGACCATGTGTACAACCAAATGTGCTTCGAAGGTTCGCTTCTAGCATCAATCTCATCTTTCCTTTCTATAAACATGGAACTTTGCTTACGATACGGTAGACGACGGGCCTTCACTTTCAATGTCCTTCACTCGTCTGCTCAGTACTCTCTCGCTTGTCCTGGTCGTCTCCGCTGGCAATCTTGTCCAGTACGAGCAACGTAAAAGTGCTCCCGTTGGCTTCACCAGCAAAGGACCAGCTGGCGACGACCACCCGCTCACTCTTAGCTTTGGGTTAGCGTCAAACAATATCGCAGGTCTGCACGAGAAACTTGCATCCATATCCAAGCCCGGAAATCCCGACTTTCGAAAATGGCTCAGCGCAGACGAGGTGGGTAGTCTTTCTGTCAACTACTTTGTTTGAAAAAAAGTTCACCTAGGTCAAATCTTTCGTCGCGCCGTCCGATGAAGCAGTGAAGGCATTCAACTCATTCGCGTCAGCAAATGGACTCAAGACCACTTCTACTTCACCATTCGGGGAGTGGGTGACCGTCTCGTTACCAGTGGCGAAAGCCAACAAACTGTTCGGCGCCAAATACACCAACTTCACACACGCAGACGTTCCTGAACCAATAATGCGAACGCTCTCAATGTCGCTGCCTTCAGAACTTGTCGGTCATATTGACGTTGTTCATCCCAGCACGGCTTTCACAGTACCAAACACGCGCCCTCGAAAGTCCATTCAATTTGATGGTGCACCCAAGCGCGAGGCCACAGCGCCTGAAAGCTGCAACGTCAATGACAGCAACCCTGGAAATGTTCTCACTCCGGCCTGCCTCCAAGCCCTGTACAACATTCCAACCACCCCAGCGACGCAAGAGAACAATCCTCTTCTTGTAACCGGGTACGCCAACGAATGGGCCCAAATAAACGACTTGCAGGTGAAATTGACCCTTCATCCACAACGTCTCTGATCATCTCATCAGTCGTTTATGAAAGAATTCCGCCCTGATTACCCTGCTGGCGCTAACCAGACTTTCCTTCGTCTCGCGATCGACGGTGGAACCAACCCGCAATGGCCTGGCGCTGCCGGGATCGAAGCTCAACTCGATGTTGAGTATGCTGCTGGTATGGCTTGAGTCTCGTGACCGCACTTTTTTTCTCATGAATCTTGATGCAGGTATTGCTACTGGTGTTCCCCTGCATTTCCTCACCGTGGGTGGGTGGGATTTCTCGAAAGCTTTGTTCGACACCACAGCCTACGTGGCCAGCAGTCCTGTGCCTCCGACGGTCATGACCACATCGTGCGGATGTTTTTTCTTGCCCAGTTTCGTACTGCTGATGACGATAATTTTCAAGTTATGGTGACCAGGAGGCGAATTTCGGACCCGCATTGGCCACGTGAGCTTTTTTTTACCCACATACTTGCAAAATTCACAAATCATAGTAAAATCTGCGATGGCTATGCTGCTGCATCTGCGCGAGGCGTTTCAATTCTCTTTGCCTCTGGAGACGTTCGTGAAATCAAATCACCACTTTTGCTGCCTTTAATTTGTGCTTATAGGGTGGTGTGAATGGGAATCACGACAGTGGCTTTAACTGCGGGCTCTTCGTCTCTGTTTTCCCTGCCTCCTGTCCATATGTGACCACTGTCGGCTCAACCATCGGCTTCGGCCCTGGTTTGTTGTCACTCGATCTATCTTCATCGAGTTAATCGGCTCAACAGAGATTGCGGTCAACTTCACTGGTGGTGGCTTCTCCGAAGTCTTCCCTCAGCCCTCGTATCAAACTGCCGCTGTCGATGCCTTCCTCAAGACCATCCCTGATGATTTCCCCAAGTTCAACCGTGCCGGACGAGGCTACCCTGACATTTCTCTCCAAGGCTGGAACTATTTGATAACGGCCAACGAAGAAGTTGGCGCTGTCAGCGGGACCTCTGCTTCCTCGCCGACCGTTGCTGCGATGATTTCTCTAGTCAACGACAAGTTGCTTGCGGCCGGCAAACCCGTGCTCGGCTTCCTCAACCCCTTCATCTACGCGAATCTCTCTGTCTTCAACGATGTTGTTACTGGCCACAACTCAGGCTGGCGGTGTCCTGCGACAACAGTAACTGACTATCCTCTCCCGGTTTCTTTTTGCTTATCGCTGTTTCAGGCTGCTTTTGATGCAGCGGAAGGCTGGGATCCCTTAAGTTCGTGGTATTTCTATTACTGTGTGTCTAATGCTAAACTGGTCACTAGGCGGTGTTGGCACCCCCGATTATGAACGGCTGCTGGCTGCTGCATTAGCTGGATGACCGCTGACTTGGAGGATAGTAATCACACATTCACCAGACTTCATAATGTAATCACCTCGACTAGCATGTAATTTTGCGTTTCCTGTTGTTCCGGTCGCCCGAAGCTATTCAACTCCTCTCCTGCCCAGACCTGATGACGTGGGATCGACGATTGGTATGAGGTTGCTATTATTTAATATCAACTTCACTGGCGTTGGATTGACGCGGTCGAAAAGACCGCCTCCGATGAGCCCCCTGCCTAAAACCGCGCTGGACGGGGATACTCCGATCCTTCTCTCCAGGGCTTGAGTTTTCCTCGTCATAGCCAACGAGAAGACAGGTGGTGTGAGCGGAACATCTGCTTCGCATCAATAGTTTCTCTGCTCAACGATAAGCTGCTTGTGGCCGGCAACTCTGAGCTCGGCTTTCTTAACCTTCATATACGCCAATAATATCGATTTCAACACTGCTAGTACCGGAGTAAAAGTATGTCCAACTTGCAACATCACCCAAGTGTGGCCCGACGCGGAGGCGCGGAACGAGGTTTGTTGAGACCGCGCATTGCAACGGCACTCCCCCGACTACACAGTGACGACTCATTTCGGATATACGGAGGCGCGGGACCCAAAGGACTTGCAGTAGAGTGAAGTTCGTCACCGCCAACTTTATCATCGAATTCTTGAGGAGGACGAGTGTTTTGATCCCGTGGGCGCGGATGTAACTTTGACGTCGATCGCGTGAGGCCCCTATATATTCCCGTGCTGGGCTCACTTTTGCAGCGTTTTCCAACTGGGTCTGCTACGGCCACCACCACATTCATTCTTTTCCCACCGACCCGAGTGCTGCTGCAGTTTGTCGCCTTCTTCAAGTTGCTTCTTCTGGTCTAGCTGACTTGTTCCTCGCACCTACCAAGTCGCTTCTCCTACTACAATGCTCGCCCTCGCCGCCACCAATGCCCCCACCTTCGTCGTCAAGTCCATCTCGCCACTCAATGCGAGAAACATTCTGTGCGTTTCGCAACCTCGCCGGCTGATTTGAGCACTCAGTATCTGTAGTCGCCATAATTCTCGCCAGCTGGACTTGGCTATCAGCCTCGGCCTCGATCCATCCTTCAACCCCTCAGAGTATTTCAAAGCATATTGCTGGTGTTGCTGCCGCTTTTGTTTAGTCGCAGACTGACTGGCACCAGCATGGAGGATACGCCAGATTGCCAAAGCGTGCTGCGTTTCCTCCTGCTGGGGTCAATTCGTGACCAAATCAAACCTATTGTCCCCACGGGAAGCACGGAAAGGGAGAACACCGTCGCATACCAAGAGGATTGTACCATGCAGGACATCGTGGACGCGGGGTACATCGAGATAGGCGATATCATAGACCGTGTTCGTCTCGAGGTCGAAGCGAGCATCATGCTCACCACTGAGCTGAGAGTCAGTCAGCCTTGGTCTTTTCAGAAATACAAGGGCACTGACCACCGACATGTAGCTTTTGTTTTCTATCATCTTTGACCCCGATGTGCTCCAAGCTTTCTTGCACATCGACATGACCTTTGTTGATAGGATATGGCCGCCACATCTCTACCTCCCTTCCGATGCCAAGCTCGCCTACGCAATGTTGTGTGCTCTTTGTCTCGAGAGAGACCTAGGTGCTGAACCCATAGTGCGCACGAGGTGGTTTGTGCTTCTTCGACTGCCCAGACTGACAATTATGTTAGCCGTGCGCTCAAGAGGGACATTATCATGCTCGCAGACCATTCGATGAAACAGACAGTGCCTCGGCAAAACGTGAGGAAGAGAAAGCTTGAAGCTACGGAATTGGAATCGGACAAGGCAAGAGTCACGTTTGATGATCAGCTGGCATTGGCTGACCAAACCATTACAGGAAAATTTCCCCACGGAAAAGGATGAGCACAGGCTGGAGAAATCAAGACGGCTATAACTGGGAAATGTATCGATTTGTACTTGTACTCGTGGATCACATATAACACTACCCACTCACGGCATTACCCGATTACGGCCCGCCTCCGCAGAGCCAAATGCGTCATCACAATCGGCGTTGAGCGACCGGTAGAGGACTCCCAAGTCTCTGACAGGGAGGATCGAGGTGTTGCGAGACTGCTGCACTCTTCATGGCTATACCACTACTCTTGCTTGCATCCGCGCAACGGTCCAGCGGTCCCCGACCGGTATTTGGCTCATTTTGGGCATACGAAGGCGCGGGACAATCGGGACCATGGAGGGAAGTTGATCCTAACGAGACATCGTATTCTAAGGCTGAAATAAAGCATGAGAAAGAGGATACAGGGCGTCAAATAATGGGTACCTTTCTCAATCGACAGTTGTATGGCTGCGTTCCGATCAGAAAGATGAGGAAACGGAGAGAGAGAGAAGTTACCAACCGGCCCAGGCAGCGAAAAATGGCTACGTCGAAACCAGATTGGAGCCATGATGAGTCGGTGTTTGCTGGAGAAGGTCAATGAACAACACAGTGATGAACTGTGTTGAGGACGTTATCGACTAACCATGTGGGCAGGTGGTGGTCAGGAAGAAAGAAGGACTCTAGTGGCAGTAACGCGGAAGGAACAGATATGTTTCACGATCGCATGCTCCAAGACTCAGATTTGATTGACGGAAGGCAAAGACCAGCTGCGACAATTAAGATCGAAAAAAAAGTAGTGGGAAACTAAGCAGACCTTCATAAGAAGTAGAGCGGGACATGCCATTGCCGCTGACAACAACTTTATCCTACGTCGAAACCAGATTGGAGCCACGATGAGTCGGTGTTTGCTGGAGAAGGTCAATGAACAACACAGTAATGAGGACGTTATCGACTAACCATGTGGGCAGGTGGTGGTCAGGAAGAAAGAAGGACTCTAGTGGCAGTACCGCGGAAGGAACAGATATGTTTCACGATCGCATGCTCCAAGACTCAGATTCGATTGACGGAAGGCAAAGAGCAGCTGCGACAATTAAGATCGAAAAAAGTAGTAGGAAACTAAGCAGACCTTCATAAGTAGAGCGGGTCATGCCATTGCCGCTGACTCGACAACAACTTTATCTTTGTCCTGGAACCAAGCCTCCCTGAAACTCCACATATAAATCGATGTTGACGTTGGATGACAAGGTCAAAGAAAGGCAGAAACAAGTCGCTTCTAGAGGCTCCTGGGACGGTGCGAATTGGTCGACTCGGAAGGGATACTGTAACCACGGCGAAGACGAATCGGTTTTCGCGAGTCGGGAAGAGCAACAATCCACGACTGGAAGAAAGTCAATGGAAAGTGAAAGATGTATCATGTGGCCGACTGACCATGTGGGTAGGTGGTGGTCAAGAAGAAAAAGAGTGCAGTGGCAGTACGGCGGCGGAAGTAGCAGATGTGTTTCTTCACGATCACAGGTTCTAAGATTTGGATTCGAGTGGTCCCCAAAAATCAAGAGAGTTCTGGTGTAAAGATTATCAAGGAGAAGATATAGAGTAGCAAGAGGATTGACCGTTAAGAGCGGAGCATGGGCAACCTGAGAGTCCGGCGCTTGAGTCTGGACCAAACACCATGACTAGCAATTGGTTCCAATTGCGTCAGAGGCGGGCACAGGTATGAGAGGCTGCTGGCGGTCCGCATACAAGATGATGCTCGAGCTGAGATGGAAGCCTGTGCTCAGTGCTGAGCTTGCTGCTTGCGGAAAGAAAATTCGCTGTCACGGACATGTCACAGCTGGCGGCCCGGATGATCCGTAGACGAGTGTGAGCCATTCTGATCATGAGTCCATGCGAGTTGCGACAACGAATGCTACTTCCTCTGAAGCACACAGCTATAAACAAACAGCCTAAAATACCATACAAGCACATCAACTCGGCACATACATAGTCGAGTTATGCCAGTGAATCGAAACTTGCCCAGTCGAAACAGAATACCAATTGTATCCAGTGAGCGGAATGAAGGGTTCTGCCCATTACACAAGTTTATATCGTCTGTCGCGCATGTTCCCGAATTAGGAAACTTTCTTGCTAAATTGGGCTTCCGGCCGCGGGTAATCCGGCCGCACCCCAGAGCGTTGTTCCAACATGTGCAGACATGATATCTATTACACTGCCTTCCTAAGTCTGGCGTAATTCGGCGAGCCGAGGCCAGCCAACAGTTGCGTTGACGGTTGAAGCCACTGTACTAAGTCGGCAATACACCAAATAAGTGGAATAAAATAGCTGACCTTGTCCCACATTTGGGGTTTTTGCCAATCCACGCATCATTCAGCGCTGCCCTCCCAGGTGGACTATATAGAGGAGCGGGTTGAGCATCACTTGGATGAATCTACAAAAAATATCAGTCAACGGCGTGTGGATGGACTGAGAATTACCAACGATCATCTCCCGATGCGGTAAACTTGCCTCATCCGGCTGCAAGCTTCCTGGCTTCTGAAGGACAAGCCATACACGTCTGATTCGAGAGGACTCGGAAAAGGCATCCGCTGCAACAATTTTCAATGGGGAAGATATAGAGCAGCAAGAGGTCCGACCTTTCCAAGTAGAAAAGGTTGACATGAGCACCGACTTCACAGTCGCGCTTGAACCCTGGGCCAGACGAAGGCATATTTAGATAGTCGAACGAATGTTTTGATCCCGTGGGCGCGGATGTCATTTTGACCTCGATCGCTTGGGCTATGGGTCAATTCCCCATTGACTTGAACTTTGCGACGACCACAACTACACACCTTCCCTTTTCACAAGTGCTGCCTTCTTCTCAACTTTCCCGCCAGGTTCGTGCTTGGATTTCTCGTCTGTCCTTCCTCGCTGACTTCTGTCGTCCCAGCAAGCTCATTTTCTCGATGCGTGTTCTCGCGACGACGACGACCACCATGTCCATGACTACCAAAACCCCCTCATCGGTCAAGGCGACCAACACCCCGTACGTTCCACGATCTCGCCGTTGATTTTGTGCGCTCAATGTCGCTAGCTGGGCCCCATCGACCATTATCATCAGATTGGGACACGCTCCTTTATTCAGCAACGAGGAGCCACTGGCGCCGTTTCATTGGTGTGTTTCCCGTTTTCGCGTGGCGATGGACTGAGTTTGATTAGCATGGCCAATACCAAGGTGTCTCGAAGAATTCTTACCCAAGTCCTCCTCACGACGGTCACTGGCAAGAGCAATAAGACAGGACTGGCTGCTCAATGGGAGAAAGTGGGATTGATGCAAGAACACTGGACAGCGGAGGCGTTGGTGAACGCTGGTCAATCCCAGCTCTCGTTCATAATCGCGGGGGCAAGACGCAAGACCAGCGGCGCCGAGAATATGCTGGAGAGTGAGCTCGAAGTGAGCGGTCGGTCGCCTGAGAAGTGTTCCTGCTAATATGCGCCTACCCAGTTGCTCGACGCGATTCTTTTGGATGATACCATACTCCGCACACTATTCACGCCATCTGGCTGCCATAACCCCATTCTCTTCGCGCAGTCTATGTGGCCTGCAACAATCGCTGAGCCACCAAACCCGAATTTAAGCGATTTTGTCGTGGCAGCGCTCTGTTTGGGAGACCGGTCGTATGTTTGGACGACGATGAAAATGCTTGCCCTCAGCGCAACAGAACTGATCATTAATGGGTGCCCATTTTTTTTGTTGCTTCGAGTTCACTGTTGACCAGCATCCTAGGCGAGTCGTTTCTCTGAGCGATTTGATTGTCGAGGAGGGAGGGGGGACACCGGTAGAGCCCATAGAGGAGAAGACGATGAAGAATCGGTTCAGTGACAAGGCAAGTTTGAGATTTCTACCTTGGCACGTGCACTTGACGCAAAAGTACGGCAGGAGAATACCGTTCCACAGTCTACCGACCAGAAACTGCGTCGGATTCTCCGTCCCAACAACAAGTGGTAAACGGATAGCATTTTGTAATAGATTTGTAGTAGGTAGTGTTGACAGAAAGAACGATAAGTACAGCACATCGTCCAGAGGATTGGAATCGACAGCGCCATGGGGCCGTCCGCAGCCTGCAGCATTACCAATGTGAGTTATACCACCTGCAGGGCCGACAGCGTCATGATTTCTCGCTTGAGCGGACCAAACCGAAGCAACCTGGAAGTACAATGGATGCACCAATCAATCGACGATAGCATGTCTTTGCACTTGCAAGCCCCGGGTGGACATCGCTCATGTCAGATCGCTGCGATAGCACCATGCTCAAAGGACTGCAGCTGGGGTGTCGTTCGTCACCAAATCTCGAAAGTCATCAAAGCGGCGCAAAAACGCTACAATACAACGTCAGAACGACCATATAGGAAAATAAAAGCCTACCTCCCTCGCTAGTCTTGCCGAGTCGTTGTTACAGTCGTTGCCGTTCCCATGTGCGATGCGAAGGATCCAAACTGACAACACCATTCCCGGCATGCAGCATTACCCATGTGCGTGACCACTACCGCAGGGCCAACAACGTCATGGAATCAGCGTGAGCGCACCAAGAACGAGGCTGACTGCGAGTCTCCACAATGGATGCACCGATCATGTGACCGATGGCATACCTGAAAGATTGCACTCACGAACCCCGCCGGTCGTCGCCCATGTCAGATCTCTGCAGTAGCGCCACACCCAGAGGACCGCAACCTGGATGTCGTTCTTCACCAGCTTGACGAGCATTCGTGAGCCATCCTGGATAGCATAATCAGAGAGATGAGGAAACGGAGAGAGGGAAGTTGACTCCAAACTCCTTAGGCGGCGAAAAACGGCCAGGTCGAAACCCCGATTGGAGCCACGGTGAGTCGGTGTTTGCTGGACTGGAAGAAAGTCAATGGACGACACAGTAGTGGGGAACATTATCGACTAACCATGTGGGCAGGTGGTGGTCAAGAAGAAAGAAGCACTCTTGTGGCAGTACCGCGGAAGGAACAGATATGGTTCACGATCGCATGCTCCAAGATTCAGATTCGATTGACGGAAGGCAAAGACCAGCTGCGACAATTAAGATCGAAAAAAAGTAGTGGGAAACTAAGCAGACCTTCATAAGAAGTAGAGCGGGACATGCTATTGCCGCTGACAACAACTTTATCTTTGTCCTGGAACCAAGCCTCCCGGTTTGATAGACGAATCCCAAGGATGAGAGGTCATTGAAAGTCTAGATACAACTCAATGTTGACGTTGAATGTGAAGGTCGAAAAAAGGGTGGTGCAAGTCGCTTCTAGGGGATCCTGGGACGGTGCGAATTGGTCGACTCGGAAGGGATACTGCAACCACGGCGAAGACGAATCGGGTTTCGCGAGTCGGGTAGAGCAATAATCCACGACTGGAAGAAAGTCAATGGAAAGTGCAATAGTGGAAGATGTGGCCGACCGACCATGTGGGTACAGGTGGTGGTCGAGAAGAAAAAGAGTGCAGTGGCAGTACGGCGGAAGTAGCAGATGTGTTTCTTCACGATCAGAGGCTCCAAAATTCAGATTCGAGAAAAAAAAGGAGGAAATGTACTGCAACAGTTATCAGTGGGAAGATATAGAGCAGTGAAATGTCTGACCATTCCGGGCAGAGTGTGGACTAACAACACAAGTTTGGCCCTTGAACATAACGACTGCTTTCAATTGTCTTCGAAGGCCTTGAGGATCCATATAGAAGTCAATGATCGAGTGGAGATAGAACCTGACAGACGAAAACGAAAGCATGTGGTGGTTCACCGGTGAGAAAAAAAATTGGTGTCACAGAAGTGACAAGTAGATTAGATTAGATCAGAAACTTCATGTGTGTACTATCGTATACAATCTATCGTTTTGTAACCAGAGTTGTGTAGTAACGAGCAGCGATTACTTGGCTCCCAGCAGCGTTACCTCAGCGACGCATGTCTCTGCAGAACCAATAGCGTCATTATTCTCCGCTTCAACTTGAGGAGCATCATCAAATTCAGCGTCGAGCCACCGGCTTGAGGACTCCAAGTCTCAGACAAGGAGGATTGAGGTGTTGCGATCATGCGAGGCACTTTTTGTCGGCATCGCCACTACTTCTGCCTGCATTCCGGCAACAACCGCAGTCCCCAACCGGCAAGGCTCATTACGGACATGCAAAAGGCACCGGACGATGAGGACTGTAATGGAGTCGAGTTCGTCCTCAGTGAGGGCCACAAGGTATACTGGAACCGGAATAGAGCATCAGATATGCGACAGGGCATGAAATGACGACCTACGACGAGAAAACGAAAGGGGAGTTCCTCTCGAAGCTGTGGGTCGGTGGTGGTCAAGAACTTGAAGAAAAAGAGTGCAGTGGCAGTACGGCGGAAGTAGCAGATGTGTTTCTTCACGATCACAGGCTCTAAGATTCGGATTCGAGTGGTCCCCAAGGATCCTGGTGTGAACATCATCAATGAGAAGATATAGAGTAGCAATAGGATTGACCGTTCAGAGCAGAGCATGGGCAACAACCTGAGAGTCCGGCGTTTATGTCTGGGCTAAACACGATAGCAATTGTTCTAATTGTGTGAGAGGCGGGCACAGGTACGAGAGGCCGCTGGCACTCCGCATACAAGTCGATGCTCGAGCTGAGATGGAAGCTTGCGCTGAGCTTGTGGGAGTGTGTGGAAAGGTGTGGAAAGAAAATCTCTGTCACAGACGTCACTTCTGGCGGCCCGGATGACCCGTAGATGAAATACGAGACGTGTGATACTAAATATTTTACTAAGTAGTTGGTCCCTCATATAGCCAACGCAGCAGCAAGGAGCCGCTCATAATCGGGAGTGCCAGCACCGCCTAGTGATAAGTTGAGCCTGTGACAAAGGAATAAGGATGCCACGCACTCAATGGGTCCCAGCCTTCCACTGCATCAAAAGCAGCCTAAGACAGCGATAAGCAAAAAAGAAACCGGGAGAGGATAGTAAATTACCGTTGTCGCAGGACAGTCCCAGCCCGAGTTGTGGCCAGTAACAATATCATTGAAGACAGAGGGATTGGTGTAGATGAAGGGGTTGAGGAAGCCGAGCACGGGTTTTCCGGCTGCGAGCAACTTGTCGTTAACCAGAGAGATCATCGCAGCGACGGTCGGCGAGGAAGCAGAGGTCCCGCTGACAGCGCCGACTTCGTCGTTGGCCCTTATCAGATAATTCCAGCCCTGGAGAGAAAGGTCGGGGTAGCCCCGTCCAGCACGGTTGAACTCGGGGAACCCATCAGGGATGGTCTTGAGGAAGGCGTCGACAGCGGCAGTTTGATACGAGGGCTGGGGGAAGACTTCGGAGAAGCCACCACCAGTGAAGTTGACCGCAATCTCTGTTGAGCTGATTAACTGGATGAAGATAGGTCGAGTGACAACAAACCAGGGCCAAAGCCGATGGTTGAGCCGACAGAGGTCACGTATGGGCAGGAGGCAGGGAAAACGGAGATGAAGAGCTCGCAGCTGAAGCCATCGTCGTGATTCCCATTCACACCGCCCTATGATAAAGGTGAGACGGACAACAGGAGAGGTTGTAGTTCGACACGACGAACGTCACCGGACGCAGAGAGCACTGAAACACCGCGCGCAGATGCAGCGGCATAACCATCGCAGATTTTACTGTGATTTGTCAGTTTTTGGTACTCTTGTGGACAGAAATAGAAGCTGACTTGGCCAACGCGGATCCGAAATTCGACTCCTGGTCACCATACCTGATGAAATATTGTTATCAGCAATATAGAACAAGGCGACAATATTCGCACGAAGTCGTCATAACAGTTGGAGGCACTGGGCTGCTGGCCACGTAGGCTGTGGTATCAAGCAAAGCCGTCGGGAAATCCCACCCGCCTACAGTGAGGAAGTGCAGGGGGACACCAGTGGCAATACCTACATTGACACCCAGAGTCATAAAAAACACGGTCACGAGACCAAACTACATACCAGCAGCATACTCGATATCGAGTTGAGCTTCGATCCCAGCGGCGCCAGGGAATTGCGGATTAGTTCCACCGGCGACCGCGAGACGAAGGAAGGTCTGATTGGCGCCGGCAGGGTAGTCAGGGCGAAATTCCTTCATAAACGCCTGGATAAGATTATTAAGAAGATCAGAGAAAGCCGCAGATGTTCATAGCCGATTTCACCTGCAAGTCGTTGATTTGGGCCCATTGATTGATATATCCAGTGACAAGAAGTGGATTGTTCTCTTGCGTCGCTGGGGTCGTTGGAATGTTGTACAGGGCTTGGAGGCAAGCCGGAGTGAGAACATTTCTCGGGTTGCTGTCATTGACGTTGCAGCTTTCAGGCGCTGTGGCCTCGCGCTTGGGTACACCATCAAATCGAATGGACTTGCGAGGGCGCGTGTCGGGCATGGTGAAAGCTGTGCTGGGATGAACGACATCAATATGACCGACAAGCTCTGAAGGCAGTGACATTGAGAGTGTTCGCATTATTGGGTCAGGGACGTCTGCGTGTGTGAAGTTGGTGTACTTGGCGCCAAAGAGTTTGTTGGCTTTCGCAACTGGTAACGAGACGGTCACCCACTCCCCGAATGGTGAAGTAGAAGTGGTCTTGAGTCCATTCGCGTCAGCAAATGAGTTGAATGCCTTCACTGCTTCGTTGGAGGGAGCGACAAACGATTTGACCTGAGGGAAATTTAGTGGAAGGAGTACCGTTGGAATGAGCAAAAGACGTGCCTCATCTGCGCTGAGCCATTTTCGGAAATCTGGGTTTCCAGGTGTGGAAATGGCAGCAAGTTTCTCGTGGAGTCCGGCGATGTTGTTCGAGGCTAAACCAAAGCGAAGGGTGAGCGGGTGGTTGTCGCCTGCTGGTCCTTTGCTGGTGAATCCGGCGGGAGCGCTTTTACGCTGCTCGAACTGGACAAGATTACCAGCGGAGACAATGAGGACCAGGGAAAGAGTGCTGAGCAAACGGGCGAAGGACATCGAAAGTGGAGACCGTCGTCTGCCCGCATCGTAAGCAGAGTCCCATGTTTATATTCTAGACGGAAAAGATGAGATTGATGTTAGAGGCGATCCTCTGAAGCAGATTCAGTTTTACACATGGTCAGCGACCGTCTTGGGTTTCCCCATGAAAGCTTTGGTAGCATCGCGCGATATGATTTTGCCTAGAAACACTCAAGTAACAGATCACTGGGGAAGACAACTGCGGATGACGCTATACACACGAGATTCATGGTGTGGCCGCTCGGATTTTTTGGAATGGTTGTCGACGTCGGGAACAACATGGTCGTGATCAGATCGATGGCTTCTCTAAGTTCACTCTCATCTAAAACCTCATCCAAACCGATGTAGTTTGTACCTGTCACGATGCTGCTCTTTCGCGTTCTTGCCTCTGTCCTTTTGGCCCAAGCAACCCATGCATTGACGCCAGTCACCCAAAACGCGAGGGGCCAGAAGATTTACACTGCGCCAATTGGTTCTCGTGTCAAACAGTCTGGTCGCGACATGGAGCTCTTTGCGCCAGACGGCTCTCTCCTGCATACCTTCACAAACGTCGTTTCAGGCGGGACCAAACCCAAGCGGCAAATTCTTAGTGTAACAGAACTCGTCGCTCAGTTCAACGTTACTCCCACCGACACAATCGAATCATTTACTACCACCTTCGTGGTCCCCCCTACGCCTGAAGCGTTCGACAGCCAGATCATCTTCATAAGCGCCAACATCCGTGTTCTCGACCCACCAACCGGCCGCCCTTACGCCACGGTGCGCCCTACCCTTCAGGTTTGCGGGAATCTGGCCACCGAAACCGATATCTAATTTGCGTTTCAGTATGGCGGCAGCTGGCTCCAAGGTGGACCTTTCTATACCTACGCAATGCAGGTGGAATTCGATGCGCAGAACATCCTCCAATTAGTCGGATTCGATAACTCAACTCTTGAGGTCGGCCAAACACTCGACAGCACTATCGTCCGCAATCATGAATTGGAAAAAGAAGCTCCTGGCGTATTTTGGTACTCCGCGAGTTTCCCTAGTATCAGCAACGACACCGTCATAGACATGGGTTGGCAGACACCCCCAAGCGTCCTTACTCTTCAGTTGGAGGAGGAAGGTGTTCTCCAGCCCAGTCATTACCCGGCGGGTTCGCTGGTCTTTGAACACATCAATGTCAATATGACAAGTGGCCCACCTGAGATGTCGTGGCAACCTAACGTCGACCCCGCCAGCCAAGCAGAGTTCAAGGTCGATGTTGACGGTGCCAAGGAAGGCAAAGCTGAACTTACCTTCTCGCGCGTGTAGTATGTAGAATACTTACAAGTGAACCAATGAAAGAGTTCTGTTCTTCTCTTGTGCGTTGATAACAATTGACTGTCAGCAATGCGTATGTAATCGGTGCTTTTTACACCACCATCCCAACAGTCTTCCTTCCCGGTTCCTCGTGGTGCCTACGCTGACCACGATAGCGTCCCTACCGCCGTTGTGCACCTGATTGGAAATTTCGGGATCTGCGGGCTTCTTTTTGAGCAGAAGGCATGCGGTTGAGGTCATCAAAAGATTCGTTTCGCTCTCAGCTCTCTCAGCCGTTGCGACACAAAATGCGCAGCAGCTTTTGCCGGAATTCAGCTCAAACCTCCTCCGACGGGTCATACACACAGAGCTGGGCGGCCCAGGTCACCGAAAAAGTACTAAGAGTGGCTTTGTCTTTAGATCCCCTCCACCGCAATGGTTCTTGTGTCTGCCTCCCTCTTTGCGGCCCTCGTCACACTAGCAGCTGCTACCCCAGCAGAACTGTCTGCCTATGTTATCCACGAACAACGTGACACACCTGCTCGAGGCTTTGTCAAAGTTGGCCCTGCCCCGCCGTCCAAGCAGCTCACTCTCCGCATCGCGCTAAAGCCCAACAACATTGCCGGTCTTGAGGAGGAACTATATGCCGTTTCCGATCCCAAAAGCGCGCGTTATGGCAAACATTTGACATTGGACGAGGCATGTCGGTCCTTACAGATTTGTGGGCCCACTAACGCGTTAAACAGGTCGTCAAATACGTAAAGCCTACCACGGAGGCACTTTCTGCTGTGAACTCATGGCTGGATGCGAACAAGATCACCGCAAAGACTATCTCCCCCGCAGGCGACACCCTCCAATTTACCGTCCCCGTTTCGCAGGCCAGCTCCATTCTGAACGCGGAATTCGCAAGCTTCACGCATTCCGGCCGCAATGAAACCACCATCCGAACGCTTCAGTATTCGCTCCCCGCCGACTTGTCCGGGCATGTCGCCTATGTCCACCCCACGACAAGCTTCACTAATCCGTTCGCCACACCCAGGATCGAGCCTTACGATGTCAAGCGCAAACGGGAGATGGACCCTAATTGCGCTGACCTCACAACTCTTTCGTGTTTGCTGGAAGTGATGGGCCTCCCGAAAGGGCCTGCGACGCAGAAGAAGAACGTGCTAGGAATATCAGGCTTCTTGAACGAATTTGCCAACTTCAACGATCTGAAGGTGCCTCATCATTTTCGGCGGCCTAGGATTTCTGAAAAACTGTGATTAGGATTTCCTCGCCAGATACCGTCCTGAGATGCCGTCGTCGACCAAGTTCGATGTGCAGTTGATTGATGGAGGGTCCAACACCCAGCGCGTTGTTTTTCTTTGGACAAACCCCTTGCATATTCTGACTGAGCAAACAGGCTTCGTGCTTTCGCTGGTGTTGAAGCAGTAGGTCCCGTCGCTCGTGGTTCTTTTCCTCACTCACTGGCTTAACAGAGTCTCGATATCCAGTACTCTGTGGGTGTTGCCAACGGAATTCCCATCCGCTTCATTTCGGTCGGTCCACTAAACAACGATGAACTGGGTGGATTTTTGGATCAAGTTAATACCCTGATTGCGGACGACTCCCGTCCTACCGTGCTCTCGACATCTTATGGTTTCGATGAGCAAGATCTGACCTTCCCTGTTGCTGACGGACTTTGTAACGCCTACCTGCAACTAGGGGCTCTGGGAACTTCTATCTTGTATTCATTTCTTACCATCGCGCTAACATTGTGAGTACTAGTGACGCAAATTTTTAGGACCTCTTCTGGTGATGGCGGTGTTGGTGGCCACGCCCGGTTCTGCGATACCTTCGTGCCGACCGCTCCTTCAACATGCCCATGGGTTACATCAGTCGGCTCGTCGCAGACTATCCTCGAAAACTTCACCAAGAACAACTTTTCTCAAATCGCGGCATCCTTCTCCACTGGTGGTGAGTCTTTTCTGGCTCGAGTCGTCGATCGTTCCTTAATAGGCTTGGACAGGTTTCTCCAACTACTTCAAGCCGCCCACATACCAGAAGGCAGACGTTGGCACATATGTTGCGACCATCAACGGTTATGAGGGACTTTACAACAAGAATGGGCGAGGGTTGGTGTTCCATACGCACGGCGTCCACTGGTTGACATTTCTCAAGTATTCCGGATGTCTCTGCTCAGGGTGTCAACTTCCCAACTCTCGTCGGTCAGCCCCTTGTCTCCTGCATTCTTGCGTAATTGACGCTGTTCCTAGGCGACAGATGGACCCTTGCCAGCGGCACATCAGCTTCGACCCCAGTCTTTGCCTCCGTTATCGCGTTCTTGAACGATGAGCTGATGGCGGCTGGCCGACCTCCGCTTGGCTTCCTCAACCCACTCCTCTACAGTCCGGCTGGGCGCGCAGCACTCGACGACGTTTCGGTGGGCAAAAACCCTGGATGCGGAACAAGGTCAGTCTCGATCCGCTTGTCTGTCGCGCTTGGGGACTGATTTGTTCTACCCATAGCGGCTTCAACGCGACCACTGGCTGGGACCCCGTCACTGGCCTCGGCGCACCAAATTACGCCAGACTCAGAAAGGCAGTTGGACTTGCGTAGGTAGATTACTTGACTGTGCAAGTTGGATACAACAAGTCTTTGGGGTCGGCCCGGAGTGTCCGAAAAACCCAATTTAGCAAGAAAGTTTCCTAATTCGGAGCAGACCTGATCAACTTTATCAACCTTGCACGTCAAGCGGGATGTCGACAGTCCTTGAGCAATGTAATTTTGCTACTCACCACTCTGCCTGGCCAGAGGTCTGCGTAAGTATAGAACTGCTTGCTCTGAGTGCAACGCAGCTGATTGTGTTTTGGTGCGGTTGCTTTGCTTGCCTCCAGTCCAGCGCTGACTGGTGGCTTTGAGAAACATTGGGAGATGGAATCCACTGACAAGTGTCAGACAAGTCCCAATAGGAAGTGATGCAATGGTGAAGAAACATAGGCTCGTAAATGTTGTTTGTACTAGTAGCAATTTACATACGACAGACAATACACTAACTTGAGAGGGATTGGAATCGACAGCGCCATGCGGCCGTCCGCAGCTTGCAGCATTACCAATGTGAGTGCCGCTACCGTAGGGCCAACAACGTCATGAATTTTCAGCGTGAGCGGACCAACAACAAGGCAGCTTGCGGCTACTGAGAGTAACAATGGATGCACCAATCATGTGACGGATAGCATGCCTGAAAGATTGAACTCGCAGGCCCGGGATGGACATCGCTCATGTCAGATCGCTGCGGTAGCGCCGTGCTCGAAGGACTGCAACTGGGGTGTCGTTCGTCACCGGGTTGGAAAACACTCGTGAGCCATCCTTGATATTGGGGTCAGAAGGTCGAGGAAATAGAGGGATGAGTCACTCACGAGGCCTCCCGGGGTGGTCCGAGGTCAAAGGCATAATAAAACGAGGCCACAACGAATCCGTTTTCGGTAGCACGTGTGAAACTGGAGGAAAGTGTTGAGAAGGCACAATGTTGTCAACCGACCATATGGGCGGTCAAGAAGAAAGAGAGAGTGCGGTGGCAGTACCGCGGAAGTAGCAGATCTGTTTCTTCACGATCGCCGGCTCCAAGATTCAGACTCGAGAAGGAAACAACAACTCTGCTGGCCCAATTAACAATGGGGAGATATGAGCAGCAAGAGGGTCGACCATTACGTAAGAGCGGAGTATGGACTCCGATGGTGGGCAACGTCAGAGTTGTGGCCTGATCCCCCCAGCCAAACGATATCTCCCAGTTCCCAGTGTCTTCAAGATAGGCTAAAAGCACAACAGGTCATAGTAGGACGTCCGCATCAAAGGCAAAGTCGAGATGGGCATGTGGTGGTCCAAGGAAAAAAGTAGGTGTCACAAAATGACACCCGCAGATTAGATATCGTCAGACGATACCTCAACGAATGTTGCTTTATATTCGTACACGTAGCCTATGTGCTTTCTGTGCTTAGATCAAGTGGTGGAACTTCCTATGCAAACAACGAAAAGTGAGAAAAAAGTATGATTCGACAAGTATTCTAATATGGACCATCCTAACCACCAACAGCGTTGACCACAAGTTGACAGACGTCTTGGTGTTCCGCGCGGACCCCAAGCTCCAGCGTAACGCCAACACCTTGCGAGAACGTCATTCGGCACCGTACAAGCACCTTCCCACCTCCGCCCGTGACCAATCCCGACAGCTGCAGCGTATGCACCGAGGAAGATGTCGGGCTTTCTGTCCCGCCCAAGGGTTCCATGTTGAGTACTTCGATGATCGAGTCGCAGGCAGCTGCAATAGCGACATCAATGAAAAGTCGGTAAAAAAGACAAGGATAACACGCACCCTTCAGACTGTCCACAGCCGCTCCCAGTCCAAACGTTTCCGTCACACTCGGCCCGCCCTTCATCCGATCCCATTCGGAGCCGAACGAAGCATATGAAGGAACGATGTAATCTCCGCCCGCACTAAGCTCGACCTCTTCCAGTTGGTATTCGTCCTCATAGCCTTCCTCTTCAGGTTCACCAGTTGTCGGATCGAGCTCCTTGCTGACAAATTGCAAGGTACAAGGGAACGAAGCAGTCGCATAATCCGTGGGCACGTCCCTTGTGAACGAGACATACGTTATTCCAGGCGAACTTGTCGCAGTCAGGCTGGGAATAGGAAGGATGAAGTCCTGTGTAAGACCAGAATCTTCTGACGTGGCCATCGCCACCGTAACCTGCTCGAGGACGGTGTCTGGGATCGTGTTCGAGACATTGAACTAGGACCGAATTGGCAAAATATCATGAAAAAGTGTGAAAATAATTCACCTGGAAGACAACGTGCTCTTTGAAAATATGTTTGACGCAGGTAACTTGGTATTCGGTCTCGCTTTCCGAAAGCTCCGCAAGCCGGGTGCTGCTATTAAGCACAGCTCCATAAGGCTCGAACGACGGGACAGCAGCAAGTTGTTCCGCGTATGCACTTTGAGTCTCCGCTGCAGTTGGTGGAGGGGCCGCAGATGACCCAGTTTGAGTAGACGGAACACCGATTGTATCCAATGAGCTGGGTCCTATGCCAGAGGTCAGTAAACCGCAAACGAACGATATGATAAACATACGGGCAGCCTCAGCAGCGGCTTGAGCACGGCTGATCTTGGGAATACCAGAAACATCAAACGCTTGTGCAGAAGCAGCAGGATCCTTGACGTAGGCAACAAGCTTCGACTCCAAAGCAGCCAAAGACAATACGGAATCTATCACAAAGATTCAACCAGGCGAGTTCGGTAAAAGAACGGTATATTCGCACCTTCCTTCACGTACGGTTCGACGAGGGTTTGCTTCTTGAAGACCTTGAGGTACATAGCAGCACGGTCGCGAACTTCATCATCGACATCGTCTAAGCATCTGTGCATGTCTATGTCTTAGCAACAGACTAAGCAGAATATTGAAAACCGAACCGATTCAGAAGGACACCAACACTTTGGTTGAGGGCCTCGTCGTTGGAATTGAGGCCAAATTTGGCTAAACTGGACACAGCGGCAGCTCGCACTGGCGCATTTTCCAGGACAACGCGATTGTAAATGAAACGAATGAATTTGGCGGGCTGGGAGGCTTTGGGCCCTTCGATACCGAGCAAGTGAAGGATGCGAACAGAGAGTTTTGTGAACTCGCAATCCTCAATGAACTCGCAGAGATGCGACAGCGCCTGCTCCTTGCACTCGCTGATGAATTTGATCATATCGAAGATAGCTTCAACAACCGCGCGTTTAAAGTCATAACCACCCTCGTCACGAAGGACACCAGAAAGGAATGTGAGCATCGCGGCGTGTTTGGCAGGGAATTTGAGGCAAAGAGAGCGGATCGCGTCAACAATGATGACCTTGAATTCGTCGCTGATTTCTGACATGAAGCCGGTAATCTGTTTGATGAGACGGTCTACAGAGGCTTCATTACCAGTCTACGAGAAAATATAAGAAATAGAAGTCAAATATAAATGCAAGGATACCTTGAGCAGAGTAGTGATGGCATAGGTAGCAACACTGCGGTTCTGATCTGTGATGAGACTTTCGAGATCAACATTGCAAGCGGCGACATTGGAAGGATGTGTGACAGCGAGAGCAGCAAGCGTTCGAGTAGCGGCGAATTTAAGAACAGGCTTGGGAGAAGACAGGAAGAGTTGGAGGACTAAAATACATTAGCAGACAAACAAATAGAAAATTGCAAGTCTTGCCAGCTATCGACTTGGTCAGTTGAGCAGGTGTCACATTCTTCATTTCGCAGAGAACACGGGCTGCTTCAAAGTTGACCATGTCGCTCTTATGCCTAAGCCAGCCTTCGAGCAACTCAACCATTTGTCGTTGGACGCTGCCGAAAGATCAGTTTTCAATCAACTAGGGGAAGTTACGCACTTGGGATCCTCCTCCATGACCTTGGCCGCATATCGGATGAGCATACACAACGCCATGGCGTTTTTCAATGTCGTTCCCGAACCGGATTTCCCTCCACCCAGTTGTTGGATCATTTTTGTAACGGCCATGCGGTCTTGTTGACGAATAAGATAGAGCAGTCCGAGTGCATGGTATTGTGTGATATTGCTGGAGGAAGGTACGGTTTGTGCGTTGCTTTGGCTCCCGCCGCCGAAGAAACCTCCACCCGTTACTGAGGATCCAAAGTAGCCACCGGTTTTGATGTTCACGGCCTCTTGCGCTTCATTAACCCAGCGCTTGACAACATCCTTAGCTTGCGGGAACATATGGTATGCCGAGATCAACGAAGCGGATGAAATGGAAGGGTTTCGGTCGACGATGGCAGCTTTGAAAAAGCGTTCGACACCTTGAGCCATAGAAGGCTATTTTTCTTGTTCAGCATCTGAAAATATAAAGATATAACAAATCAACGCACGTCGATGATATGGCAAAGGGCCCGAATGGCATTGGGCCGATAGATGACCTCCGCATTGGGCTGCATGTCTTTTTGGATGCTGCTCGTTAGCATCATGACATTTTCTGCCGTCGTTGCGAGTTCCTTAATGGCGAGGTATACCGCCTGTCGCAGGGCGGCCTGAAAATCCATGTCAGTCAACAGTTTAAAAACACGCTCGGCCTACATCTTTGTGCTGGAACAGCTTGGTAGCGCCGAAGAAGAGAGTAGTAGCCTCTTGTGTGTTGAAATTCTCGCCCACGTATAGGAGGTACACGATGCGCGTAAGCAGCGCTCGACATTTGCGGGGGCTGATTGGAGACTCGTTGAAGACGCGGGCTTCCTGAATGATGGTCGTTTTGTTGTTATAGTAGGAGCTCAGCCCGGAAGCGCTTTCGTCCTCCTTCTTATAGAACGCCATAGCGAGCGACATTTTGTGGCGGAAGACGGCCAAGAAGCCAGAACGGAAGGGGAGTCGAGGACGTGGTCGCTCGAAGGTGGCAGTAACGTGATGCGTCACGCACGCAAAAATCATTATATTGCCCAGTTACAGCGCTTTGCAACAGGACGTGGAATCCCCACGTAAATTTCCCCTCGGCTAATGTCTGACGGCACGCTATTGATTGACCACTTTTCCTTATTCTGGGTGCTATCTCGTTGTTACAAGAGAGTGAGCTATAAACACTTGTGGACAGGAGCCACCTAAGACAACACAAGTATGAGATAGATGTCGAATCGGAGGCTTCGCGATAAAACTAAGAGCTCAAGAATCGGTCCGATGATGAGTCGGAGCTGTTAGCCGAAGGGAAATTTACGTGGGGATTCCACGTCCTGTTGCAAAGCGCTGTAACTCTACCCTTGAAAACTAAAACAGACGAAGGGCCGCGGGACGCGAATAGTAACATATAACAGTCAAGAGTAGGGTGAGAGAAGAAGTTATGAATGAGATGGTTGCAGTAACAGGTGCAACAAGAGTATCGAAGGCGGTTATGACAACCCATTCAACCTGAGGTTCGGAATAAACAACTGTGGCCTGTTGGGTCTCGAACTTGAACCTATGGGGAGCCGTTCGGGGGGGTTGACATGGCTCATCGTATTCCCAAGAGAGTCCCATATCGCGTTTCAGGCGATTCAGCGACGTGAATGATTGGTTGTGCTTTGGGACCAAAATGACCTTTCGGGTACTGCGTGGCGGATAAAGGCCTAGTCTGGGCGGAACTTCGCAGCCAAACTCGCCAACTACCTCCCTCACGACCTCCCAAATGTTTTGCGACGATTTGTGCGAGAGATGAGACTCCAGCCATTCGTGTCGGTTGCGGAACGACTGGTAGGTGTTCTCGGGCCAACGAGAAAGGCAACCACATGGATGCCACAGGAAGATGTCCGGCCCGTATATGTATTCGTTGTAGAAGGCGCAGTGGGAGCACATGAATTCGCGCGTCAAGGTTTCGTATTCTTCGAGTGAGGTTGCAGAAATGGAAATGGAGTAGTCAATGAGAGCGGAGACAAGGAATAGGCGGATGTGGAGAAGTATTTCGTGCGGGAGAGATGAAAGAGAGTTGGTCGACTGGTTGAATGCAATGATATCGAATTGGCGGAGGGCGGGAGAGCTGACAGCAAGTGCCGAGTGCATTAACGTCGATTCGGTGGTGGCGAGCGACATTCTATAAGCAGGAAAATCAAAAAGAGCACACAAGTCGGCGCTAGACTGACTATGCTGCAATGGGAGGAATGCTGACTTTCGTAGGCCGCTTGACCGCATACTTATAAGTCCTGCACGAAGTCTAACCTGACATTTCCGACTTCCATTTGACAGACCCCTTGAAGGAAGCCGGTCGTTAAGTGGGTCGCGCGCCACTGTTGAAGCGAAGCCGTTGGAGGACGTTCGGAGCGAATGCCACACCAGTATCAAGTTTCAGTGTGTTCTACGCTCCTTGATTGGCGTCTAGTGTTGAGAGGAAACGACCACCAGTGGGATTTCATCGGAGCGGAAATGAAGTAAATGGAAAAGGAAGCGGCTTTGGTGTCGTCATCGTGCTGACAAATGAATCGAAGCTGAACCGAGTACAAAAAGTGTTTTCATTTGCCTTAACAGACGGCGGTCAGACGCTTCCAGCTTCTGACTTGGCTGAAATCCGCTATCTTTTGGTTTGGGTTTGTGCCTTATTTAGAAGAAGTTTACTCGACCCAGTTTCTGATTTGCGTATCGAATCGCTCAATAAGATCTACCACTTGCGTTGAGCGTCCCCCGAAATATGAGCGAATCCCAGAGTTTGACTCGGACCATGCTTGCATTCTCGTAGAAAAAAAATGAGCGCCAAGGACGGGGCTTCTCAACGAAAAATGGGGGACTTACTGCTGGCGAATCCTGTCTTTTCGGATACTAAAGTGGGCTCCGATAACGTCCTATCAAGTATATCTGAATTTTAAGCAGTAGATTGAGAACTAGCGCACCTTCCACATCTCACGCTTGTTCGACTCCTCTAGCCACTCGACGATTCCCCAACGACACGTCTGTCGCTGGATCTCGAGATTGTACATGACGCTGGCTGGTGCGTTTGGGTTGACTTGTCCATGACCGGGTCTGTGACGCGTCAGCAAGAAAGCGCACCCGACAAGACCGATGTTACTCGTTAAAGTATGGCGCATCTATTAGAATCATGCTTTGTATGCTCACTAAGACTTGCAGAAAAGTCGATTTGAATGGGGACCATTGCTCTTCCGGTCGACCCGGCCATGTCCCCAGTAAAGAAAGGCACACCTAAACCAAAAATCAGTCTCCTTGAAGGTGATGATTGGTCAAGCATCTCACTTTGCCTGTATTATAACTAATAATGAAGTCGTTAGCAATGTAGCGCAAGTCTTAAGAAGCCAGACATACAGATTTGGGTTGAAACGAACAGTCCCTCCACCTGTGGTGCGCAAATAAACAAGCGGGGGCGTCGTAGGATACTCCAGGGGCATGTAACAATCGAATTCGAACAGGCCGCCGGCGTATGGCGTCCCTTCGGGCCCAGCAATCATGACCTTACTGCCCAAATCAAGTCAATGAACCCAAAACAAACTTTAAAGGACGCTTACATGGCGTCATTCCGAACTTCATCGACACGAACGAAAATACCTGGAGGGAGGCTTGTTGCCATTGTCGCCAACTCCTTGAGCAAATGTAAGCGGTGTTTCGGCGCCCTGGTCGATATCTCTGTCTGCTTTAGTAGATCATGGTAGTTGTACTTCCTCATGTCCATTTCCACATGAGAAAAGGCCAGCCCTTCGCAGGATTTGGAGTAGTTCCGTTCAAGCTCTACAGCAGGGTCTCTGGTCTTTCCTTTCACTTTGGAAGGAGAGGACTGTATTGTGGATGCAGTATTGGATTCACGACCTAGAATAGACATTGCCCGCTCCATGTCGTTTCCAGCGGCCAGCAGATCTCCACAGAGCGATATCGCCTGGACGGTCTCCGTGTCATCGTGCTCTTCGTCGCTGTCCATTATAGTTCGCGCGCCAGCAAGAAATGCTTCGCATTGTTTGGCAACTTTCTTGAAGTAGTCGTATAATGGGGGTGCTCGCTCTAACTGTCCATCCTTGTCACGGGCCCAAACTAGTTCAGTTGACGTATCATCTCCCCACATCCAATCTTCCAGTCCAGGTGCTTTCTCCATGCAAAAACGTCGATTGATGATGACTTCAACTGTTAGCTCGCAGTCGGACATCCGCCGAAGAAGGGCAATCATAGCATAGTAGACCTGACTGCGAGCGGTCCAATCGGTCACCGAGTCGTTACGCAACAGCACAGCAAGTAACTCTGGAATCTGCGAGAGGGAAATAAGATCGCCGATGGAGGAATGTGGAAGTAGGTCATATTCTTGTGCATCATCGGCGTAAGGCGAGGGTAAAAGTTGCGTGAGTGTTTGGAAGGCGCGAACAATAAGCTCGTCCCAATGGTCAGAAAGCTGGTTCTGTCGAGAGGCGGCGGCGGCGGCGGCGGCGGCCTTATTCTTCGAATTTCCGGGGCTATAGCCTGTTTGTCCACCAGTGCCGTATCCTGTTCCACCAGGACCGACAGTTCTGCTTTTGGGGTACTTTTGTCTGGCGAGCTGAGATGAACGCGATTCTGAAGAGACTTTTTCTCCCAAAGTTAGCCGATCGAAGCCTCCTAGACACTCGAAAATAGCAATGGCTCGGACGCCAGCACAGCACGACTCTACCTTACATTTTTGGCTTTTGAAGCCGCCAGCTCCTTTGCAAGATGAAGAGCATTGCAGTGGAGAAAAACAGCCGCGACAATGATTCGTATCGCAGGAGGAGCAGGAAGCATGTAATAACATTCCTAGCGAGGGAGTAATGCCTCCTGGAATGGGTGTTGGTGAGAATACGACCTATAAGAGTTCTGTCATATTCGTCGAGGCTAAAATACGACATATCGACGTACGAAGCCACGAGGAGCTGCAACCATCTTGCCGCATTTGCTGCAGGGACGCGCAGCAGTGAAAAACGGCCGGAATTCGTTCAATTTTATGTCTGGGGAAGCATCGAGCTCATTGTGAATGTGGCTTCTTGGCTCGGAGGCGGATCCGCTCTTTGAGGGTCCAGGTTCGGGGTTTTCTTGCGTTTGGTCTAACGCGTCCCATTCAGCAGCTAGACGCCTGGCTAGCGCTTCGTCATCATCACACTCTTGTGTGCTATGATGCGTTGACTGATTCAACTGCCTGGCCAACTTCTCGCTTTCTTCATTTTGCTTGATGAGAGCCAGAATTTCCTCCAGGTCATCCTCCTCATCAGAAATCACGATCACATCTTCATCTGGAACGCGAGCTCGTTTACGCGCTTTAGAGGGCGAGGCTGAACGTCGTCGTTTGGGAGGCATGTTAGAGTCAGCAACGCGAACGTCACAGTCGGTCACTCGGCCCGGATCACAGACGATTACCGTGAACAACTTTACTCCCGACCACCATAATGCTGACGACTCGTGGAGGCATCACCTTAACGACGGCTTCGCGCGTCGTACGGGCTATGTCGTCTGCCGCGTTACCCCTTCAGCCTCCCTCACTCGATGAAGAGACCCGGCAATTCGAAGAAAGGACTGCTGAAATGGCTCAATTCTTTGCCCTCCCGCGATTCAGCAATATCAAACGACCATACACGCCTGTGGATGTTGCCTCCAAGCAGGGTTCACTGCCTGTTCTTCCTCTACCTTCCACATTACTTGCGGATAAACTCTTCGCGTTGTTGACCAAACGCGCTGCTGCCGGTGAACCGGTACATACCATGGGGGCTATTGACCCGGTCCAAATGACACAGATGGCCGAGCACCAAGAGGCTGTCTATGTTTCCGGCTGGGCGGCATCGAGCGTGCTTACAACAGGGAATAATGAGGTTGGGCCTGATCTCGGGTAAGTCTACACAAATGTCATTACCATCGTCTAACTTAAACTTTAGAGACTATCCGTACACCACAGTTCCTAACCAAGTTCACCGGATATTCCGTGCTCAGCAGCTTCATGACAAAAAGCATTACGACGAACGGATGACTGCCACACCAGAGGCTCGCGCCAAGATGAAGTATATCGACTACCTACGACCGATTATTGCAGATGCAGATACTGGGTAGCTGACTATATTCCTTCCCCTGCTATCTTCGTCTGATTGTCAGCTAGTCATGGTGGTCTTTCGGCTGTTCTCAAGTTAACGAAACTCTTTGCTGAATCTGTAAGTGTTTGTTGGACGGACATAAACTAGAAACCAATACGTGATAGGGTGCCTCTGGAATCCACATGGAGGATCAATTACACGGAGGGAAGAAGGTAGTATATAACGGCGAACTTTCAAGCTTTTGACAATGCTTTTTAGTGCGGCCATTTGGGTGGTAAGGTCATTGTGCCCACTTCAACACACATTTCCCGTCTCGTTACCGCGCGTTTCCAACTCGACCTCCTCAAATCTACGATGCTGCTCATTGCACGGACAGACTCAGAATCCGCCAAGTTACTGTCGTCCTCGATTGATACAGAAGATCACGAGTTCATCCAGGGCACGACCACTAAGGTCAGCAAGGGACTTGCGCAAACGCTGGCGGAAGCGGAGGCGCGAGGCGCATCGGGTCCGGAGGTTGATGCACTCGAGCAAGAGTGGATGGACGAAAATCCATTGTGTACTTTCAACCAAGGTTAAAACTCCTATTGCTCTGTTTCTTGTCCTTTTTGCTAAGTTGAAGTGTAGCTGTTGAAAGGGCAATCAAGCAATCGTCCGTTGGTGAAAAGGATTCCGCCTACATATGGTACCTTACATCAGCTGCTGGTAAATCGCACTCAGAAGCTCGAGACATTGCTGCCGACATCTTGGGAGCACCTGTGTACTGGGACTGTGACCGTAGGTTCCGCTCATAACTCTGTGGTAATATTTATCGTTGGCTAGTGCCCCGCACGCGTGAAGGCTATTATCGGGTTACTGGAGGGATTGAGGTATGACTGGCTAATTTGTCTTTTTCTCTCTCTGACTTGATGTCTAGCCAGCAGTCAAACGCGCGATGGCATTTGCTCCTTACGCAGACTTGATCTGGTTGGAAACTAAGGAGCCTAACCTCGAACAAGCACGTTCGTTTGCAAGGCAAATCCGAGAGAAATACCCTGGAAAGTGCGTAGCCATATATTGTTCCACGATACTTGTAATGACTGATCACATCTTAGGTGGTTCGTATATAACCTCAGTCCAAGTTTCAACTGGGCAAAAGCGGGTTATAACGGTAGGTGCTGTTGTCTGAATACGAACAACAGTTAACATGGTGATGTAGAGGCTCAACTGAAGAGTTTCGTGTGGGATCTGGCCAAGGAAGGCTTCGTCTTCCAGCTCATTTCGCTGGCTGGTCTACATAGCGGAGCGGTTACAACATCGGAGCTTGCGCGGGACTTCAAAGACGACGGAATGCTTGCGTATGTGAAGCTGATCCAACAGAAGGAGAAGGAAATTGGCTGCGATGTGTTGACCCATCAGAAATGGTTGGTTTCTCCAATTGTTTGTTACAACCGCTAATTTCGCGTGCAGGAGTGGGGCAAACTACGTCGACCGTATTCTTCAGAGCGTGTCGTCAGGGTCTTCAAGCACCCTAAGCACAGGAAAAGATTCGACAGAGCATGCATTCTAAGGATACAAAATAATACAACAAACCTACTGTCCCTTTTCCCCTGTCAAGTTTCCGCAAATGGGTCTCCAGATTCGTCCATTTGTAGAGGGCCACCCAGAAGCGCGTCGGCAGGGTCTATTTGGCTTAGGTCGTGAGCGTCCTCCAGACTTAACCCGTCCGGCGCCAATGAAGATATATCTATAAGCCCGGTGTCTGCCTCGTCCAGACCAACGCCCACACCGTTGTCCATGTTAGACTCCATAGCTTTGAGAGACTCATCAAGCGCGTCGTCGTTGGTGGTCATATTATCACCCATCGTAAGTTGGGGTTTCGGAGACGGTGGTTTGGAAGGTAGCTCGACTTCTTCCAGCTCGGGAGGGGCGCTTGGAACATTGCTTGCAGGAATTGCCTCGTCCTTATCGTCTTTCTCGTCCCCTTCATCGTCGTCCCCGTCCACAACTTCCACTTCATCAGGTAATGGGGCCAATGGCTCGTCAACTGTCCCTTCATCATCGCTGAATTGCTGAAAAAATGGTGGTCAAGGTAATTCAGGTCAATCGAGCAGCCACGCACTTGTGGTTTAGTTGTCTTGACCCATTTCTTGACGCGTACTGTCGCCGTTGAGCTGTTCCCAGCCATAACTTCGGGGACAACCCAGACTTTCTCCCAGCATTGCACAGGCTGCATAAGTGCTCTCCGCGCCGCTTCGGTGGTTGCGGCACTGACGCCGACTCTGCGCTTCGTGGACATGTCTGGAGGTAAAACGCGTCGTGACTAGGTGTGACAACTTCCACGCATCTCAACCTGCAACGCTCTCGTCGTTGTCAACGTCGGCATGTTACATTCACAACCTCGCACCCTACATTGACCTGTTGCAACGAAAAGGCTTGACATGCTTGATACTTGTGTGAGACAAATTGGCGGGACCCCTGAGTGGATACCTACTGGCTCATTTCCGAGTGTCAGGAACGTGTTCACCTTTCTTCCGTTTTTCCATGCCCTTTTCACTCTTTTCTACCCGACGGATCGCCCTTTTCACAGTTATCGTCACTATCACCCTCTCCAGCGCCTGGATAAGCCGTACATTCAAAGTCGACGTCGATGGCCTCACAGCGCGGATCGTATTCAAAGACAACAAGGCTAAATTCGACGCCCGAACAGTGCTCAAAGGGCCCCCTTCTACATCCTACAAAGGCAAGAGCATCAAACCATATACCTCCTGCTTACCGCGAAACAGACAACCTCTTGCCGACTGAGAAGTACATCACATCTTGGGGATCCTCTGCTGGTTGGAGTATGTGTTCCACTCGCCTTGTGTCTCGCTCTGATAACGCTCAGGCAACGATGTGATTAGCTTTGTGCGTCGCACTGGAATCATCTTTAATTTTGCGCTGAATTTCGCCAGATACATCTCATATATCTAGGCCAACAAACGAACCGCATTCCCATCCTACCGGCCCACACATCGACCCATTTACCTTGGAGTGTCCAAGGACAGCTAACGTTTGGAGAAGTTTTCGACATCCCCAGACTTGCAGCAGCATTGGGGCATCCAGTGTTAGAATGGGACGACGTCAAAGAACCCAACAGCAGCGAGGTCGACAAAATTGGCTGCTGGAATATATGGGGTCCCATGGAAAAGCAAGGAGGGGCTCCGCGAGATAGCCACAGAACCTTCCAACTCAAGCTCGGTGTGTTTATTCTCGTGTTATTGTTGGTTTGAATCTCACCTCCTTCGCAGACATTTCATACACACCTGTTCCCGACTACGTTCTTAGCACCGCGCATCACTCTACCTTCGCCTCGTTTCCCGCGTTGATGACCTTGGCTTGGCCTGAGACAAGGCAACGGGCGTTTGAAAGCGTGAAGACTGCGCCGTCGTCGTATAGCAAGCATGTTACTCCGCCAGATGAACATCTCTTATGCTTCGACTTCCTCTACTACGTGGGTTCTTTCATGGGTTTCGAGATTGGTGTTCAACACAGGTTAGCTTGTTCCTCTTTCAACGACATTTTCCGAGGAGCTGATTAATTGCAGTCCGGCCTGGAATACGGTCGGCACCCATATGCATTGGAACCGAGCGCTCGACAAGATCGTTGACCAGTGGCTGCTCGTGATATTCGGCTTGCCGGACGGTGCAACGCTCCCACCTGTAAGTTGCGCGTTATTCTGTTTCTCGTCCCTCACATTATTGCCTAGTTCATCTCCATTCACGCGCGACACACCGACTTCAATGACCACTGCGACCCCAAGAAGCCGAAAGCGTGCTTCCCTTCCATCGACGTGTTCAAGAATGAAGTACGCGAGATGAAGGCCAAGGTGCTCGAGCAGAAGGGCATTCAGGTCGAACATGTTGTCATGACCAGTGACGAGACAGACCCTGCGTGGTGGACCGAGGTGACCGACGCGGGGTGGTACATTCCGGACCACGACCATCTAGAAACAGCGGACTTGCTGGGCGACTGGTAAATATACTAATTCGCTCCAATATGCTTTCACTAATGCTGGGTCAGGTACCCCGTACTCATCGACGCCGTCATCCAGTCTCGTGGTATCGGGTTTATTGGGACTGAGCTGAGCACGATGTCGATATTGGCACAGCGGAGAGTGGAAGACTGGCAGGGCGGGGTGACGACTTTGCTCAAATTGAGACATTGACGACCGGCATGACTAGATACTTGCTCTTAGATTCAGGGAACTAGAAGACACTGTACGGTATAAGTAATATAATAGCTCGACCCTTGTCGGCGATGCCTCCGTTTCATTCGATGACAACCTTTGCAACCTAACCTCCCTCAGGAGGCCAAGATGAGCATAAGCCAGGCCCGCCAGGCCAACTTCTCATCAAAACCTTACTTATGATATCGGAAAATAGCACCACATCTCGCAGTCTAAGCTGATGCGCGATTCTATGGAAATAAGCGTCCGCCATTTAGTAGAGTGCATTTCACGGTGTCTTTAGCCCCAGCCCGAGCAGGCTATCAGCGCTTCTGGACCAACCCTCTCCCGCCCGCGCTTCCACCCCCAAAGCTCTTCTCATTCACTCGAGGTTTGCCCGATTCGGTGGGATCTGTGAGATCTTCCCTCGCTCGCAAGAACGTTCTCAATCGAATGCAAGACTAGGATTTTAGATGCGACTAAAAGTACAGCTTGAGTTGTGGGTACTTTTGTGGTTATAAGGTCAAGAATAAATATGTAAGGTCAAGTCAAAAGGTCGTCGCTCGCTGGTGGAACGACAGGAGGAGCAATGCGTCCTCGTAGGGCACGGCGGTGGGCTTATCGTCCACGGGCATCGCAAAGTCATGCATTAAAGGGACGGTAGGTGACGATGCTGGCGTGACTGCCTCTTGCGCCTCTTCTTCTTCATCGCTAGAATGGACTAAACGTCGCATCCAAGCTCGGGACCGCTCAGCAGCAGCCCTAGCCTCTTGTAAGTCATCAGAACGCGAGCTAGTACCACTCGAGCTTGTCGCTGATGGGGGAGGTGTTTCTGACCGCGAGGGAGACGTAGACGAGGAGAGATAAACCCGCTCGCCAACGACACTCCCTGCATAAGAGGAATGGGCTTCATCATCACTCGCTGCACCGCTTGCGATGTCAGCGAGTCTCCGTCGTTCTCGCTTGGCTTTTGATTGTCGGAGATTCCGAAACCAGTTCGAAACCTTGACAAGGTCCATGCCAATCTCCCGTCCTAATGCGGTTCTTTGTTCGATGGTTGGATTCGGGGTTTTGAACAGCAACCGACGAAGGCCCTCAAGCTGAATCGAGTCTGGCCGACCTCGTCGCTGAGGATTGGTCATAGAGGATGAACCATATGGAGTTTTGTTGCGGGGGGACGAGGACCGTTGACGTGGGTAATATTGATCGTCTGATATAGGTCGGAGACTTTCTGAGCCTACGAGTGATGGATGGCTTGTTGCTGGTGGCAGAGTCGTAATGGGAGGCAGCCTCAAAGATGGTGGAATCGCTTCCGATAGAGGAGGAAGGTGGGCATGGTGGTCGTCTTGGCTGGAATGGTGTTGCAGCCTAAACCATTCTTTGATGGTGGAGTGGTGCCTGTGAAAGCATATGCTTGGTCAATTTACCGAAGCCAGGGATCATAACAAGAAGAAGGAAAAAAAAAGATGCTCACACTTGAAGCCTATCTGCTATCATCTTGGACTCGTCGCTGGTAGGATATGGGTTTCGCAGTCGAATCTGATAGAGTTCCTCGACATGGGCGCGAGAAAGGTGTTGGGCGGAATTTGGATCAGGAATATATTGACTTTGATTAACCGGCTGTCTATGATCGAGCTGTACCTGATGGAGGTCTCGGTCGTCGTCGTCTTCATTGGGGACAGGATTATAGAGGGGGGGAGTAGAGGAAGAACAAGAAGTCGTGGTTTTGCGGGAGGTTGAGCTAGGGTGGTCATAGATGCCTCGTGGCTGCTTCTTCAGTGAGGCACGCTTGTTTTGAAAATAAGTGTTGACGCTCTTTGTTTCTCTAACGATCCATCGGTTTAGCATGAAAGACAAAGAGTCGTGAAAGAGGTTACGCACAGTCCCAAAGCTAGCGCCAACTCTGTTCGCTGGGCCAGGGAAGGGTGCTCTGTCTGATCGTAGAGAGCATTGAGGGCAGCGAGCTGGACGGCGCTGTGACGATGGCGGGGCTTTTTGGTGTGGTCGGACATGAAAGGGAGAGGAGAAAGAGATGAATGACAAACCAAATTTGCTTCACAGGAATGGCAGCAAGGTATATTGGGGTTTTAGTGATCGTGATGAATCCGTTTCCCCGTTTAAAGCAATTTCAGCTGCAGCTGTTATGGCATCCGTGTGTTTCCGTCCTTACCCGTGCCCATCGAGAAGCAGTCTTCAGCAGTCTTCTGGCTTATTGGTCACCCCCGTGGCTGGTAGCCTCTAAAGCCGATTGATTCTCAGGCGGAATCAAGATTACGCTGCTAGGGGGAAAAGCCTGCGCCACACAATAATAACACCCGAGCGATAGATGATACCATTCCAACGTCCATATTAGCGTTCAATGATGCAAGTCAACTGCCGGGAGAGAAAACAGCTGAAATCTTTGGTCGTGGGGAACAGGATCCGAGATGCGTCATGACAAAATTATATAGCCTTAGTGGCTGTCCACCGGCATCTTATTGATACACCGAACACAAATTATTGTGCGTCGTCAGACTCGTCTCTTGTAAAATTCTTCATCCACGCCCCGATCGACCCCAAGAAGCCTTCGTGTCGAAGGAATAACGCGCGCTTCGTGCCTTTACTCCAGAACCGAATTGCATAAGACAGCGTTGCAATCGTCGTTGGGTGACCTAAAACCTGAGCTTAAACAAGATCGACACAAAAGAACAAGGTTACCGACCTCGGATAAAGCAGCCACCAAAGTATATGCGCTCGAGGTTGTATTTCTCTGCGTTCATATACGCAATTTGCCCGATATTATTCGAGACAGCATAGAGCAGACTCCGACTGATGTCTTCTGCAGAGAATTTCACTTTCTCGCCACCCTTCTTGAATACCTTGCCAAACGAGCTCGCAATCATTGTCGACTTGAGCCCCAGCTTGCTGTAGTCTTGGCCGTAGATGTCTCCAACAAGCATGTCCACAGTAGCGTTATCACCGCCTTCTGAGAACTTGAGCATCTCTATAGAGAATTAATACGGCTAGGAAAGAATCGGCCACTTACCATCGAATGTAGTTGCAGGTGTGAGTAGACTAAGCAGACCCCACAGCGTGCCTCCGCCAAGACTTGTTCCGCTTACACGCTCAAACTTGCCATCTTCGTCAACCTTGATGATTGAGACGCCGGAGCCAATGTTGACCAGTAGACAAGGGAGCTGTGGGGTCGGGTTGCTCTCGAAAGTGACCGCGTAAGCAGGTGGGTTCGGACTTGGTCGTTCGAGCACGACGCTGACATCAGCAGCAACATCTGGCGTTTTGCCAGCCGACACGCTCTGTATAAGCTCGTCAGAAAAGTAGTATACCTCGTCGGGAATGAGGGTGAGGAACTTGAGGCCCTCGATAAGGCAGTCCATCTCGTCCTCCCGCCTCACTTCCACCGACAATGTCCCGCGAAAGAGCTCGTAGAACTTGTGCGCCCCACCACCAGTCGCCATTATCTTCACCCCACGACGCATCTCGTCTATCGACACGCCGTTAACTTCGGCGGATCGAGCAATGAGTGATTGGATGAACTCGACACAGTCCTCGATCGCGTCGGTCTCGAATCGCTCAAAGTTGAGTGACCCGCCAGGGAAGTGCTGGACTGTTCTTCGCAGAATGGTGTCGCGCATGAGGGAGCCATTGGCCAGTCCAGTCAGGGCATCAGCATGGAGTTGGGAGTCGTTGTGTAGCACAAGCGGTGTCAGCGCGCCATGCCGTTTTGGTGGTGGGGGAGAGAGCGTATTCGAGTCGTCAGAGGGGGAGCGGGAACGTGGACTAGGGGTGGAGAGGTTACTGGGAGTGCCACTGCCATGAGTAGCGATAACCGACGGAGAAGATGGTGGTTCGGGCGAGCGGGTAAAGTAGACGACTTTGGCCAACGAGCCGCCTACGTCGACAGCAATGTGCGAAACGGGCTCTATGTAGTTGGGGAGGTAGATGCCTCTACTGTCTCGTGTCTATTCCAGGTTAGAAAAAAGGCCTCAGAATGGTGATGATATCGTACCTCTGGTGATTCTTCGGAGAGAATGACTGCCCCGCGAGTGTCGACATGAATAACTTTGGCCGATGGAAGCATTGAAGAAGCTTTAGGTTCAGCAGTGGGTCATTGGACGGGAGTTTGGGGAGAGGAAGCGTTTGGGGATCATACCACAAACAAAAATTGCAAGACATGGATTTCTCATCATCGCTTCCCGGCCACTCCATGAACCGGAGCTAAGAGTACGGACAACAGGTAATGAAACAACACGGAAATGTCTTGACCATTCGATTACGTCGGAGGGAAGAGGGAGGGCATTTTTGTCGAGCTCGTGGTAAAGCAAAAGAAGAAACCGGAGCCCGGGCCTTCCCATCCATGTAGACAGGTCTTCACCCAACTTTTGCCCACTCTGCGATTTTCGGCTTTGCCCACTTCTATTTTCGACACTGTTCAATTATCATGGTGACGAGCTCAAGTGTTTTTGCAGCCGTCATACACCAACGGGTCCGATCTTGATCCCGCGTTTCTCATCGTCAACGCCAAATGTAAAGGTCTCTCATTTCAGACCCTTCTCTCTTTCCGCCATGCCTGTCTATGCCCTTGACCATTTTTACTTGCTTGTGTCTCTCCTGGTGACTGGTGGGCTTAGAAGCAACCCACCGAAGCCCTCACTGACAGCCTACCAACAGTCGCATACCAGTTGACTGGTTTCGCCATCGCCTACACTCTTCAATTCGACAAGATAACAGATTTAACCGGAGTATGTGAAGAACGACCAATATTCCATGCTTTGAACCTCTTAGGGCTCCAATTTCTTCATACTAGGTGCGTTTACTCGTTCTGCTTCCCCTCCTTCGCTCATATTCGTATAGCATTGCTTGTCTTACTACTCGGTGGGACCTACCAAACGCGAAACATCATCGCAAGCGTCTTTGTGCTTGTATGGGCCGTCCGCATCGCCTCTTTCCTTTTCTACCGTGTACTCAAGACGGGGCATGATGGGAGATTCGACGACATCCGCAAGTCTTTCTTCAAGTTTCTTGGTAAGTATGCTCTTAAGCTGAATGCTTTACTTGGTCGTTGACTTTTGCAGCTTTCTGGATAGGTCCTGCAGTAATCTGATCTTCGAACTTTGCTGACCTCCGACCCTCTGTTAGCACAAATTCTTTGGGTAGAAAATGGTCAAATATCGTGGTCTTCAGCACTCACTGTCTCCAGGTCTGGACGGTCTCGCTACCAGTCATCATCCTGAACGCGCCGGCTGTGTCGGACGTCGCTCATGGTGGCTCCAGTCCTAAGTTTGGGACCGCAAGGGACATCGTTGGTGTCGTGATGTGGACATTAGGATTTCTCGTCGAGGTCCGTTTATCTTCTTGTTTGTTCTCGTTGAGTCCTGACGCTCCACGTTATAGACTATCGCAGATGCGCAAAAGGTTACCTTGCATTGTCCAATACACCGCTTGTTCGCTGATCTCTTCTAGTTTCGCTACAAATCATCTCCAAGTACTTCGAAAGACAAACCCATAAATGCTGCGTCTCTTCCCAGTCCTCTTCTTTAGCTGACTGTCTTTAGACAGGCCTCTGGGCATGGTCACGCAACCCTCAATATTTTGGCGAGTGCGTGTTAACGTCTTGTTTCTTCTGAGCAAGAGTAACAGCGTGTTTACAGGATGATATGCTGGTGGGGCATTTGGATACTGTGCTTATCGCCAACCACCAACGGCTCGCTACCAGCGCGATCACGTGCTGCACAATACGCGTCAATTCTTTCACCGATCTTCACCGTTGTGTGCGTTCGCCTTCGTTGTTTGTTGCGCGATGTGACCGTGGTTGCAGTATCCTCATGTTCGGCTCGGGTATGCCGACATCGACCAAACCACAGGCAAAGAGATATTACCTCAAGAGCTATGGACCAGAAGCCAAGCCAGAGAATTCCACCATCTGGGCCGAATACAAGGAGTACCTCCAAAGAACGTCCATATTGATTCCTCTCCCTCCTGTGATATACGCGCCATTACCCGCATTCATAAAACGGACTCTACTCTTTGAGTTTCCGATGTATCAGTTTGACGAGGCAACGGATGGGGAAGCGGCTGTGACAGAGGCGAAACAAAACCTTATCTAGCACACGTACGCTAAGTAGTTCCAACAAACCACCACTTTTCAGCTAGAATCGCTTAGATATGCAGTGTTGCAGAAACGAGTTGGACTGACAAGATTTGGGAGCAGGAGGACCCTCCCCGGCTCCGTGTTGGGTTACAGCAAACGCCTTGTTTTCATCTGCATCTCTGATCTGAAGCAGCCTGGACGAGTTGCGAATAGTGACATTTGTTCTGATGGGTAAGTATTAGACTAGGCGAAAGAGAATCAACAAAACGCACAAATCAACAGTCTGCGACGATCCCAGAACCAGCCTTTTCCATGCATCATGAGAAGACCGCACTATATCCCGCGCATATTCGGCTCCTTTTGCCTCACCGCCCAAATCAAGCGTGTTCTGGTCTTTGCCCTCTGGCAGCTTGTACAGTCTGAACCACTCTTTTGTTGAGGATACGATTCCCGGGAGGTGTTGCTCGACGTCTTTGAGAGAGCGGAGACGATTTGCAAGTGGGTCGGTGGTGTTGATGACAAGTAAGGTCCAGCGCAAGATGTTTTCGTCGCGGGGAGCCAGAACGCCAAGAACGCGGACTTGTACTATGTCGCCGATTTGGGATATGCGCTCGCCAATTTCGCAGGCGTGCAACGGCGCATCCTCAGACCATGTCTGTAGAGCATTGGAAGGAAGATGGAGAAATTGGGGATAGTGACTGACCTGTGGTAAGCACCCGTAGTTCCAGACATAGCCGTGGTGGGGAAACACACTACGGACGAAAGCTGGCCGGCCTTTGCGCGACATGGTATGTTTGATTGGCGCAAACGGCTCCTCTGCTGCGAGGGCCATCTTGGCCGAGCTCCAGCGTGGACATTCGACAATCATGTTCAGTATTAGGTCGCTTGAGGCCGAAGAGATGGCAAGAGGGATGTCATGTAGGGCAGAGATGGTGTGTCCATTGAAAGAAATAAAGGCTCGGTAATCTATTCGATGTTAAGCAAGACAAAATCTTTATCGAGGTTGTACTAGGCGGACCTTGAGTGCCAGGCTCTCCAACAGAGCGTGTTGAGTAGGAGGAGTTCATGGGATTTGGTGGGATCAGAACTGCAATGCTATTCCTTTCCCCTAGCTAAGTCAAGGAGTTGGCGGCTGTCGCTATGGATGAGCTTTCAAGTCTAGTGGCGTTCCCGTAAAGATACCTCGCATCGAGCGCTGAACAAGCAGCACAATCGCTCCTTGCGGGACGCGGTCACGTCCACTGATGAGCTTCTCACGATCTGCCGAGCCGTCACGGGTGACGCGATTTCCTTTTCGGAAGTTTTACGGTTGATAGCCTCGTGTGGCTGACCTCATTCACTTCCTGCCGCCATGTCTGTGCAGATATCATCTCCCAAGGCCCCGCGCTCATCCCATCACCGCCGTTCCTCATCCACCCGCTCATCTCCCCGGCAAAACCGTGTCAGGTCATACCCCAGCCCTCGCAGTCCCACAACTCCACCGGAATCCGAGTTTGTGGCTGCATCGCCATTTCGAGCGACGGACAATTATGCTGGACCATCTACCCCCGGGTTTGTCCCAGAGAATCTTCATGTCGCTGACGAAACCTTCGACATCGATCCGACAACGGGAGTGTTGGATGCTGCTGGGGAGACATACCAACCTCCAATACCGCCTGCTGGACGAAACAGGTTCGTTGGTGGATTTGTGGGCGGTATTAAAAAGGCATGGTGGCAACGTGGAAGACCGCCCGCAGACCTCGAAGAGTCCGTTCCGTACCCGGAACCGGCCATCATCCATGACGGAGAAACTCAGTACGAAGCATTGTCGCCTGAAGAACGTTATGGCCATGAAGCGCATACGCCCTACCCAGAACAACAATACCTTGAGGATATCCATGAAGAAACCGTTGAAGACCACCGTCCAAGTCACGAACGGAAGGAGTCCTCGACATCGACTGACACGATGCACCAGAACTACGAGGGCACTACCATTGTCAACCACGAGCCTTTCCAAAACCAATACGGTAGTCCGCAGTTCTATGAACCTCAACCTGGCCCCGACTACGCCAAAATATCGCCTCCACGATCCGAAGCCTCTTTGGGATCGTATATTGCCCGAGTTCAACGATTCATCAAAGCCATTAATGACCTCCCTTGGATTTCCTCCGACCGTGTCACTGTGGACTACATTCCTCGTGGAGCCCGTGAGCAGATGGCATTGGAATCAGCAATGGGGAGCTCTATCGGCTCCCCACGTCCTCGACCCAGGTCACGTGTTGGCAGACGGACAACAGTCTCATGGTATAACTCAAATCAGCCGCCAGGATCGGTCGATTTGCTCGCTGGCAGCACTCCCCTTGATGAATTCGGGCAGCCAATAATGCCCAAGGAAATCCCACTCAGTTTCGCGCCGCAGTCGCCTGCAACACAATATCCTTACACCTCTCCTGGCGCAGGCTTGGTATATGGGAATAACTCGCCGATACCCGTACCACAAAGCCCTCAACGATCCCCTCCACCAATGGCGGGTGCGTTAGGCCCAAACACACCTAAAGGAACGCCCAGACGAGTTCCTCCGCCAAGATACGACCCAGACATTGACGGGCCCCCGGGATCAGGGACTTATCGACTACCTGGCTCACCACGTTATGCCATGGGTGGTTATGTGCCCTATGAGCAACTTGGGCCGGGGCAAGCCTACACGGCGTCAACGATCAGCTCTGTGTCGCCAAGTACAAGGGGTTAATGTTACTTAATTATTCCCCGCCATCTATTTCGCTCTTGCATAGGCCATGGACCGAAGTTCAAGTTTGTATTCCTTTTTCACTGTACTCTTGCATGTGTCTGCGATATCTCAATGGATGTAGTTGGTGACATGTCGACATGTCTTTAATCTCATGTAAGTAGCTTTCTACTGAATATTTTTGAAGTATACGAGCATATACTTGAGCCTATAGGCAGATGATATAAATGCTAATGAATACTATCTAAAATCGATCTAATCTGGGGTGACTTTTGTGACACTCCCGTTTTTTCTACCACATGCTTTCTTCCATCTCAACTTCGATGCGGACCTCCTACTACGGCATGTCGTACCTGTAGCCTATCCCGAAGGCATTGGGAACCGGGGCATGTCGTTTGGCTGGGTGGTTGTGGCTAAACTCTCATGTCGACATTTGGGTGCATACTCCGCTTTCAATGGTCCATCCTATTGCTGCTCATATTTTCCCATTGCTAATCGTGGCCACAGTTCTTTTTTGAATCTCGATCTTGGAGCCGGCGATCGTGAAGAAACACATCTGCTACTTCCGCGGTACTGCCACTGCACTCCCTCTTTCTTCTTGACCACCATTGACCTGCCCACATGGTCAGTCGATAACGTCCTCCACTACTACGCCTTCCACTCACTTTCTTCCAGCTGTGGATTGCCGACTAGCAAAGACCGACTGCTTCGTTGTGGTTACAATTGCCTTATGCATTAGACCGAGCCACTTTGCACCGCCCGGGAGCCCTGGAAGTGACTTTTCCCATTGCCTCAGAATTCTCACTCCACCATCAACATGGACTTACATGCGGACTTCCAACGACCTCTCATGCCTGTAGAGGGCCTCCAATTCATCTCGAACGCTTGCCTGGCCCCATGATTACTCTACAGTCTTGGCTGGTCAGTAGCAATGTCAACGATCCGCTGCGATCAGGTAGTCGAGTTTCCTACTGCGCTTTTCTTTCTATTGCTAACTGTGGCAGCAGATTTCTGGCCTTTCGTCACTGGGATCCGAACCTTGAAACATACGATCGTGAAACCTCCCGCGGTACCGCCACAAGATTCCCTCTTTCTTCTCTACTATCACCTGCCCACTCGGTTAGTCCACCACGTCCCCCACTGCTCAGCCGGACACTGACCTTTACTCAGCTGGTGGAATCAAGTTGGTGCTCTCTCTGACTAACAACCACCGATTTCAAGTTGACTTGAACCCCAAGAAACCTTCGCGGGGCTCTCTGACGCTTTCCAAGATCAATAGCTGCAGTCCTTTGAACATGGCGCTTCCGCAGAGATCTGACATGGGCGACAACTATTCGGGGTTTGCGAGTGGACTGGCATGCCATCCATCACGTGATCGGGTGCATGGGCCACCTGCCACTCTCAACTCACCTCGTCTTTGGTTCGTTCACGCTGACTTGATGAAGCTGTTGGCCCTGTGATTGCGGGACTTACTTTGGTAACGCTGCAAGCTTGGGGTCGCGCAATCGTATGCTTTCGACAAAGCTTTCGCCTGGTAGTTGCTCCGTTGTTAGCCACGGGCGGCCTTTCTGACGGTGTATCCCAGGGCCGTTCTTTCCGAGCGCGATTTAAAAGCGCAGCTGCAGTCCTTTGAACATGGCGCTTTCGCAGAGATCTGACATGGGCGACAACTATTCGGGGTTTGCGAGTGGACTGGCATGCCATCCATCACGTGGTTGGGTGCATGGGCCACCTGCCACTCTCAACTCACCTCGTCTTTAGTTCGTTCACGCTGACTTGATGAAGCTGTCGGCCCTGTGGCTGCGGGACTTACTTTGGTAATGCTGTAAGCTGGAATGGCATTCGACGAGGTCGTTAATTGGGCAAGGTTCTTCATGTATTTGCCAAACTTTCAATGATGATGTTTTTCGGATACAAATCTACATAAATCATGCTCCTCTCTGTTGCCGACTACCACTTATCCTTGTTGATGGTTTTGTGCTGATGTTTTGGCCCTGGTTTGACGAGGCTCTCGTCGTTCTCCTGCTTGGCAGTGAGTGTCATCATAATCGAAACGCCACACTGTCACTTGCCTTGTCATCCTCATCGTGTTCAGCCCCCTCCGACACCGTGACCTCCGACTCGGACTCCTCCTCAGAATCCTCCCACTCGGAATCCTCCATCTCGGAGTCCTCTGAATCCACAACTCGTCGTCTTTGCATTGTCGAATTTTCGATGAGGTCGTTGAGAGAAGGGATACGACTAAGCAAAATATATCAGTCTGGCGCTCTCAACGCAAGCAAATGAATGAATCGCACCCATGCACTATCAGCTCCACCGCGCTGCTCACTAGTCGCGCCATCCTCCTCCAGACCTCCGTCTGGTCTCCGAGGCATAATGTCGAAAGAACGAAGTCGCCCAGCGTTGGATCGTCCGGCTCGGGAATTGCCTGCGGCCACATCCGTGCACCGCGCGCGAAGGCTACGGCATCTTCAAGTTCAATCTGAGAAGGTACAAACACCGTCGCAAGAATGTGACGGTCCATGACTACGCTGCAAACCAACTAAGCAGGTGAGTTGCGAAACCATTTCCGAAACGACCAACTACTCACGCTAAGCTCGGTCTCAAGCATGTTGTGGGCGGCGTCGATTTTGCGTCGGCCTTGAGCAACCAACGTTATAAGTCGGCATCTTCCCAACTGTCGGAATCTCTCCGTGATTGACTGGCAATCCATCTGGGGAATCTTGACGTGTTTCCACATATCCTCATCGACCACAATTGGCCACTCTACCTCCGTCGCCTTTCGGAATGTTTCGAGAAGGACGGTGCAGAGGAGCCTATGCGATGCCTCAGTATATGGGAAGCTAATCAAATCAGCTCACGATACTGCGAAACGAGGGCGAAACATACCAGACGTACGCAGCGAGCTTTTGTGGGTCGTGCGACAGTTGTACCTTGCCGAGCGGTATCACCACAGTTGGGCGGGGCGTGTTGCGATTGCAACTGGAGACATTCAGTACACGGACGAACTCGACGGCGAGATCGAAAAACGCACAGAGGGTTGCTCGCGTTGAGCGGCGAGGTGATTGGGACAGCGGTAGGGGGAGGCGGCATTGTACCAGAGGAGGATGATTTGGGAGGCGAGGACAAGAAGGACACAGTCGAAGAATAGTCGAAGCGCGAATGGGGAAGAGAATGGCGCAGCAATGGGTTCGAACAAAAGAAAGAATGTGGTGGTGGTCGTCGCAGACCAGGTTGGAATCGTTGTAAAACCTGGGCCAGCACGGGAATATATACGGCCTCACGCGATCGACGTCAACATTTACATCCGCGCCCACGGGATCAAAACATTCATGCTCTCTGGTATCTCTTTCTCTTAAATCGGGCACGCATCGAACGCGAGCGTTGTTTTTCAGAAGCCAGGAAGCTTATAGCCGGATAAGGCAAGTCTTTTACTGCATTGGGAGATGATACATCATTCAAGTTGGTAATGTCGTGCCAGGTTCGTATACATGGGGCTCCTTACTGATATTTGTCGTTGGTAGGTATGATTATCAACTACTATACATTCGGCAGTCGTTCAAGCAGCGAATGCGGCAGGCAAAAGTTTCTCGTAGTCGGGGTACCAAAGCCGGCTATAGACAGTTTGAGACTCTGAGCTCTGGAAACACCAGAATGGTACGCACTTAATGGATCCCAGCCTTCTGCTGCATCAAACGCATACTGAAATCGCAATAAGCAAAAGAAACTGGAAGAGAAAGAGAATAGCCAGTTACCGTTGTCGCACGACAGTCCCAACCCGAATTAAGCAACTTGTCGATGATCGTTAAAGTTCGTTTGTGGTTTGCGAACCAATAGTTATAGGATCCAGTTCCTTGGAGCTCCCTCAACTCGGACTGGGCATTCCATAGCCACTTCCATAGTACTCCATACACTTCAGGCTTGCCAAGCTCTCAGAAAGCAGACTGACAAACCGTTGGCTCGTGCGAAGTCGATCAACTCTATTTCTGTGGACTTCAACGACAGTTGAGGTTGTTTGCCTTTGTGCGAGCATGTATAGGCAAGGAAGTGGCAGTCGTACTTATTTAAATAACGTTGTGTTATCTAATCTAATCTACGTGTCACAGAAGTGACACCACATTTTTCCTTTCGTTTTGGTCTTTCAGACTCTTTCCAACTCCGACTTTCTTTCCAACGCATGGAGTGCCCATTTTGTGCCCCGAAGACAGCTAAACTTGAAAGCAGTCGATGTTATGTTCAAGCTCAAGCGCCGGACTAAGGACTTGTCGGACTCGGATGTTGAGATACCAGCCTACGTGTTGGTTGGTCCGAAATGTCAGACCTCTCACCGCTTTTTTATCTTCTCATTGATAACGTTTGCAGTAGATTCCCTTCCTTTTCTCGACTCTGAATCTTGTCTTTGAGAAACACATCTGCTACCTGCGCAGTACTGCCACCACACGCTTTCTTTCTTCTTGACCACAACCTGCCCACATAGTTAGTCGGCCACATCCTCTACTATTGCGCCTCATACCAAGTGTCTTCCATTTGTGTGGATTGCCACTCTCTCCGACTTGCAAACACTAATTCATCGTGGCTGCAGTATGATTTCGACCTAGCCACATTGTACCACCTTGACCTGATTGATCTTCTCGTTTCCTCGACCTTCTCAATCGACCATAACGAGTCATATGCGGACTTCCGATGACTTCTCATGCTTGGACTCGTCTGCCTCTCAGACATCTTCAACAGGGAGACGCTGCCTAGGACGGGTCTCAAGTCCTTGTTGGTATTGATGTCAATGTGCCATTCTACATGAAGTGGTACCACGGACTGCCTTTCATTGCTAACTGTGTCAGCAGGTTTCCTGCCTTCGGTCATTCGAATCTGAATCTTGGAACATGCGATCGCGAAACATGTCTGCTCCTTCCGGTACTGCCACAAGAGTCTCTCTTTCTTCTTAATTGTCACCTACCCATATGCTACTGAGCCTTCTCCTCACTTTCCTTTAGTTGCACATGTGCTAGCGAAAACGGCTTCGTTGTGAGGTCAAAGGCCTTGTAAGTGAACTCATCCCTCTGTTTCCTCGACCTTCCGACTCCAATATCGAGGATGGTTCACGAGCGTTTTTCAACCCGGAGACGAACGACACCCCGGCTGCAGTCCTTTGAGCACGGCGCTGCCGCAGCGATCTGACATGAGCGATGACCATCCTGGGCCTGCGAGTTCAATCTTTCAGGCATGCCATCGGTCACATGATCGGTGCATCCATTGTTACTCTCAGCAGCCGCAAGCTGCCTTGTTGTTCACACCGGATTTGGTAAAAAATACGGTAATACTGCCTCCTCAGAGAGCTACCGAACCTGATACCGTAGATTTCATAGCCAGCACCCCCTTTCCTCCGACAGTCATGACTACTTCGTACATATTTCTTCTACCCTTTTGCGTCTCACTAATAACATATCCCAGTTATGGCCTGCTGGAGTCGAATTTTGGATCCCGCTTCCAACTTAATCGTTTGCTAGGCGGGTTCGGTACTCCCGACTTTGAGCGGCTCCTTGCTAGTGACTGATAAATGTTTTCATCTTTTTTTTTTCGCCTGCTTTTCCAAATAAGGAGATCCAGAAATTCCTATGCATTAGAAAATTAGATCGTGCGAGGTACAGACGGTATACAAATGGTGTTAGCGAAGCGAAAGAAAAGCGACTACCATGGATGCAAAGCAAAAGGATGCTGTCTACAAATCACGAAATATGCTCCGTATATGGAAAGTTGAGAGCCCCGCCCATCTTGGGAGACACGATCTCGAAGCCCGAGGTATCCAAACTCGTGCTTTCGTGTGTGTCTTCTGACGTGTGCGATTGTGCAATAGACACAGTTGACCCCTGAGTACGATGTCGCCTCGTCGAGTCCGTGCTCATCTTCGCACTCAGTCGTCTCCGCATAATCGCCGCCGAGTTTGGCCGTGTCCTAGAGGATTGCTGTTGCTGTGACGGTTGACTCGCTCCAGCCAGTTTAACGAACTGCTCGGGCAGTTTCGGGCTTGGCGGAATATCCGGCGGGAAAACCAACGGGGAGTTTTGGGTTGGCGGAGAAGAAGAAGTTTGCGACCAACTTGGTCTCCGTCCCGCAAGACTGGCACGGAATGTCGATGCTGATGGAGTTAAAGGAGCAGGCACGGCTGCTCCGTTCGTGGCAGGCTTCAATTTCAATATTGACTTGCGAGCTTTGTCCTTTTCTGACCCTGGTGGCGGTGGAGGGCTTGCTGGCATTGGTGGGGGAGTCGTAGCAGTGGGTGCCGGAGAAGGAGAACTTGAGGGATGAGTCGATGCTGCTGATGGCGGTCTTGACGGCACTGAAGACGTCACAGAGGGGGCACGCATTGGTGTCATCCTTGTGGGATATGGTGATTCTTGATCCCAGTGCAACTCGTCGCCAAATGGCCGCCTAGGCGGGCCTGCTTTCGCTGCAACAATCGGAGCACTATTGGCTGACTGAAGCATCGGTGGCGGGCGATTCATCCCCATATTGCTCAGCGCTGGATGTGTTGGGGCTCGTGGGGGCATTAGTTGTGGGGGTGGTTGTCCTATATGTTGCATTCGAAGCTCATCCTGAGATGGTCTTCGTTGTGGGGGAACCAGTTGCGGTGGGACAACGGCAGCCTGAGGAGGCGGTGTTCGTGAAATCGGCGCTATTTGATCCAATGTTTGCGATGGACGACGAGTTGGTAATGGAGGCTGATCCATAGAAGGGCGTGGCGAAGGCCGAGGTGATATTCGTGGAGAAGGCGGTGGTTGCTGCTGACCAAAGCTAGGAGTCAATGGTGTCCTTGGAACTGGTACATCGACATCAGGGAACTGCATCTCCTCCATTGATGGTCGATTGGGCCTGGAAGGAGGCGCCAACGGAGAAAATGGATTCTCTGGAACTGCGGGTATTGACCGGTCTTTCGGTATCGAAACCGAGTTCTTCTGGCTTTTTCGCCACAGATTTTTGATGCCCTTAACGCTCATAATGGTCGTTCGGTTTGACTGCTTTGCAGCTAGGGATGATGCATCGCTGTTGGCAACACCATTAATGGAGTCTGTTGAGAATCGACTTGAACTCTTGTCCGATACAGACTTTTCCGACGATTTGCGTTTCACATTGACCGGCGGCTCAGGCGATGCGGGGATAACTACTGGTGATTCCCAGTATGCACCAGATGTTCGCGAGCCAGGAGGAGCCGTCGCACTCGAAGAAGAACGTCCGAAGGGATCAGGCGAAAGCGGTATTAATGGTGAATTTAATGAACTCTTGTTTCCAATCGATGGAGTCATGGCAGGATATGCTGTTGAGGGCTGCTCTTCAGCAAGCTCCCGTTTCCTCACTTCTGTTTCGCTAGGCGCATTCGTGGTCCCACTGGAATTGGTGCCCGCACGAAACCGCTTGGGGACTGATGCACTGACGCCGTTGACAGCAAGCTGTGGAGGAGATTGTTCATTTGTTGGTGGTCGCTCCACAAGAGAGCTGAAGGGTACTGCTGGCCAAGCAGCCTGATGGGAGAGGTCTTCTTCTCTGCAAGAAAGAAAATCATCAGTTATAACACTCATATTTGACCAAGTAAAGGACATACGAGTCCGATTCCTTTGGCTTATCGGGATCTTCCGGCAGGCGGGGTGTCGGAGGAAAGACATCCGCGTTGGAAAGGGCACGGAATACTTCGGATGGTGAGATTGCGGATTGCGGAGAGAATCTTGGCGGTGAAAGTGTAGGTGAAGTAGCGATTTGAGCCAGCGTAAGCTTCTGACTGTCTTCTAGGAGCTCTGTTTTGAGCTGCCTCGGAGAAAATTGTGCCAAGTTCTGCGTGACGTATTGAGTCTCGACTAAAAACATATGACTGGGCACGTACCTTCTCGATCTCGTCCAGCTGGGCACGCATAATGAACTGACTCTTACGTCTATCATTAGGATCGTCGTTGTCAAGCTAAAGTGTGTCAGCGATAATGATCAATACTAATAGGCACCCACATCGTCTGAAGAAAACCCAATGTCCATATCGTCATAAAATCCTCCCTCGCGCCTATCTGGTGCCTTTCGGGACCGCTCTTCTGATGACGGATCATGTTCAGAATCAAGATAGGGTAAAATTGTTCGGCCTTCTTCGTCCGTAGGCGGAGTTGCCCCGTCGCTGTCGGAATCGGGAGCAAGAGACGGAATACGAGCAACGGGAGTTGCGTCGCTTGGAGGCCTATGTAGAATAAGTGGTGTTGGAGGACCGCGTCGTCGGGAAGGAGATGACCGGTTTGACATTGCAGGAATATCCACGCCAAGATTTGGCCGCCCAATCATTTCGACAAATTCAGAATCATCGGAATGCTCCCCCTCAAGATGCGGATTATGAGGCCGAGGGCCACCTCTGGCATCTACTCGAAAGAAAGTGAGCATCGCAGAAATGAACACCAAAAAAATGCTAACCTGTGTCCTCATCGTCAGCATCGGAATCGGATTCATTCATGGATTGAGGAGATTCGGAAAAAGGTAGATAACGAGCTCTGGCCGCAGCGAGCGAGTCAGGAATACTGTTTCGTTTGCCCTTGAGCTTAAACGGCAATGGGGCCGTTCTCCGTTCAGCATCATCTGCGCTACTTCCTGCTCCAGTTTCGCTTGTTGTCCTTGCTCGTTTAGCATGGTTCATCCGCCTGCTGCGCACCCATGGGTCATACCAGCCAGCACGTCGTCGATCGATGTCAAACTCGACTTTGGCAAGGATGGGGATGAGTGAATCGTTGCCAAGACCTGGTAAATCAAGCGAATCGGCTCGAGAAGTTGCTGGTGTTTCAGCTTCGCCATCGCCATCCGCATCGGATATGGAGCGCGAGGACGAAGACGGGGGTGCGGACTTCGTATTGAAACGAGGAATGTCGGAAGTGGAAGACGGGGTGGTTGGGGATGGAGTGAATGGGTAGGTAGGTTGGGGATGAAGGGCTGATGATCCAACAGTACCGTTTGTGGAAATTAATGGCAATGGGTACGCGCTGGACTGGTGTAGATAGGGGCTCGAGCGGCCAGCAACACCCAAACCAAGTCCAAGTAAAGGTGGTGCAAGACCTTCATCACGACTCTCTGACTTCGCCACCCGAGCCCACAGGTGCCTCCAAACCTCTTCGGACAGTCTAGGACCTGGGGGCTCGTCCTCTTCTGGATATTGTTTCGGTTTCTCTGAGGATTGGGAGACGAGGTAAAGAACGAGTCCGGTTGTGCTTGGGAGTGCATACTCCTTTGCAATGGCCCCGAGTTGCGACTGTAGAGTTGGATGGAAGGGGACGAGAGTTCCACGCCTGAAATGGGTGTGGTAGCCAGATGCGGTGGAGGGTGGTGGTGTCAAATCCGAGTCGAACGCGTCCGAATCGTGAGGTAAGTTGACTGGCGGAATTACATGGAGGAGGTACTTGGATGACGACGCAAATGCAAAGGAAGTGGCGGTAGATGGCGTTGGAGATCGTCGGTATTGGTCCAATGTGGTATTTGAACCGTTGTATGAAGGAGACAGTATGGGTGGCGGGGCATGGATGGCGGGAAGGGGAGTTGAGACACCAAGGGCATTGGCTAGTCGCGCAAGTCGGTGAGGCGGAAGAGGGTTCTTTGGAGGGGCCCATTGCTGAACAGGCGTAGGGTCGGACATGTAGTATGTTGGAATGAGCGTTGGGTTAGAACATGAACAAACTTTGATCCCGTTTCACCACCAGATGCCGGGTCTCTGATATTCAGTAGAGATAACCAACGGCGGACTGGAGAGGCCGCACTGTATGAGTGGGCGTCGTTGGTGTCGGGGAGGGTTGGGGTCAGGCTTGGGAGAAGGCAAAAGACAGCCGAAGAATTCGATCAACATCCTGATGCTCTTCTTCTCCTTCTTTGCTTCTACCCAGCTAACTAGCTTACTACGGCCAACAAAATCTCTTAAAACTTAAACCCCACACTCAGGGCCTTTCGTCGCCACACGCCTCAGTCCCCCCAACACTAAAGTGCTTTTTTTCGTCTACATCAACCAATCAGGGCAATTGTTGTTTTCTGCTCTGCAACTTTGGCACCACAACCTTGCGACTGACAGGACCATGCCGCCTCTGTGTTTCCTGCTCCCTGTCTCCAGAAGATGATAAGGACGCCCTCAAATTCGTCTCTTATCAGTCATTTGAACACGATTCACCTTCATCCCAAAGCTCTCTCCGGCGGGCAGACCTCAGCCTCCTTTCCGCCGAAATACCGTTATCCTATTCTTTTCGCTCCTGTATCATGATAGCTCCTCGAGTCCTTCCTGCATTTGGTATTGAACCTTTGTTTTCCTTCCTATTCTTTCATTCGCAGTCGTCTACCTCAGGCTTTTTTATGTCGTACTTGTGTACCACCGCACATGTGTATAGTAGTCTCGTGTCCCTTAGTCTAATAATTCCAGCATTTCCCCTGACTGTGAGGGTTTGCAACGGGAGCAAATCTCACCAATTTTTCTTTGCCTTCAACAGTGATGCGCAGTTCAGCATTTCTACTGCTATGCCCGGCCCTAGTTATTGCAAACACTGAAATTGTCAATTTTGCAGCAAACGCGGCAGCAAACGATGTCTCAGGGTTGTTGTATGGACGTGAACTCGAGTGGTATGTCTGGTGACCGAAGGAAATGGATTAAGAGAGAATCCTAGGTCATGGCTGCACCAACGGACTACAACAAACTGGACAATGACGCCAGCACCCTTTGGGACGCCCTTAACAGCAGTCTCAGCTGCCCACGAACGGTGGTTTGTAGTTGACCTACCCAAACGAGGAGCAAAGAAGTTCACTCTCAGGTTGTCGTACCCCGCCTCGGTTCGCGTGTTTTCATCGTCCTATCTTTTCTGAACTGCAAACAGAGTCCAACAGACTTTTCTGTTGCCATTTTCGACCCAGCTGACGCGTTGATTGCTCTTTCACTCTCACCAGCAACCGCTAGCGGCCCAGCTACACGTCGGAAATATGCTCGGATACGTGCTGTCGATACGGGGGTCCTCACACCTCCATTCAAACCACATTCCTCGCGTCTTATCGAGTTATTCTACAGTGTCTACTTTCCTGGCTTCTACAGCCAGTCGCCTGGAAGATCAAACAAGACTGACGTTCAATTTGTTCTGACGCTCGAGCCATTATTGTTGGGCGTGCTTCCGGCATCGTTGGCACCGCTTGCCATTTTCAGCATCATTCTATTGGTCGTTGTGGCAAGGACGATGCTTCCGAGGATATCGAATGGCTTGGAGAATGTAGCGGCGGAGGCACGGAGGGAATTGGCTGAGAAGATGAAGACAGAGTAATTTGTGACACAGAGGAAGCAGAAAGACAAAGTCATATTTCCATATACGAGTATACATCATCATATCCGTGGTGAACGGCGGTGGCCAGAGAGTTTAGCTGACCTGTGAAAGGAATGATGAGAAATTATATCGCAAGACGGGAAGAGTCAAAGAGGAAAAAGGAGAATCAGAGAACCGAATTCGACAGCGGCGGCTCAACAAGTCCAGTGAAGAACGAGGAGGCCTTCAGCCGGCACTTCCTAAATTGCTTCGGTGGAAGTCGTCATGTACAGACAATGGTAGGACAACAGGGCGAATAACTCACAATAGTGGTCGTGGTCGAAAACAAGAAATTTTGGCGACATGTCACAAACGCCACACTATGTGACATCAGATAATGGGACAAACAAGCTTTGGTTTCTTTTTCTAGACCAGCTTGACCCACTTTTCTCTTTTCCTTACGACTATCACGACCCAGACATGGAGCACCCCCAGGACGCTTACTCTTTCTACGGCACAGACGGCCACGAACAGCAATACTATCCAACAACCCAAGTGAGCCCTTACCATCAAGTCCATCCCCAGCAGCCGCGTGCGTATCGCATTGTAGCCTCGTGTTAACAGCAACTGCTTAAGTCTGTCTCAGGCCACCATCAGCTTGACATTCAGCCGCAATTCCACACTTATTCATACTACTCACAACAAACTCAACCGCCCTCACCGCATGTCGAGCCTTCTCCACCGCCCTCTCCAGAGCAGATGTATTCCGACGGCCCAATCTCGCCACAACTTTCCGGTTCCGACACTTCTGGAGACGGTATTTACTCTCCGCAGGCCTCTCCCACTTCTTCGCGTGCAAACAGTCTCGTCCAGCGCCATGGTCGTCCCTATGACCCAACCCCCTCACCAACTGGGTCCCTTTCGCGACGAAGACGCGGTCGAAGTCACGGGGACTCTGATGACGAAGATTTAGGATACGGCTACCAGGAGAACGTCGCCACAACCCGCAAGGAGGCCACCAGACAACAGCGAATCCAAGCCGAACAACGCCGCCGCGACGAACTTCGTGACGGTTACGCCAAACTGAAGGATGTACTTCCAGTGTCTAACCAGAAGAGCAGCAAGGTCTCGCTGCTTGACCGAGGTGCGCCTGCTGTCCATTGTTCTTTAATCGGCTCATCATTCGATTAGCTACCAACCACATCACTGCACTCGAGCTCGAGAACAAGAATCTGAGCGAGCGCATCGCGTCACTTGAAGAGGAAATTCGTCGCATCTCTGCCTTGAACGCCAAATTCTCTGGTGGCTCCCTTGACACGCCTTCACCTGGCATGTATGAGCGGCCACTTTCTCCCCCTCCCGAGGTCGCTACCCCTATGATTTTGCCAGTCGTTTCTTCTCTCGCTGGCGCGACAGGCGACGGCTCGACGGCATCCACACCTTCCGACAATGGGTATTGATTGATTGGACTCGATGACACGACGACGATAGACTCTTGCTCCTACTCACCCGCCCCGCCCCGCCTGCCTGCTTTGCTTTGCTGTTGCTGCTCATGAAATCCTGGTTTTCACAATTTCTTTTCCGCTCTTGTATTTTTATGGTGTCGACGGATTCAACAAACAAAAAATTGGAAGGATACTACTGATGCGACATAATGAGAGACAAACACTGGGACCAAGACCACGTAGTGCTGTGTGAGCAAGCCTCACCCGGAACGCGTGTTCTGATGTCGTTGATCGAAGTTCTCCTGTGTGGCGCATTCTGTCGTTTCTCTCAGGCAATCCACCTTCCATGGTCGAATCGAGGGTCCTCTTCCTTGGATCTTCTTTGTTCTGGGCCAGTTCAAACTCCGCCCACTTTTGCCGTTCAACGCCGACAATCCGTTTGGCCGTCGCTCCACTTTTTTTCTTGCACATAACCCCCGTCGCCAATCTGATTTGGCTTTGACGGCTCTTCTTGCTACGCACACACACGTTTTCAGCACCACAACCATCCACAACACTGCTGCGATCTCGGTTTTCGGTTTTGATGGGATTGGGAACATAGCCCCCGCTTTTTTGCTGGAAGGAACGAAGGAGAAGGTTGCTGTCGCTGTCGCTGTCGAGCTCGCCGATCGGTACAGAGTGTCTGCTCCGAGTGGACCCTCGGACCATCGATTGAACTCGGAGCAGAGGGCCGCTTTTGCCTGTCTTGCGGCTTTCGCAACCTCAAAACCTATCGATAGCGACAATCGATGGGTAACACACTCCGACACCAAGTTCTTCCATCAAAACTTTCCTTGTAAATGATTTCCCTGTCCAGGAATCGACATCGCACAGTTCTTGCCCGTCAAGACGGTTCCTGCTTGCAGTGTTGTTGTGCGCCATTTTACCTCGAACAAACAAGCTAAATCACCCCCACACTCGCTTTATCTTCCCCTTTCTAAGCACTGACGACAACGACGGACCGCGACCAGCCGTGTCCGCCTAACTACGACCTCAACAACGAATTCTTGATGAAGGACTCTTGCTTCCGCGGCTGGCCTTAGTGCCGGCTATGTATAAACATGTCGACCAAGATGGAGGCACGAGGGGAGTTTTATTCTTGGTGTCGTTGGATTCGAAGTGGAACTTTTTGCTTCACCGATCGTCTCTTCTCCATCGCGATTTTTCGACCTTCCTCCTTGCCTGTCTGCCGCGCTGCCCCTTGATGGGGCTGCTTGCGAGGATGCTGCAAGGGTGAATGGTTCTGTTGTCGCTGGATATAGCTCGATTGTGAGGCTTTTCCTCGGTGGCTGCTCTGCCACTGTCGATCTTCCGTCTTCTTATCCGCCTTGCATCCAATTCTCCTTCCGCACGCCATCCCTGTTTCCCGCACCTCGACGGAGCGGACACACGGACGACACACAACCACACATAAACGACCCACAACTCGGACTGATAGCTTGTAGCTATAGCGCTCACCCGCCCGGCGGTGACTTCCCTGGTAGAGTCGTACCCCAACCCAGAAAAGTTGTAGTTAGTATCCACCATTTGTTAGTGTAGTTAGCTAGGCGAATCTTGAATCAAATGTACATTTCTTCACATGAACAGTCGGAGAAAGAGAACGATTGAAGAACGAAAAACTTGAATGCAATTAAATTGATGCCATTGATGGCCATATTGATGTGATTCACACTCTGATTCTGGTTTCGATGAACTCAACGGTCAACACTTTTGAAGTTTGAACGGCCTTTCTGACGCACAAGTCACTGCTGTCGAGATAGATCCGCCTTGCCGTGAGTCTCTGACTCGCCCTCCTTTTATCAAGCCAATTATATTCGTGCTGATGAAGAATGGCGGTGGGTTGACGCGGATATGCTCAAGGTGTTCTCGCAGATCCTGTGAAGGTTCAAGCTCAAGTTAAAGCAATTGGACGCCTTTAGTGAGCTTGACCGAGTCAGAATCGAATCGCGGTAGGCATATACCACTCCAAAATTTGACCGGAACTTGAAATGACTTACTAGCCATGAGCTGCGACGGTGCGCTATCAGGCACCAATGCTGGAAGAATACTCTATGGGATGGGATGGCGCTTACCTGGGCCGATTTTACGCCCTCCGGGACCTTGAGGCAACGGCAACTCTCCTGAGCTCTCTTGAATTGCAGTTGGCCGAGGCCATATCGGGAATTCAAGCCACCACCGCTCTAACGGCGGGCAAGAATGGAAGCTGAGCGTTTTCGTCGACGAGCTGTGGAGGGAATTTCCCGCATTGACTAACGAGAGGCGCTTTAAGAACTCTTTTCGGGCGCCACTCTCTTCGGCCGACGCGCCCTTGAGGCAATATAGATATGAAAAGAAGCGGAACGGCAACAGGGAAATCGCAAAATGGAGAGCCTTGAGGTACTGTTGGCGATGCACTGAGAAAGTAGGAATCACGCCCTCGTGGTTGAAACGTCAATCGGCTTCTTCATTCGCATTCCTTCAACGTCAAAATTCAGGCTCAAAACGCCGGGCCGGGCTTCCACGGCCTCCAATAATGCGCGAAGAGATGTTCAGGCTGGGGTAGTAGGACGTCAACAGCAGTCTTCCTATCTTCGCAAGCCTAGGCTTTGGTCGATTCTGTACGCCACTTGGTTCCGGACTACGAGTAACAAGGCGTGGGTTTCTCTGGGAATATATCAATAGCGGACTCTTCAAACGTCGTATGGCTAACGGCAAAATTGTTTCATACGCTTGTCCACAAATCCGCTGAAGAACCGTGTCTCGCGACCTCGCGTATTAGTCAAAGTTTCAAAGATAAGATCCACGTGGTCATTGCCAGTCGATCAACTCAATTCTTTCTGCAAGCTAGCCGACGGAGCTTCAAGTGCCAGAACTCGAGACGGACTTTGGTATCTTCGAACAAGTCAATGAGCAAGAAGGCGTCTTTCAAAATGGGAGAAACGGAACATCAAACAGCGGGCTCTCTTCAGCAACCGATCAACGCAATCTCTGCGGTCACCAATTATATGTTCGAATACTTCTTCTATCACCCGGCAGGCCGCTCAGGACTTTCTTTCCTGCTTACTTCTCCCAGCTCGGACTGCCGTCCACTCGTTCACAGAGCCAAACTTGCATAGGTCATCTGTTCAACTGCGGTCACTGGGACAAACTTCCGCGGTCTGCGGCGCTACAACTTGGACGCTGGTGTTGGAAACTCGTCGGCTCACGCTCTACCTGGGAACTCTACGTCCTCGGCTCTTACAAGCGACCCTTCGTGATCTTGCGGAGCATAGGCAGTAGTTCATTGTAACGCTGAAACCGCAGCCTGCAAGCCGTTGGCCCTCGATCCCTTCCTCGCCGCGTCAAATCGAATAGGATTGTTGTGGCGAATCACTGGCACTGGTGGCCCTACCCTGAAATCCTACCAACCGTTTTCGATTGCATCTTCAGTCCATACTCATTCACTTCTCTCAACTGACCCTTGCTCCGGAGACCTCAGGATCAAGGAATGGCCACCATCGACACGATTAAGCTCAAGGAAATTACCACACAGTGCATTTCAATATAATAAAGGATGCAAATTTCTGGAGCTACTAGTCTACCCTCGGCGGTGATTCCCTTATAGTTCTCCAGAGTTCCGCCTGGATTTTACTAGTAGCCGCATTAGTGTTCGCTCTTCAGTGGTTAATCTCACAAAGTTGACCGACGAGACGAAGCGTGATCCTTTTTCTACATATACAATCCTTTCACGGCGGCCGACGATGGTCGCGGAACCTTCTTGCTATCGAGCCAATGGCCACCAGCAATGATGTTTTCCCTGATCATTAATATTATCACCTTACAAGTTGTTACAATTGCCCTCTGCAGTTCTGGACTGCATTTCACACGGAAGAAAGGCAAACAGTGTCGACAGCTCCTTGAGCGGCAGCTCTGACCCAAATCACGCTTTCCAATCAACGGAGCAGGTGGGTTTTAAAAGTTGGCATGACGCTGTGGCGCGGGGAGATCTACAGCGACTAGACCCCACTCCACTCCTTTCGAAATAGCCCAGAAGACTGAGCTGTCAAGCCCCCAACCTTTCACCGCCCCTGGCCCCACAACGCCTGCGATAATGCGCTTGGACCGATCCGAAAAAGGAAATTATTGATTTCGGGGCCACAGAAACGCGGCGCGGCGCACAAGTGAGACGGAATGTAGCATTCAGGCTTGGCGATGCCGAACACGCGAAGCCAGGCCTGCGCGGGGATCATTTGCGACCGCAATGGTTGTCAGATAATAGAGTTCTGTGAAGCAAAGTGCCAGCCAGGTTATAGAGAATAGCCAGGACACCCACGGACGTCGTGCTGGCCCTGAGCCGCAAGATGAACACGCAATTGTGTTCCCCAGATGACCTAGCTTGTGGCACCGTCGGTCGCCATCAGACCCATTTAGACTGCGGTCACTCGACCGCTTCTGCCGCTGCCTGGCAAAGCAAGAGAGTCTAAACCGGACGCTGGATTCCCAACTCCGCGAACTGTGGAGTAAACCCGAAGCGCTCGTTTGTCGGTGGTCGGTTGTGGGTGTGTGGATGATTTTCCGAACGTCGGCGCTTCGCGCTTAGCGTTATCAGCCAGGTCTGATTATCTAAAGCTGACGACGGAAGTATTTCATTTCATTTCGTGTTTCTGTTTATTCTGCAGGCGAGAAGATTGTCAGGATTTCGACGTGTCGGGATCTAGCGGCCATGAACATGCGATTGGAGTGGTATGAACTGGGGCAATGAAGCAAGTCCTCCCGCGAGGTCCTATTCTGAGCGCATCGGCGCAAACCGCATACTGTCGCGGTTGTGTAGCAGCCAGATGCATTGACCGGCGGAGGTATGTACTGAAGAGGGGATTTGGCGCTGTGATATCAGTGCTTGCTCGTTTGACAGCTGGGGCTAAGCTCCGCCCAGACATTCCTTGCCGCCGGGCTACGCGAGGGGCATTGTCCTACCGCCCGCTTGAGTTCGCCGTAGAGATCAATGATACCAACCTGTCCTTGTTCTTGCTTCACGAATATTTAATGCGTTGCCGTGAGCAACAACAACTGCCCGATCTCCAAATCCAGGCTAGGTCAGATGGGTGATGGGGGGAATTTCGACACTGTCTTCCCCACACTCGCCGACCAAGTGAATCGGCAAGATCTTCTGCCGTCTCCGGTCCGTCCATCAACCTTGTGGGGGTGGTCGGCCTCCGAAAAACTGCTTCGCGCTTCCGCCATTTCGGCCTCAGAGACATTTGGTGGGGACGATCCCTCTTGACAGCTAGCTGGGGCACATCCGATAAGAGATCGAGCTTGTGGTCCAGTAACATTTTCCCATGACAAGAATATGCGAGCGTTGATTCATTCGCCACAGACAACTCTGTTTGAAGGTGATTCTCTGTGAAACCAAACAGATATTTGTGACCCCTCTCCCAAGCGACATTTTATAACTACATCTCTTGAAGCGGCGGCTGAAGGAGTAAGGGTCGCGAAATGGGGCGACTCCCTCTGCCATATCTGTCCCCAAATCAGGGTGAAGTTTCGAGGACTGTCGAGCTTGGTCCAGTTACGGGGGCGATAATTTGGGACACGTGTTGGGCATGCACTGGCGTCAGAGATCCTGCAGTGGTTTAAGCAATAGCGTGTAGTATCCTTAACTGTGGCTGCCACTTACTTGCTAGGGACGCAAAAGTGTCACGTTCTTACCTTTACCACATCGCTGAGGCTTCTACGTCAGGATGGCAAAGTCTGTGGGAGCGACTGGGTCAAGACGAACGAAAAGAAATTCGAGAACGATTGCGAACTCCAAGTCAAGGGTGATGGAATGAAAATCAAGTCCATAAACGAAACGACACGGCTGGCTGCGAGGTATGGGACCAATCAAAGGTAGAACGCGTAATAGCGAGATAATGCCGTTCTTCCACCTTCAAGATCGGAGACGATATTGGGTACAGCTTTGACCTGAGCGCCTCTTTACTACGAAAGCCCAACTGCCTCGAGAAGGGTGTTGAGGGGCGAGTCAAACTGAAGATTGAATAGAGTCGGCGAGGGGGAGTCATGCAATTGTGGACAACTCCAGACTAGTCTAACCTTGAGCGCCTGCCAGAGAACGCGAGGCTATGATCAGATCGACCAGACGCTGATTCTCGTTCGCAGCCAGGACGGCGCCGGATTTCTGGTTGATACACTTCTGGTTCGAGAACAGGGAGACAGTAAAACGGAGAGTATACCAGAGATACCCGGACTAGTCGCGGGTGACAGTCTAGTAAAAACGAGAATTGGCGAAGCAAAAACGGGAAACGGAGCGGAAGATGTGATTTTACAGCGGAGTAACAACGGGTGCCTGGAGGTTTGCCGGTAAGCAAGAAGTTTCGAATACGTGCTGGGAGAAACGACAAATGAAGAAAACTACCAGAATTGGGTCAAGACAGTCTGACAGTATGGGTTGGAACGTGGGCAACAAAAAGTATTTTGGCGAGATGGCTGCATCAGTTCCACGCGCTCGAGTCAAGGCAGGATATTGGAATCCCAGAGGAAAATCCCGCCATGTCGGGGGACAACAAGGACAAGACGAGCGGTAGCTGTGCACGTTTGAGCCGAAATGACAATATATGTCACATGTCACACGTCCTTCCTTTTCCCGCCCCACGACGCCGACAGCGCCTGCGGTCCTCTAACGGCCCCGTCAACGACCACTGCGACACCCAGAACCGTTCATTTGTTCTATTTGGCGCTTTAATTCGCCTCTTCCCGGTGCTACACCCCTGATATTGACGTTCATTTCACGATGTGGTCCGTAGCTTTTCTCAGTGCGATATCTTATGTTCATAGCGTTTAGGTGCGATAACTGCTTGCTCGTTCTACCTTTGGTATGCTGGAAACTCTACTCCTGCGCCATGTTTCCGCTGACGGCTGGAACAGAGAGCCGGTGCGATTGCTTGGGGCGTTGTGATCTTCGTGCGATTTTTTGCTTTTGGCTCGTTAAACGTTCTCTGACTTGACCTTGAATTAGTTATACAGCCTTGGCGGCGGTATATTCTTGCTTCAGTACGGCCAATACTTGTTTTTCTTACGTCCTGAATGGTCAGTCAATCCGCTCTTCCAATCCTTCTTGCTCGCCTAATCACTCGCCTCACAGGCAAATATACGGCGGTATTGGTATGGGGGTGATGGGCGTCGCTGCTGTTTCGATTGCTGCCCTCGCCACAGTGAGTTTTGCTTAACTCCACAAAGAAGAAGTCTTGACGGCTCACATACAACTAGCGATCATATACCTTTGCCCGTGCCATGCAGTTTGTATGGCCATTCGTCATCGTCGCTTGTGCAATCCGCGCTATACTTATGATTGTACAACTGAACCGCGGGTGCATTTCTTTTCTTGTCGTTTTCATTTTTTGCTCCAATGGGTCTGATGCCTCGCTTGTAGAAAAGACAAGATCCAATGGGAGTGTGACAATGGTGGTGTCTTGTACTGGGAGTCGGCTGCTCACAACATCTCCTCTTCTCCACCAATGCCATCAGGGTTATGCATCGTTGGTTTCCCTGCTATCAACACGTCATTTATTGTGTCGCTACTGGCGGACCTAGGGTTCCAGGTATCGTCTATCCTTGTGTGGCGTAAGCTCTCTCTTGCTGACGAACGGGAAATAGCTGTACATGTTCTTCCTAATGTGGCGCTTCTGTGTAAGAATGATACACTATTCCGGTATGAAAGGACCATTCGGAAACGGTTTGTTGGTGACAGATTATTGTGTTTTCTTGCTGATCGTCTTGTCAGGATACTACGCCTAGGCTAGACTCGTTTTTCGTTGCTTATATCCCGCTCAAGGACGCTCATTTTCCTTGTTCTGTCTCCTTGTAATGACTGTCTGCTACTTACGACTTTTTACGACTCTACTAATGACCAACCTTTTACCGTGACTTATTGCGTTTCTGGCCTTCTTGTGTTAAATATCAGTTGTTGTTTCCCCGCGATGACGGGCGATTAAAATTAAAAGCATGTGTGGCGGAATCGGTGTGAATCCGAGGACCCTCGTTTTGGGTAGGATTCCCTTGAATCTCGATGCAGTCCATCAGTAGATTGTCACATGTCACGTGTGACTGCGGTACAAGGGCCGAAGTAACTGTATAAATACTCCCGCGGGCACAATCCTCCTCAAACCCTTCCCCTTCTCCCTCTTTCCGCCCCTTTCCCTTCGCTGGGCCGCGCTCTCCTGCTTGCTCCTTCTTTCTTGCGCTCCATATAATCTGACTAAGATGGAATTCGACCACGCACCAAAGACCCCTTCCTACTTGGACGCAGCTGAGGCCGGCTTCTCCTATTTGGACAGCGAGTTCATGCAGTATCCGACCGACACTCTCGACGCGATGGACCGTGAGTCATTCTTCTTCACCTCATCATCGTTGTGTTTGCTAACAACACAAGACATAGTCCCTGCCAGTCCTCCCGCCACCTTTCACGACTTGCACGGTGCCCTAGGCCTCAACCACACACTCAATGAGGTCTACTACCAGCCATCGTCTCCATCTTCTTCGGGTACCTCTGGTCCTTTTGGCTCTCCGACTCAGACATTCACCCCGCTTGAAGGTGGCGCCAGTATTGCTCCCCCGACTCTACTTGGCTCTTCGTACATGCTCGCTGCCCCCGATTCTGGCCGCCGTGGTAGCCGTGGCAGTGGCTCAATGTCCCCTCCTATCCACTCGCCCTCTGCTGTTCCGCGTGCTCTGGCTAATGTTGGTCGCCGATATAACCCGATCGCCCGTCCTCAACGACGAAAGCCAACTCGTCGTGCCTCTGCTGACGACGACAGCGAGGATGAAGACGATGACTTCCAGCCAGCCGCCAATCTCAGTGGCAGCCCTGACACCCGTCGCGAGACCATTCGTCGTCAACGCATTGAGTCCGAGCAACGCAGACGAGATGAACTCCGCGATGGCTATGCCCGGCTCAAGGAGACCCTTCCTGCTACCAACCAGAAATCAAGTAAAGTCTCCCTGCTCGATCGAGGTTAGTCTCCCGATTTTTCTCCTTTTGATTGACACCGATATCTGATATTTCATTTTCTTTAGCGACCAGCCACATCCGGAACCTCGATACCTCCAAGACCGAGCTGGAGAAACGGTTGCAGGAGGCCGAAACTCAAGTCAAACACCTCCGCCACATCAACGAGGTCTTGAGTATGCGGGCTGTCACCCAAACCCGCAGCATGGTCACCTCCTACTGAGTCTCTCTCTCCCTTCCTACGCCCATCCTACCCCCCAAAAAAATTCCCGTCTGGACGGGCGTACCTGACTTATAACGACTCGTCCCCGCATTAATGTATATACTCACGCCATCGCTCTCCTCTCACGGCGGTCCTGTCGCTTGGACGACTCCTTGGCCCATAACGCCGCTTTCCCAATCACGCGTTCGCCACCGCCGTTCTCGCCCTCGAGACTTTTTCGAGCAATCTACGACGACGATGAACATTGGATGCCCGGTTGATGGTTTGCAGTCGACACGACACCGACACAAGACTCAGGCTGCTGCTTGAGGCGCTATATCTTCCGCTCTGTTGAGTTGGAAGTGCTCGCTTCGCCTGCCTCTGGAACTTTCTTGTACTACCCCCCCTTTTAATCGTCGCTTGTCCTGCCACCATCCCCGAATCCTCAACTGTTCATCCGGGCTCGAGGCGACGACCACTTAACTGTGGTTCCGTGCCTCGCCCGTTGCCAACACACCGGTGTCTTCACCGTTTTTTGTCTTCGACCAAGTCTCATTTGCGTTTCGGCATCGCGTTCGCTCGGGTTTTGCTTCGCCCTGTCAACTTTTCTTGGGCCCTTGTTCACCCCTGGAGCATACTACCCCATCGACACCTGCCGCCTCCACGAATCGCAATTGACTTATTCTACTTATGTGCATCATGTCTTTCACGGCCACCCTTATGTCCCCCCCTTTCCGACTTCTACCCGTCGTCACCGGCGCTCTTCCTGCTTTTCACCTTCCAACTCGATTCGCGCCAGCTGTTCTAGCGCTGCGACCAACAAGCTCGAATGGTAGATGCAACAACTACGACGACGGACACGAATTTCCCACACTCCCCCGTCTCCCTTCTCCCCGATTCCAACAACCCGACTCCACAGCTTTCGACTGCCTTTTGCCGCCTGCGTTCTCGCCTGCCTTTCTGCCGTCAAGCTGCTTTTCATCGTGACGGGCTAGTTTCCTCCGATGTGGTGGTTTCCGGTTGGAGGGCGTTTGGCTGACGGGTGCTTGCGGCAAATTGGCCTTGCTCGAACTCCCTGGTTCTGTGTCCGATGTCCGTTGTCTTCGCCCGTGGCGCTTGCGAATCGATTTCTCTCAGTGGACGACTTAACTGCCTCGATGGCCCACTTCTTCTGGCTGGTTTCGTCCCCCCTCGTCATATACTGCATGCATTCCCCCCTTTGGTGTTGTTCTTCGCCGCGCTCGCTCATCTGGCCGGTGCTCTCAACTCTAGCGTCGTTGGATGGAGACCTTTTTTTTTTTGTACATAGCGGCCCACACCTACACTTAGATCGTACACATAACTTGTAAACAAACCACACATAACATGGCTTTTCTGTTAGAACCTTTTTGAACGAGTGAGTTCTTACGCAGGATTTAGTAGAACGTTTCGCGAGATTGCGGAAATGAAGTTGACATCGGCAGTCAGGAGTTTCTCAGTCACCGTTTCCCTGTCTTGGTGAGATGGTGAAGAGCCCAAACCCACAACTGTAACCGGAGGCGGTACTTGTCTGCATCTATGAATGAACTGCGGAAGGCCGACATGGCGGAATTACTCCTGCCAAAGCCAACACGAGGGGGGGAACGGATTCGCGTCGAGTCAGGACGAGTCAGGCCCTGGCTGGGCTGCCTGCAGGCAGAAAACGCGCGCCTGATTAGATCACATCAGAACACGCGTTGGTTAGATTTTATCTTTGGGTTGCCTCACCCCCTCGTCATCTACACAGTCTGTGGGTTGCTACCGTCCAAGCACTCTCTCACCCCCTCAAACGCGAACCAGCGACAGCAGCCCCCACGAGTACGCGACCCTAGCCTTCCTGTCTGGATTTTCACGGGCCACAACACAGAAGACCAAGAAAGGAATGGATGAAATCCAGACTCTCCGCCGACAGCTGCAGATCAGAGCAGGCGTTACTGCACGGTGAATATTTTTTATCAAAAAAGTCATTGTTTTGTCCAAAGACTACCGTTTACCCGTCGCCCGTGCCTTGCTTTCGTGCGCCACCAGCCAACCGATCTAATCGCTCGTCCAGGCTCAAGAAGGAACACGACCTCTATCAGAAAGAGGCTGTCGATCTCAAAATAAGGAAGGACAAGCTCGTCGCTGATGCGGGTGACGAATGGGAGATCAAGAATGCGGTAAAAAGCCGCGCTTTGGCCGGTGGCTTAACTGATGATTTTCCTATAGACACGGATGATGGAGGAGTCGGAGAAGATGGTAATTGACACTGCCGAGCGACTAGGGAAGGCGTTCAGCAACTTGCGCGACATCGTGGTAAGAGTTTTCTGTTCGCGTTTCCTTGCTTGAAGGCCGTAGGTGCTAGCCAAGAAGCAGCCAGCGTTGACGGGCGACGACGCCTATCTCGAGGCTGAAGGTATACTTGAAGACGCGGCGCTGTAGACTTGATAAGATTCACGTTAAGATACGATACGAATTCTTGCCTTATTCTGTAACATCCATTTTTGCCTCTTCTTGCTCTGCCTTGAGTCGAGTGAGTGCATCGAGAATTCCCTTCCACGCGTCCCTTTCGATGCGCTCTTCCTGCAATCCACGGCTCTGTTTGGACGAGTCGCTGGGCATCCCGACACCCAGCGATGGCGGGACGACATTCGGTGGTGGCGCGTTTATGGCAGACGGGGCGATGCGGGAGTAGGTTATATGAGCAAGGGAGCTGCGAATGGCACTCTGGATAGACTGCGGAAAGGTCGTTAGCTGGACAACAACAACAACAGGCACTCACGTTGAGCCGGTCGAAATACTCGTTCACCTCCAGCACAAATTGCTCAGAACGCTCTCCGTCCTTGGGGAGGGTATCTTCCGGCGCGTCCGTTTGGGGGAGCGTCAGCAGGGAGATGGACGACGCGGCTAAAGCGAGCAATCGTGAAATGTCCTGTGTTTGTAATAAGACTTTGCATTCTGCATTGTTGACCAACCTTTTCTACTTGTCCAAGGGCATATATTTGACGAGCAGTACGACTGCTAGTCCAAATGGGATCCTTCTCGAGGAGCTCAGCTTCAGCGTCAGTGCTGGTTGCCATCAAGCTGAAAATCGGTGTGACATCCAATAACGACTGGCTCTAGTCATGCCCTGCTTTCTCTCACCACGAACAGTTTACAACAGACTTATTCTACACTTCTACTTGTCCTTCAACCTTTCAGTAATAAGACTTCTTCTTATGGTGGCGGTTTTCCTCTTCACCGTATCCTTCGTCACTGATATTCAACCGCTCAGCCCCGAATGTCTCTTGGTTTCCGTATCCCTGGCGCTCCTCTCGTCCATAGCCGGATGTTTGATGGCGACCACCCCCCTGTGCCTGCTCGTAGTCATTCCGTCCAGAAGAACTGTGTCGGCTTTCCTGATATTCATTTCGCCCACCATATGAACGCTCCTCAGACCGACCATACCCAGTCTCCCCATGACGTTGCTGGCTTTCCTGATGTTCATTCCGCCCACCATACGAACGCTCCTCAGACCGCCCATACCCAGTCTCGTGTTGCTGCCGACCATACGAGTGCTCTTCCGTCTTGCGGTGTTCGTTCCGCCCGCCATAGTTTTCCTCTTGACGACGATAAGAGTCTCCTTGGCCGTGGTGTTCCGCTCTGCCATAGCCTTCATTCTGGCGTCCATACGAATCTTCTTCTTGACGACGAGACCCGCCATACTGCTGCTCTCTCTTATTGCCTTCGTCTTGATTACTTGCACGACCATAACCGCTGCTCTGATACGAAGATTGGGTCTCTGTGTTTCAAATCAATCCCGGATTTTTGTCGTCAACCTATTCGACCAACCTCCGTATGAACGCTCCTGTCCGTAGCCTTGATTACCAGACCGGCCCTGGTTATTGTCCTCATCTTCGCGGTAACCGCCTTTCGATTGGCCACCACTAGAACTCTTATACGAAGATTGTGTCTCTGTAATGGAGATGAGCCCTGACCTCCCACAATAAAGTCAAACCAACCTCCATACGATTGGTCTTGTCGATTATGCGAGCGACCTTGCGACTCTCCGTAGCTCTGGTTGCCTCCTGCCGACTGACCATAGCTGCTGCTCTTGTACGACGATTGGGTCTCTGTGTTTCCATCAAAAATGCCGATATCTAACCAAGCAAGCCGGAATACCTTGTTCGTAGCCCCGATTGCCGGGCCGACTTTGAGAATGCCCGTAGCTCTGACTATTGTCTTCGTCCGGGCGACGGCCGCCTCCCGATTGACCATAGCCGCTGCTCTGGTGGGAAGATTGGGTCCCTGGGTTCAAGATAAGTTTCAGCCTGGTGCAAACAACAAGTCCCAAGTTAAACCGACCTCCATACTGTTGTTGTTGTGTGGGCCTCGAGCTTTGATTACCTGGGCGGCTTGAGGCGCCATGCCCATGCCCACATCCGGCATAACCTGGCTCGTCATAACTCTGATTTTCGCTGCCCAATCGTTTGTTCTTCCCGTTGCGGACGCTCTCCTGCAAAAACCATTGCATCATGGACGAATCAAAGAAAAAGAAAAAAATATTCCATACCTTCGTCAAGGCGTTGATTGTTTGTCGGGCGACATCATCGTCCAAGTCACGGATCCAACGTTCGAGCTCTTTGAACATCGAATTCTGAATGTCCGAACGACCCGTGGCATAGTACGGGTGGTGGAAAGCCTCGAGAATCTGGGTCAATCGAATCAACACAATGACTTCCTTCGGCCAAGGGGATAGGAACGAACCACGTCGACAGCACGATTCGGGTCCCCGTTGTCTGACCAGGCCTTAACGATCACATTGACCGTATGCTGGACAACCAAAACTGCAATCTTTCCCGCCGGCTCGTTCAAAATCAAGCCAAAGTGGTCCTACGAGTACCTATCAGCATGATTGTAAGGTAGGAAGAGAATGACAAGCCTTTGAAAGCAGACTGTGTGAAGGATCCGAAGCGCGGGGGTTAGTGAACACCTCGTATTGGTCGTCCGAATCAATGACTGCTTTGCTGCCCTCTCCCAAAGCAGAGGTCGCTTGTTGGAGAATGGGCTGCAGGCGCAGGTCAACACCATCTCCAACCATGCAATGAAACTAGCATTACCGTGAGCCAGGGAGCAATTACAGTGTAAACATCTGAGTCACGATTTTAGACACACTCGGCGACGTAGAAAGTGCAACCCACAGGCATTTAATGCTTCAGAGAGCTGGTCCATCAACTGCTCCAAGCCCGGAATCATCTCGATCTTCTCAAGAATCGAGCGCATTACATCATCACGCCAACGGAGCAACGCCAGCAACTTTTGCTGTACCTCTGGGGGAGCGACATTGTTCGGGTCAAAGTTGTATGCTTTGGCTTCTTCTCCCAGCTGCGCGCCCTCGTCCACCTTCGAATCCCCACCTCCGATCGGAAGTTTGGAGAGTATAGCTTTCAAGGTCGAGATTTTGGAGGCCTGGTCTTGCGATTGCGCTTGGTCCATCTTCGAGGCCAAGTCTGTTACACTGGCTTGACTCAATTTGCTAGTTGAGTGTGTCAGTTATAGATGACGTTCATACTGACAGAAACTCACTCAGTCGCCTCTCCCATTAGTCTATGTAACTTATATGAGCCAAGCAAGTTCAAGAGGTCGTAAACTTACGAGTGCAAAAAGTCTGCTCCACCAAATGTTCCCGTGACAAGGGGCGGGGCACGACCGTTGGGTGTCTGAATCTCAGTTTGGTCGCCAACATGACAAAACACGTCTCGATAACCCATCTTGCGAAGTCCGATTTCGACCCAGTTGCTGTGGGCTAGAAGGTCTTCAAGAGTGTGCAGGCCAGTCCCAAGCAGCCGATAGGCCTCATACAAATCTGGCCCATCACGACCCCCGGCACGCCGGCCCTTTTCGATGCATTCCACCAAAACGCGTCGGATGTGTGCCGTAGACGTGTCCCAACCGCGGTTTTCAGTTGCTGACAATGGTGAGCTAGAGACACATGACCGTGACGAAAAACAAACCCATGTAGCACTGGATCAGCGTCAGCAAAGGACATTACTCGAAGATCGTGACGTATACCTTCATTCCCGTACGCTCATCGATCTCAAGTTCTTGTGGGTTGACGGGTGGCCGCAGTTTGGGGTGGAAGCGACGGGCATCTCCCTCTTTCTCTGCGTATCCTCTGGAAAACTAGCATGAGTTATGGTTACGACAACAATGAGAAGACACACTTGGGATTGTCGATATGTTCCTAAGTAGATGTTATAACTACAATGGAAGCACGGATGCTAAACTCACGACAGGAAGATAGACCCCGAGACGCTCAGCAGTCACCTGGAACTCCTGCGTCGCGAAGCCGAAAGTCTAGTTTGGTTGTCAACCCAGTGAATGGTTCCCTGTCGCAGCGACACGTACCATGAAGCCTAGAACCGAGACCACAAGGACAAGTGTGTCTGCCGTCAGCTTGCTCAAGCCGCCGATGTCCATTGCCTACGTGAAACGATATGTGGCAAACGAAAGATGGATCATATGCAGGGCCTACCTGAGAATAGTCGCGAAGCCAATTCCCCTTTTACATCGGTCAGGTCAGCAGCACTCAGATTGACAACAAGAGGAAAACTGTACAAAGTAGACCTTCTTGATATCGCCAGAAGAGAATTTGGCGCCGCCAGAGCCAGACGCAGCTTCTTTGATTAGAGATTTGGCGAACCCAAGGAGGTCGCCACCACTCGCGCCGGACAGTGCGGCATGCCCTGCGGTTTTGGCAAGCGTGGCAAGTATGTTCTCGATGTCGCCATGACGAAAGGCTTTATCTAAAGAGAATGAGGTTTCGATCGTCCAAAAGCGAAATGCTTGCCATTCAAGTAGGCGAAATCGGGAATATCTCCGGCTCCAAACGCAGCAACTGGCGATCTGAGGGCAATGTCAACGCCAGACGGGAAGAGCTGATGGACGACGGACAAGAAGAGGGAGACGACGATGGCGAGGGTGAAAAGGAGTAAGAGGGTGTGCATGGTTGTGGTTGGGAGTAAGTGACGATGGAATGTAACCATTGCGTAGGGGCTTGGCGTGATTGCCAAGTGCAAGATCAAGCTGCGCAATCCTCAATCGATTAGATATCGAGCACTTGGATTTCAGACGCTTTTTATAGTCGACTAAGACTGCATGGACAATCGTGGGTCGAAAATGCCTTAAATCTGTCAGTGGCTATGAAGCGGTGTTTCCACTTTTGGAGTTGCTTTCTTTTCTCTACATCTCTGAAAAATACTTAGATGAACAGATCAACGTCAAAAGATAGACACATTGTAGCCTTTCTCTTGGCATCAAGTTAGTATTTGTCTGCAGTTATCATTAGACTTTGTTCTTGCTATGAGAAGTTGAAGAGTCTATAGCACAATTTACTTAGTCACAACCAATTTTGAACACTTACTAAGTGCTTATATAATATGGTCACATGAGCGGCAGATCTGGTCCTTGAATCCCTGACTCTGTGAAACCGAGAAGGGTTCTGTCAGTTGATAATGACAATCGGTCTGTTATGGATAAGACCCGGCCCATCCGCTCTAGCTGTCAGGGGGGAGCCCACGCTGTAAGTATTTGCAATAAACCTGTGGCAGTTGCCAGGCTATTTGATTCCAAATGGGCTGGCACCAGCCACCCTCTGGCAATAGCCACGGAATAAAGGCTTTGCTCCTCGGCTGGCTGCGACCAGGCAATCAGCGGGCAGGAAAAGATGGCTTGAACGGCACGCGGCATGCGGGCCACATCAACCCAATATTTGTATCTAAAGTCCACCCTTTTTGGTTTGTTGTGACGCATTCGACATTCGATATTATGGGCCAGTAACCGCGTCTGCAAAACATGACGACCGTTCCAGGAAACTTGGTTCAAGCAACTGCACAATTCCTCCCCTCACATTGCTTCTCTTCTGAGGCGAGGCGGCGAGGCAGCCTCCCCCACTTTCCGCGCATTAACTGCGACTCTTTTTTTTTCGCATCATCCTGACTATACTGTCGACTACCAAAACATCCCGAACCGCTCAATCGATATTTTTCCACAACTCGGAGCCCTCTCAAATTCACGCGCCATTCAGAATATCAATTTCGAGTCAATGTGGCGAGTTACAAAGCATATCGTATTTGTACCTACTGTATGTAATAAGGATTCATTGTCCAACAGAGAGAAAAGCAGTCCAAGTCAAAGAGTTATCAAAGTTACGCGACGACCACGCTGCAAAGGAGTTCCTTGAGCTGCCAGCCATTTCCGCATCTCTTGCGCGAGTGCCACCACCTCGATCATCTTCAATCCACCTCCTCCAATGTCTCTAAGGTGCCGCCCAACCCATTCAGGACCATTGCGGCGAAATGGGGCACGCAGCGTGAGTCGAGAGTCGACAAGACTGCGGCAAATTCCCACCCAGCAAATTGTTGTATCGCATTGAAGTTGGTCCAGCCCACCGCAGCAAACAAATTCAGTCGCTCTCCAAAGTCGACGGTCGGTTTGACTTGGACAAGGAATCTTGCAAAGCCGGGATCGAAACCGGTAGGAAGGACTACGGTGTAGCTGTCAGGGGAACCTCCCTTTCGGCCCGGAGACGCGCCCGATTCCGGTCCGACTCCGGTTCCGACTCCGGTCCGGCCCTCCATCTCGCCCGCACAATCACCGATCCGTCAACGCCCTCCCGACGGTCGCCCTGGGACCTCGCCTGCGACGCCGCCCAAGCCTTCTGTGCCCGACAGCGGCAGCTACGGACAAGCAGTATATAGTCAGCTACCTAGCAGGCGGACCCTTAGAGTTTCTTCTCTTTGGATCCTCCCCTGCTAGGACCTTGATCTCAGGCCTCCGGGGTTGCCCTTACAGCAGAAGAAACTCTCTACGGGATCAACCGGACAAGATTGCCAGGTTCGGCGCTGACTCAGGCTCGGAGTACGAGTCCGTTCCGCCCTCGTCACCGCCCCTGCCACTTGTCCCCTCCTCCTCTACTCCTGTGGTCCCCGCACCCGTCATGCCGTCCGGAGTCACTCCTACCGCAGACGCCCGGCTGGACTCACTCGAGGCGAAAATTGATAGCCTAACTGAGGCCCTTGCTTTACTCACCAACCAGGCTTCCGCTGCCGCTGCCGCCGCTAATAATGCTGGCGGACCCCAAACACCATCGCCGGAGACGTCGATTCCGACTCCGACTCCGGTCCAGGGCGACTCCGAAGCCCTTTTTGGCGACATCAACCTCGCCTCAAAATTGGTCTTACGACCAAACCCCCCGTTCACCTTCAACGGCGACCGGAAACGCGGCCGCGCGTTCCTCTACGCGGTCCGCACCTACGCCCGCCTTGCCCCTGAGGCCTTCGTGGTCAACGGAGAGGCGAGCGAGGAAAAGGCTGTCCGCTATGCCATGTCGTTTATGGCAGAAGGACCCGCTCAGCAATGGGCGGAGCGCCACGGAAGCAAAGCCCCGTTTCCGTTTCCGTCCTGGGGCTCGTTCGTTTCCGAGTTTCGACTCCGGTTCGTCGAGGAGAACGAGCAAGATCACGCTCTCTCCAAGCTGGAGACTTCCGCCTATCACATGGGCACGAAGGATGTCTACCAGTACACCGACGACTTCGAGGACCTGATGGACCTCGCCGGATTCGAAGACGCGCTGGTCAAGGTGACCAAGTTCCGCCACGGACTTGACCCCTTGATCAACAACGGAATCACGTCCTCGAACGACCCCCGGACCTCCGGGATTACCTTAGCTGGCGCACCCGGGCCTTCCGTCAATATGAGGCCCTGGTCCGGGCCAAGCTGATCAAGTCAGCCGCCCCCAAGACGCCTGGCGGTTTGATTCGGACTCCGTTTCCGGTCAACCGCATCCCGGCTCCGGCTCCCTTCCGCCCGGTGGTTCCGGTCGTACCACCCGCGGCCCGCGCCCCCGCTCCGGCGCCTCCAGCTCCCGTCCCTATGGAGTTGGATCGCACCAGGGCTCGGGGTGCCCCTCGTCGCGCCTGCTTCAGGTGCGGCGACCCAAACCATCTCGCCCGGGATTGCCCCCTCCCCGCCGATGTCCGTTCGATGGACATCCTCGACGAGGTGATCCAACAACTCGGTGACGAGATGTTAGCGGAGTTGATCGCCCGCTACACGGACACAGCTGCCCTGCCGGAGACGGCAGCGGAGTCGATGGCCGGAGAGGATTTTGTCCCCCGCGACGAGTGACTGGTGTGCCCTCGTTCGCGTCTATAAATCGTTTTGCCTCTTTGTATGATGAATGCAGTTCCTTGCCCTACAATGAGCCCGAAACGAAAGACACACCCTCTCCTGCCCCCGCCTCGACTCCGTCTCCGACTCCGCCCGCGACTCCGGTCATCGTCCTCCGCCGCCTCACTGCCTGGGAAAAGAAACTGCCCAAGCAGTACACCGTTGCCGCTGCCCCTGGGGCGAACTCCCTCCACCTCCCGTTAGAGCTCGAGTCCACCACCAGCGCACTGAAGCTCTCGCTCTCTGGGCTTGTCGACTGTGGTGCCACCTCCGACTTCATTGACACGAACTATGTTGCTCGGAATGGCATTCCGGTCCGCACTCTTGATCAGCCGATTCCGGTTTTCAATGTCGATGGCACCCCCAATGACGCTGGCTCCATCAAACAGATCGCGGACTTGGTCCTGCGCTACAAGGGCCATGCCGAACGAGTTCAGCTGGCCGTCACCCATCTTGGCAAGCAAGACCTCATCCTGGGGTATTCCTGGTTGCGGAAACATAACCCAGAGATCGATTGGGAAACCAAGGAGGTCAAGATGACACGGTGCCCCCGCAATTGCTCGACCTGCCGTGAGGAAGAGCGGGTCGAACGGACCGAGTTGCGGCGACTCCGGTCGCTTCAGAAGCGTCTCCGCTCCGGCCCGTTCCCCTCGGTCTGCGCCATGGACCTTTCTGGGTCTGATGACGGAGACGATTCCGTCTCCGGTGACGACTCCGGCCTGCCTGATCTGACGCCGGACTCCGACGACGACGATGACGATGGTCAGCTTGAAGATGGTGACCGCATCTTCTACACCTCGTTCCGCCCCTCGGAGGAGATACGCGCTGGCAGTACTGTCTCGCAACGCCTGGCCGAAGCCTTCGCCAGGAACTCCGCCCCTCCGCCCTCCGAGATCCCGGACTGGGCTAAGGAGTTCCAGGACGTCTTCAACAAGGAGTCCTTCGACACGCTACCGGAGCGGAGAGCCTGGGACCACGCCATTGAACTCGTCCCCGACGCTAAGCCCACCAACTGCAAGGTGTACCCCATCTCGCCCCTCGAGCAACGCGAGCTCGACGCGTTCATCGAGGAAGGGCTTTCGACGGGCCGGATTCGCCCCTCCAAGTCTCCGATGGCGTCTCCGGTCTTCTTCGTCAAGAAGAAGGACGGCGGACTCCGCTTCGTCCAGGACTACCGTGCTCTCAATGCGATGACTGTCAAAAACCGGTACCCCCTTCCGCTGATCAACGACCTCATCAACCGGCTCAAAGGCGCTCGTTACTTCACCAAACTCGATGTCCGTTGGGGCTTTAACAACGTCCGGATCAAGGAAGGTGACGAGTGGAAAGCGGCTTTCCGGACTAACCGAGGCCTGTTCGAGCCCTTGGTGATGTATTTCGGCCTGACAAACTCTCCCGCGACGTTCCAAACGATGATGAATGACATTTTTCAGGACCTCATCCTCTCCGGAGACGTCATGATCTACCTTGACGACATCTTGATCGCCCATTCCGACCTCCGGAAACACCGGCAGATCGTTCAGGAGGTCTTGCGGCGACTCCGAGAGCACAAGTTGTACCTCCGAGCGGAGAAGTGCGACTTTGAAAAATCGTCAATCGAGTACCTCGGAGTCATCATCTCCCACAACCACGTCGAAATGGACCCCGTCAAGGTCGCAGGCGTCTCCGCTTGGCCGACTCCGGAAAACAAGAAGGACATTCAGCAGTTCCTTGGGTTCGCTAACTTCTACCGCAGGTTCATTCGGGACTTCTCGACCCTTGCGCGCCCTCTCTTCGTGCTCACCAAGAAGGACCAGCAATGGACTTGGGGCGACGCGGAGGCCTCCGCGTTCCAAGCGATCAAGGACGCGGTCACCTCGGAACCGGTCCTGGCGATTCCGGACGACGCACGGCCTTTCCGACTCGAGGCGGACAGCTCTGATTATGCGACGGGGGCGGTTCTTTCACAATCCGCCCCGGACGGGAAGTGGCACCCTGTAGCATTCTATTCCAAAAGCTTAAATGATGTCCAGCGCAACTACGAAATCCACGACAAGGAGATGCTCGCGATCATCCGCGCACTCGAGGAGTATAGACACTTCCTCGAGGGCGCCGCGCACCCTGTCGAGATTTGGACTGACCATAAGAATTTGGAGTACTTCAGGAAGACGCAGCACCTCAACCGGAGACAGGCCCGGTGGTCTCTGTACCTCTCCCGGTTCGACTTCACGCTGCACCACAAGCCTGGCCGCGATATGGGTCGGCCTGACGCCCTCTCCCGGAGACCCGACCACGGAGTCGATTCCGACAACTCCGACGTCGTCCTTCTGCGGCCTGAACTCTTCCACGTCCGCGCACTCGAGGGCGTTTCCGTTTCCGGTCCCGGCTCTGAACTCCTCCGCGACATCCGTGATGCCCTCTCCGGTGAGCCTGACCTGGAGGAGCCCGTCGCACTAGCGGCCCGGCAACTTCTTAAGGTTCAAGGTCAAGCTCGAGGCCCCCGCTCCTCACGTTCTGACGAATGGGCCGTCTCCGGCGGTCTTCTCCATTTCCGAGGAAAGATCGTCGTACCAAAGGACAAGGACCTCCGGAGACGCATCATCGAGCTCTGCCATGACACCCGAGTCGCCGGACACGCAGGTCGTTTCAAGACCCTGGAGTTGGTCTCCCGGAACTACTGGTGGCCTCAGATGTCTCGCCATATCGGCCGGTATGTTGCGACCTGTGACTTGTGCTGTCGCACCAAGGCACTCCGGAGACTGCCCCACGGAGAACTGCACCCCACGGAAACGCCCCCGGAACGCTGGCATACCGTCTCCGTCGACTTCATCGTAGAGCTTCCCGAAGCCCATGGGTACGACGCGATCATGGTCGTCGTTGACACCCTCGGAAAGCGCGCCCACTTCTCAGAGTGTCATACGACGGTCGATGCAGTAGGGGCAGCCCGTCTCTACTACCGGAATGTGTGGCGGCACCATGGGACTCCGGAGAAGTACGTCTCCGACCGCGGCTCGCAGTTCATCGCGGACTTCACCCGAGAACTTTGGCGTCTAATCGGCATCAAGCCCGCCACGTCCACCGCGTACCACCCGCAGACAGACGGTCAGACAGAGCGCGTCAACCAGGAGCTGGAGCAGTACTTGCGGATCTTCACCAACTACCAGCAGGACGACTGGGATGAGCTGATTCCGGCCGCGGAGTTCGCCTACAACAACCACGTTCACTCCTCCACGCAGCAGGTCCCCTTCATGACGGACACGGGACGGCTCCCGCGCATGGGCTTCGAACCCGGAATCCGTTCCGCCATGGAGTCAGTGAACGAGTTCCGCGACCGGATCGCCACTGGTGTTGCTGAAGCCAAGGCCGCGCTCACTAAGGCCAAAGAGGAGTACAAGCGCTACTACGACCGGAGACGGACTCCGTCTCCGGAGTTTAAGGTTGGCGACCGTGTTTGGCTGGATGCCTCTGACATCAGGACGACTCGCCCCTCGGAAAAGTTCTCCCATCGCCGCCTTGGACCGTTCAAGATAGTCGCTGAGATCAGCAAAGGTGCCTACAAGCTCGACCTCCCTCCGCGCTACTCGAAGCTCCACCCGGTCTTCCCCGTCGTCAAGCTCGAGCTCGCCCAGGACGACCCCTTCGACGGACGCCCCGGCTACGACCAACCCCCTCCGGACCTCGAGGACGGAGTCCCGGAGTGGGAAGTAGAGGAAATCTTGGACGCAAGGGTGAGGTATAAACGGCTGAATTACTTCGTCAGATGGAAAGGCTACGACGCGTCGCACGACCAGTGGGTCCGCTTCGACCGCGTCTTCGCCCCGGAGAAAATCGCGGAGTTCTATCGTAAGTACCCTGGCAAGCCACGACACATCGCCTCCGCGACCTTCGACTCGATTCCGTTCCGGTCTATGCGTCGGGACGCCGCATTCAAAGGGGGGGGTGATGTCAGGGGAACCTCCCTTTCGGCCCGGAGACGCGCCCGATTCCGGTCCGACTCCGGTTCCGACTCCGGTCCGGCCCTCCATCTCGCCCGCACAATCACCGATCCGTCAACGCCCTCCCGACGGTCGCCCTGGGACCTCGCCTGCGACGCCGCCCAAGCCTTCTGTGCCCGACAGCGGCAGCTACGGACAAGCAGTATATAGTCAGCTACCTAGCAGGCGGACCCTTAGAGTTTCTTCTCTTTGGATCCTCCCCTGCTAGGACCTTGATCTCAGGCCTCCGGGGTTGCCCTTACAGTAGCTATCTGGAGACGGCTCCCGATACTCTGTCGTTTTAATGAGCAGGCCGAGCACAACGATGTCGAAAGCGCCGAGGCAGTGTGGTTGCTTTTGCTGCTCCCCGTCCGATATCCAACTGTAAGTGTTGCGGGAGAACAGCAGTAGCAGTGCTTCATCCACCTCTTCCTGCGGCCACCGCTTCAAGAGCATCAGGTCTTCAAGGGTGGAAATGTCGTGGGCGTTGAAATTTTCGAGTTTGTTGCTCCAGTCAATATAGGGTGGTTGATATAAGAAACTTGATAGTGCTTTTTCGTCTCCCTCGAGCGGTTGACCTGATGCCTGCAGTATATCGCCTTCAACGACGGACAGAGACTCGTCGGGTTCCATGCTGGCTGTTGTTTCGCTTTCGCCTCGGCCAATCTTCTCTTCGTCTATATCCTTGTCGATTGCGATATTCTCTTTGTCGTGTATATTCTCCTCGTCTTTGATATTATCCTCGTCGTTGTCCTATAGATATATAGGTCAATAATAACTAAGAAAAAGATTCTCAACGCACATGTACCTCACGGCCCATGACATTCTCCCTGTCGTTCGTATTCTCCTCTTCGTTGTCCGTTTCAGCAATTTCATCTTCGCTGGTAGCATGTTCAGGTTGGGAATCCGGTTGCTATTTAGGGTCAGCCAATCGAAATCCCCCATGATTCACTTGCCCAATCCGTCCCGGTCAATTCCTTGTATCGTTGTTTGTCCAAATATTGCCCATCTCGCTAATGTATCTTTTGCTGGCGTCTCATTGTGGACAGCCCGAGTAATGTTCCCAGTCCCAGTTTCAAGCTCAGTTCCCACTTGTTCGCGTCCAACCCGCATTTGCAAGAGCACGAGCTAAGGCGCGGTCTTGGCGGGAAAGTTTCCCTTTTTGCGTATATGCGTTCTTCAGATGGTCTGTGTAGTATACCTAAGTTAGACAAGGGAGACAGCAGTATTGCTTTCACTCACCTCCTTCCCTGTCCCCATGGCTGCTTCAGTCCCGTTGCCCACGGAGGCATTGTAAGGACGATGAGTGGAAAAGAAGAAGAGCAAATTTAAGCTTTGTCACACCAACGCAGCCACCTTAGTCACTTCCTCACTTGCAAGAGTCAAAGTCAACAGATCAGTGCTTTTCGACATTTAACGACAAAATGGACGTAGTAGCCACAGGAGATAATTGTATTATTGATATTATGTGCTGCATAAGTATCACTGCCGTTGAGTCTTTAGTCCCGTCAACGTCGTCGCAGACGCCGCTCTCAGCCGTTCCAACACCCACTCAACCTCATCCACCGCTGCCTCCCACTCAGATACTTTCTTGTCCCAGACTTTTCGACCCCACCAGCTTAGCGACGCAACCAGAACACCCATCCCACTTGATCCCGGCAAGGCCAATGAACCCCAATCTGGGTTATTTGGTTCCAACCGAGAGACTGCCATCGGCATTGGCTTTTCGCCATGACGGTTGCAAGCTCCGCCACCAGGCGACCCACTCCTGGCCGAACTTCGACTGGGTTTGGCATTGTCATTTTGTCGGCCTTGTAGATGCGACCCGTCTTGAACCATGTGGCTACTAAAACAGGGCGATTGCGACCAGAGGACTTGGTAGGGCGATCGAGGAAGCCGTATGCAGCTTCGAGTAAAATGAGACTCCGTAAGAGGCGGTTGAACTTCGGTCCCAAATTGACCCCCGTAATGTCGGAGTAGATCTTGGTGAACCAGGCAGGAGCATCGGAAGGACAGTCTGGGGGTTTGTCGTTGCTCTGTACAGGGGAGTTGACAACAGGCGCAGTGACAGGGCCAGGAACAGCGAGTGTCTTGTTCGTGGGCTGAATAACACTGGCCTCCCTCGCCTCCTTCTCCCTCGCCTCCTTCTCCTTCGCCTCTTTCTCCCTCGCCTCCTTCTCCTTCGCCTCTTTCTCCCTCGCCTCCTTCTCCTTCGCCTCTTTCTCCTTTGCCTCTTTCTCCTCATTCGCAATCCTTTGCCTGTAGCCCGCCAATAGTTTATCGGCATCCGCTCGATCTTTGGCAAGCTTCTTCTAGTAGGCCTTCTCCTTTCGTTGCTCTTTCTCCCGCGCGAGTAGCTTGGCTTTCTCCGATGCCTCATCTGCAAGACGCCTTTTCTTTTTCGGCGGCGGATTCCGTCATGCGTTTTGGGCGCTTTGCAACATCTTGTTCTGTTGCATCGTCACGCCCACGTTTTCGACCCCTGGACTCTGATTGACCAGAAGTTTCGCCGGCCACAACGAGACCATTCGGACCCGAGGGGGTAGTTGTTTGAGCCAGGGTCGAGGGACCTGCTTGGGAGGAGCTACCGCTGGTATTGGCCGCAGAGTCGACGGTGGAGGGAGTGGATTTTGGTTTGGGTTTTGTTGTAGTCGCGGCTTTAGTCTTCGCTGTCTTCGTTGTGGTGGCTTTAGTCTTCGTCTTCATCGGCGCCTTTGCTTTATCTCTGCGCTTCTTCGGACTTTCAGAGTCCGACTCATTCTCTGACATGTCCGAGTCTGAGCTGTCTTCATCGGAACCCTCCAGGTCTGAGGCAGTGACGGAACTCAAATTCCTCGTGGTCGTCGGGGCCTCGGTAGGAAGACGGATAAGTTGATCGATTGGGGTTGGGGGATAACAGGTTTTGCTGCAACAGCGTCTTTGTTACCCAACGTTGCTTCAGCTCGTTCCTTGTCGCCTGTATCCAGCTGGTCAGAAGATGAACTGAAATAAATAAAAAAGGATCACTCACTGAAAGCTCCCTCCAGATATTCGCGAAAGAAATCGACGACGTTTGTCTGGAATCGAGGTTTATCGGAGGCCGGCCAGGAAACTGGATCTGTGGCGCGATTCACGCCATTATAAACCCTGTAGAAGGTGTCATACTTGGTCATTCAATAAGCCGACAACAACTTACGAGGATGTCCAAATTTCGCCACCGTTCTCTGTCGGTTTCAAGCCGCCCACCATGCAAAAGAAATGGAGTTGAGTAATCTCCGTAAACCTGGTCGCGATGGGCCAAATGAAATCCTTGAAGTCTTGCATGCATCTGTGAATCGAGCGCTTTAGCAGCCAAATCTCGTCTTGAAAAAACCCACTCTTCACGAAACTCTGGAGTCATTGGGAGTCCTTCCTTGTCGTAGATCGAAACCTTGGATTTGTTGGCTGCTGCCTCTGCCTCCGCACGCCTCCGCATACTCCTTTTGGCTTTCCTCGGGCAATGCTGTGAAAATATCCTTGACCACCTTTTGCCGGAAGGGAGCGTTGATAACGACGGGTTTGGCGCCAGGATTGGCTTCGTTGATGCGATTGGCCTCCGCAAGGTAAACCGAGCGCAACTCTACGGTGTGTTCATGCTGGTACTGTTGTTGGGGCTGAAGTTTGCGCTTCGCCTTGGGTATTGCCTTCAGGCGATGGAAAAGAACGGTGTAAGGACTGTTGGCGACAGGGCGGAAGAATTTCCCTCGCAGTTTTCGGGCATGATACTTCATGTAGCGAGCAATACTCTGCGTTGCCACATGAGTGAGAGAACAGAAGCGGAATAGCGATCACGTGCATACCCCATTGAGATCTTTGATGCGCCCATGTTTCTTCTCGAGCTCCTCCTGCGTTTGTGGCTCCGGCGACGACGGTCTGGCGTGAGGGTTATATGGAGCCAGAGGGTTGGGGAGGTCGGGCTCTTCGTCGTCTGCCGTTCGCCAGGAAATCCTTGCATGATACTCGTTGCAAGCTTGTTGAATTCTGTCGCGATTTGTTCGCCAGTCCAAGGACATGGCTTTGGCGTACGCTTCGACGTGAGGCCACAGAATGCGCTCTCTAACGCCTTTTGCCCAGAATTTTCTAGACTTGCGGTCAGACTTCGACATCAACCGCTTCTTGCTATTCGATTTTGTGCGTGCCATCCTGCAAGCCAGAATCAGAAAAGGTCAGCAGTAAGCCAACATGCAGAATTGCCGACTTAACACGCACACGTGTTGTAGTTCTAGTCAGTCGCCTCGCTGTTGTCGTCCTCAAGTTATTGGAGGGGAAGAAAGGTTCAGTCGGAGTTGAAGGCCAGAAGAAGAAGGAACGAATTTAAAAGAAAGGACCGTTACTCTGGTTCGGACACACTTGTTTCGAGGGGTCTAATTGTCAAACGCCAAGGCCCAGAATCTTTCTTTTCTGCGGCATCCGATATAAAGTCTCAAAGCTTTCGACCTCTTCCTGCTTATCGTCTCGCATCTTTTGGAGAACTCATGGCCTCTACGCCAGGTCAGACAGCACAGACGGCACCGACGGTAAGATCCTCACCCGTTTATTTTATATAGCTACAACTCACCCACTCGCGCTAGCGTCGATATATCGTCGTCTATCCCATTTCTGGGCAGCGCCAACACAATCTCCACGATTTCTCTACTCCGACTCCGGCGTTGGCTGGAGGCCGCGAGAGTCTGGCCCAGTACTGGGAATCTCGTCCACTGTATTGTCTCGAATGTGCCTTCCGTCGCTTTACGGCGCAACCACGGACTTCGGCGGTTCCCTACGCGCTAACTTTCATTGGGTGTTGCATGCACACGGCGACCGCCCGTCGCGCAAAGCAATCTGGACAGAACTCTCAACGATTCCATTGGCACTTTACTTCCCCCCAACTATCGATCAATTCAAGGCAACTACGTGGTCATAAAGCATGCTCCCATCTCTGGTGGGCCTGATGCCGTTTGGGATGCTCGTATTTTCGATGTCGACGCTGCAGATCTTGAGCTCATCGCACCTTTTTGCGGCGGGTGTGTCTGTTTCTTCCTTACCTCCGGCTTCTAGCTGAATACTCGCTGATACAGTATCGTTGTCGAGGCGGAGGACCTCAACCCGGCCTTGCCTCCTAATACTTTTGTTTTGCCCGCACCCCCCATGCCTGCCAATTTTGTCCCTCGCGTACCTTGAATCAATCAGCCTCAGTGTGATCTACTAGCCGTTGTGTTGTCGTCATTTGGCGATATCGATCCCGTTCCAAACGTGCCATCTGACTTCTGACCGCGCGGCACAGAACATTTTCCTTGGTTTCTCCCAAGCTGCCACAAATTGCCAAGTCCAAGTCTGAAACAAATGACTACAGTAGATGCTTTCTCGCCTCTGGCTCCTCCCCCCCATCATGACAGATAAAGACATCGAAAACCTCAAGCAACGCCTCTCCCGAGTCGAGCTGGACCGCGATCAACTACGACTGCGACTCGCTGAGCTCGAAATCCAGTCCCTCCGCCCGACGAGTCAGGCAGCTAGAGCTTCGTCTGCACCAGTCTAGTCAGCGTGGATATGACGACCACTCAAGCCTATCTCTGCGTTACTCAGCTTCTCCGAGTCTGATGACCTCCACAAGCACGTCACTTGTGTCTTCGTTGTCGCTGTCCGAAGGGTCATCGTCTTTTGCTCCTCCTTCCGTTCGCCGGCACGAGGCACAAAGAACCCGTCAATTGCAAGTTTTCGTTGCCAATTCAAGTTCACGCTCATCGCCAACCGCAATATGCTTACAAAGTACCTGGCCAGCCAATCATTCTCACAGCAGACTGGTAAGAAGCCATTTTCCAATTGCGTATTAGACCGACCATTCACAGGGCTGAGGCGGGCAGCCGTTCCCAGGGTGTTTCCGGAGGTCATGTCGACAAGCTGCATCCTTCGTCCGTCCAAAAGGGTGGTACTGCGAAGTTCTGGGTTGTATTTCGAGGGAAAAGTATTGGAGTCAAGAACACCTACACGTGAGTTCTCTTTTGGCCTTCGCCCCCTGCTGACATTCAACTTGACTTGCAGGCCTGATGTTGAGGAAGCGGTCCACGGCTTTCGCGGCTCAATATTCTCGTCGTACACTCACATCGAACACGCACGCAATGCATTCAAGCTGGCGCTACAGGCTGGACAATGCACAACCACAAGTTTAGCACACGGAACGCTACCCATGCCGTTAAACATGACGCCGCGCCCATTGCAGTCAGGCGACCCCTTGCTAGTCGGAGACCGTCTTCTGGCCCGCGCCCCGAGCGACCTTTGGTATATGTGTTTTGTTGGTATTCATCCTGGTGTCTATCCAACCTGGTGCGCTTTCCCTGTCATGCAAAAGCTGCCTCGTACTGACCATCCGCTGCAGGATAGAATGCGCATTAAATTGCATTGGAATTCGGGGTGGTTTACACAAGAAGGCAACGTCGTTTGAAGAGGCGAAGGAGGAATTCGACAGAGCCAAGAAGGATGGTAATTCATGGGTAGCACGTAGTCCAGCATGATAGCAGCATTCCAAAATGACAATTGATAGCACAATGATACAAAGCAAATAACTTAAGATAGCGAAGAGGTAGTAGGGGAGTAGGGGACGGACTTCAACATGATGGAGTATCTGAATCACTCGTGTCATAGAACGACAGTAGCTGCCGCTCTTCCCATGGAGCCAGAGATCGAGGGCAAATGGAACCATAGCGGTCTTCGAATGCTCTCTATCGCATGTGAATAAGAGTATAAGGGCGGGCAAGACATAACGCACTTTCTCCGCTGAGTTCGCTGTTTGACGAGAATTGTGTCCCGATTTCTAAGATGGAAGATTCAGCAACCCCAAGAGAGTTATTTCGGTTTAGTACGCTTCTCTGTATCGTTGGCTGTACTCTCTCGAGCGCGCCGTCGAGCGCCCAATGCTTGCTCTGCGTCTGAAAGTACTTCTCTTGAAGTCTGTGGCACCAGTCAGTATTCCCAACTGAGGGCAAAGATTGTTGCTGCAAACGCCCCTCGCCATTCGTTCCTTGGCCTTCTCCCGCAGCTTCGAGATATTCCTGGTGGACTTGAGTGTCTTCCGACGAAGTGGCCAACCTGCAGTACCGCCACGATACTTAGCGCAGGCTTCACGTTTTCGCTCAAGCACTGTGTTTTCAGCGCGTTGCTGGGGAAGTGGCGACTGTTGAGTGGAATGCGAGCGGTCCATGAAGAAGCAAGCCGATCAGCGCAAGATAGAGTATGTGAAGAGCAGAAAACGACATGGGTGTAACACACACTTGACTTGTGTAACGCACACTCAAGTGATGTAACGCACACACTCTTCGACTTGTGCTTTTGGCCTCGACCATAACTCTAAGGGAAAGTTATCGTAGCCTCTAAAGCTCGGTCAGCAGGTCGTGTACTTCGTTCCCAACCTAAGTCCAGCAATCCCTGGTCGGCGATCTTTGTTATAAAGGGTTTCGTGTTTGTCTGAATATCAGTCATAGGCCACTATAAACCACATAGAACGACAACGTCTCAACCTTTCTTGATTCATATTGGAACTTGAATTTCGGCTAACGACCTATAGAAGTACTGCCTACATCGTAGACAACCCCTGTGGCTTCAAAACACTTGTCGACATCAGTCTATCGGCCGCGGATGTTCATGCTTGTTCAATCACAGGGGCTTCCCTTTTATCTCCAGTTCAGCTGGAAGGAGTCGATTCAATGCTTGTAAATCCAGAAATGCCGCATAAGTAAGTGCTTTGAGACAAGCTCAGTACACACTCGGCTGACCTTTTCAAGACAAACTATGGGGTGGAAAAAATGTGTCGGCGACTGTGTTGTCTTATCTCGAGAGATGATCAAATAAGTCGATCATCTCTCTCTCAAGATTCTCCCATCTGACTTTACTTCCCTACTAGCTCCTCGGCGTAATGAATTCGCCTCCTCAGCTCAAGACCTCAGATGCCCGCCGCCGTGCATCTGAAAACTATAGGCAGAGGTGGGTACCAACTACTAGGAGCATAAACCCGAGTAAATTGTCAAACTGTCTGGCCAGGAACCTTGAGGAAGTCAAGGCTCGCGCTCGGGAACGAATGAAGCAGTAAGGCTGCTCTCTGAAGACGAGTCCTGCTCAGTCTGACTCAGGTACCGCGCTGCTATCAAAGCAGACCCCCTTCTTCATGCGGAACATCGAAAGCGAATTCAGATTGCAAACCGCAAGCAGCGTTCTAAACGCGCAGAGACTGCTCAAATACGAACCGATTTGAGTGAGAGGCATGTTTTTTTCTTCCTTTATACAAAGCCCAGTGTTTTTAATGCTCCGGTCATAGGGAATATGCTCGGAAGCATGGAGTCGATGCTCTGCTCGAGAAACTCGCGAGTGAGCGTTTACGTCGACAACAGGAGGAAGAGCAGGAGGAGCTTAGAAAGAGGTTAAACGAAGAAAAAGAGAGGAAACGGTGTCGGCGGCGCTGCCAGAGATGCCATGTTGCATGAAATATACGATGAAGAAGACCAACGTGCGCAGGTTGTCAAGGCCAGCGCATTGCCCGAAAACCTGGAGCTGGAACAGGCGACGAATCACACCTTACGGATGTCTTATTCTCAGTCCTTTCAGCGCGCCGCATTGCGAAGGAAAATATAATTTTGTATCCCCAGTACGAGTCTAGATCTACTTCAAGTTGGGCATAATGTATAATGATGAGTGGAGGGAGTAGTCAGGTCAAAGTTTTGAGAGTGCAGTAACGGGAGACGGAATATGAAAAGGATATAAAGGTAACTCTAAGTGCTGGCGGCGGGGCCTCGAGGGAAACGGAGGTCGGAAAAACTGTAGGAGACTCGGGTGGGATCGATCCATTCAGGATAAGCCAATTGAATGAGATGCTCAAACTTGTAATGACGGTGGGGCTGGGTTTGAATCGGGCTGGCGCATTCGGGACAGGCCCATCGTGCCTGAAGGTTTTTCCGGATACAAGTGTAACAGAATGTGTGTCCGCACGCGGTACTATGAGAGAGTGAGTAAGCCAACGAGGATTTGGTGTCAGTATAGCTGGCACGCACACGACAGGATGGGAGAGCATTTCGTAACAAATAGGACATTCGAAAGCTTTCACGAGGGGATTTGGGCTCGGTGGTGGGTGAAACAGGCC